GAATGGCAGGGAAGAGGTTTCTTCATTCCTGAAGTTGAGAAAACTGGCTTCCGATAGTTTGTGACCGCAATTTTTTTAATGATAGAACAGTCAATTTTTTTGGTTTTTATCTTTGTCTTTCTTTTTTTTGGTCCTGGGCCTCAAACTCACAACTGCGCACTTGCAAGGCAGGCGCTTTGCTGCTGAGCATAATCCCCAGCCCTTTATCTTTTGCTCAGTACATGTTTGCACTTCATGTTTCCGTTCCTTGTGTGCAGCTGGTGCATCCTGACACATCTTGATTCCTTTCCTCATCCCCCTTCCTCCCCTTCACTCCTCCCTCTTTCAGACCCATCCCTCTACTTCCTAGTTTTCATATTTTATTTTGCTCCTTATTTATAATTTGGGGTTCTCATATAGAGAAACTAATGCATATTTAAGCTTGAGTGTCTGCCTTATTTCTCGTACCATTATGGTCTCAGTGCGCATCCGTATTCTGACAAAGGACTCACTTAATGTTTTATGGCAGATTTGCATTCCACCGTGTGTAAAATGCCCGATTTTCTTTATCCATTCATCTGCTGATGGACACACAGGCTGCTTTCAAGGTTTAGATGTTATGAATTGTGCTGCTATAAACATGGGACTGCTTGTATCACTGTGGTGTGAGGTCTTTAACTCTTTTGGGAAGATACCGAGAAGGAGAACAGCTGAGTCAAATAAAATTCCTAGTTTAGTTTTTTGGCAAATTTCCATACCGATTTGCATAGCTGTGGTTCTACTAATTTACATTCTCACTAACAATGTAGAAGTGTTCCTTTTTTTCCCCACAGCCTTACCACCATTTTTTATTACCTGATTTCTTGATGATGGCCATTCTTTCTGGAGTAATACGGGATCTCGGTGTTGTGTTAATTTGCTTTTTTGTAATGACCAATGATAGGGAGCATTTCTTCAGGATTTTATTGGCCATTTGTATTTCTGTAAAATGTCATTCATTTCATTTGCCCAGTTCTTGATTGGGTCTTTTATTAGTAGGGGCCTAATTTCTTTGAATTCTTTATATAGTCTAGATATTAGTGCTTTGAGGAATAAGTGGAAAAATTTTTCCATTCTTTATAATATTTTTTTCAGTGTGTTGAACAACTGACACAAGAAATAGTTCAAAAAATCCTTGCCTATCTGCATGATTTTTAGAGTTTTATCTATTTTGTCTTCCAGCAGGGTTAAGTGTTTGTGTTCTAACATTTAAATCTTTGATTCATTTTGATTTTAGTGTACCACACTGAGAGATATGGGTCTAGATTCAATCCTCGGTATGTGGATGTCTGCTTTTCTCAATACCATTTATGAAAGAGAATATCTTTCCTCCACTGTGTGTTTTTGGCCCCGCTGTCTCAGATCGAGTAGCTGAATGTGTTTGGGGTTGTTTTGCACCCTCTCTTCTGTTTCACGGGCCCACATGTCTGTTTCTGGCACTGCAGTGCTGTCTCTGGCACTGCAGCTTTGTGGGACAGTGCAACTTCAAGTCCAGCACTGTGGAACTGTCTGCCTTGCTCTTTTTTGTCCAGGATTTCTTTTGATATTCTGAGTCTTTTCTGGTTTCATATGAATTTCAGGATTGTTTCTCCAGTTCTATATGGAGTGTTATTGATATTTTGATTGGAGTTGCAGTAAATCTTTATATCAATTTTGAAATTAAGGCTATTTTGATTGCATTGGTTCAGGAACATGGAATATCTTCCTAGTTTTTGATATCTTCATTGATTTCCTTTTTCAGTGTTTTCATTGTGGAGGTCTTTTATTTCCTTAGTTAGGTTAATTCCTAAGTACATATTCAGTTTGTCTTGGTGTCATCATGAATGTTATTATTTTTCCTAATTCCTTTCTCAGTGGCCTCATTGTTATTGTACAGGAACGCTATTGATTTTTGTGTATTGATTTTGTATCTAGCTGCATTGATTCTAAGAGACTTTTGGTGGATGCTTTTGGTCTTCTTTTTTATTTATTTATTTATTTATTTATTTTTATTATTGTGAAGGAACTAAAATACAACTGAACAAGACAAAATAAAGCCACTTGAGACAGTGCAGTGAAATTGGTACAGAACGTCACAGCAGGTTATGGGGATAACAATAACAGGTACCATAGTATATCTTGTTATCTTCACAATGGTTGCTCTTTAAATCAGGTATAGCAAAATCAAATGAATACAGAATATTATAGAACTTATCAAAACATAATATTGAATAGAGCAACACAATTAATCAGAACAATGCAAAATAGTGATAACAATATTTGCTTTGAAAGAGATGGTAGGAGGAAATCCCACCTATTTGCTGTATTGCATGTGGTCAGCCTCCCAAGAGATGCTCAGATCTTTGGCTCCCATTTGCTAATGTGTGTTGGGGGGATGTTTGATTTTTAGGCTCATGGTAGGCTCACGGCTGCTTACAGGGAGGCGAGCTGGTTGCTTGGTTTCCCAGTGCGCTAAGTTCCAATATGGCGCGGATCTCAGGAGATGCTGGATCTGTTTTTGGTCTTCTATGAAGAGTACCATGTCTTCTTGGAAATAGTGATAATTTGACTTTTTCCTTTCCTATACGGATCTCATTCATTTATTTATGTATTTTCCCAATTTCTCTTGCTAATGTTTTGAGTAATATGTTGAACAAGAGTGGTGATAGTGGACATTCTCGTCTTGTTCCTGATTTTAGAGTAAAAGCTTTCAGTTTTTCTTCACTTAATGTTAGCAGTAGATTTATCATATATCATAAATGGCTTTTATAAGATTAAGATAAGCTTGTCCTATATGTATTTTCTTCAGGGTTTTCATCACCAAACGGTGTTGGGTTTTGTCAAAGGCTTTCTCTTGTCTGTTGAGATGGCCACGTGATTTTTATCCTTGTTTCCGTTTATGTGCTGTATTACATTTATTGATCTTTGTGCATTGAACCATCCTTGCATCCTTGGGGTGAAGCCTATTTGCTCATGATTTATGATCTTTTTGATAATTCATTACATTCTCTGTTTGTTAGTATGTATATTTTTCTGTTAGTATCTTATTGAGGATTTTTAATTATATATATTTTAAGGAGATTGATCTCTAATGCTGTTTTTTTTAAAAATTGAATCCATGTCTGGTGTTAGAATCAGGGTAATGCTAGCTTGCAGGAATGACTTTGGAAGTACTCATTCCCTTTCAATTTAATTCCATTGAAGAGTTTGAGGAGCACTGGGGTTAGAATATCCCTGAGGTTTTTGTGGAATTCAGCAGCGAGTCCATCTGGACCTACATTTTCCTTAGTTGGTAGTTTTTTTTTTAAAGCCAGTCAAATTTAGCAGTGTGTGGGGGGTTGTATCCCAACTTTAGTGACACTAATGTTAATAAGTTCTGATAATCCACTACCATTGGACCAGCCTTAGTTAGTAGTTTTTATTATCATTTTTTTATTACTGCTTCATCACTTGCTATTGGATTATTCAAAATATTAAACATCTACTCTGTTCAGTTTTGGTGATTCCTAACTAGGAATCTATCCATTTCTTCTAAATTCTCCAACTTATTGGTGTACAGGTTTGCACAGTGTTGTTAATAATCTTTTGTACTTCAGCAGTGTTGTGACTTCGCCTTCTTCCTTTCTAATTGATTGGATTGCATGACCACAAGTGTTGAACGTGTACGTGCCGGTGTGACCTGTTAGCTGTTGTGTTCAGGAGCTTGTGCCTGCATATCGCCTGTGACATGAGCTGATACTGGTGATTTGTCAGCCTAGTGCTAACCTTGCCCAGAGTCTTGGTGACTGAGAGTACATATTTGCTGAAGTCTGCTGAGATTCAGGGAAGGAATGACCTTGCCTGACTTTGGCTGCAATAGCATTATGCTTCAACCAACTAAACCACGTATTCTTTCTCTCTCCCTCTCTCTCTCTGCCTGCTCTCTCTCTTGCTCCCCTCCCTCTCTTTCTTCCTTCCCTTCTTCCTTTCCTCTCTATCATAAGGGTATACATTTGGAGCAGGGCATGGTAGCACAGGCCTATAAGCCCAGCTACTCAGGAGGCTGAGGGAGGAGGATTACAAGTTTGAGGTCAGCCTGGGTAAATTAGTGAGACTGTGTTACAAAAATGTTAAAAAGTAATACAAATGGAGGAGATATAACTCGCTGGTAGCACTCCTGGATTGGATCCGAAGTACCCCCCCCAACATCATATATATATATATATATATATATTCCAAAATATGTTGCTTTATTTTTAGCTATGATAGGGTTATTGTATTATTGAGATGGGGGATTAGCAGGACTCTGAAGTAGCAGCCTGAGAGATAAAAGACAGGTAGATGCAATTTTTGGTGATAAGGGAAAAAGTAAACCAGACTATTGGTTAATCAAGCAAGCTGCTGTGGCCCTTGAGATGAGAAAATAAGATACACAGGCACACTGATGGAGACTGCTGGATACTAAGATGCCAACGGGCCTGACCGAGAACGGACCCTGAACTTCCAAACTCAGCTCTGCACTGTAACTAAATTCCACTCAACCCACAGACCCCACTTCTCCTTGAAAAAAATCATAAATAATGATGACAATCCTCTGAGACCTTATGAAAGTAAACTGCCTCTTTCATTCAAGGCTGCTCTGTCTGTAGTGTGGCCAGTTCTGCTGTGTCTTTCCCAGGCTGCTCTGCCCAGGGAGCTGCCTGCTTTGCATCTTAACTAACCTGCTTTGCTTATGGGCTACTCTGCTGTGCTTCTTTTCTGTTTTGTTTTGGTGCTGGGGATTGAACGCATGACCTTGTACTTGCCAGGCAGGTGCTTATGCCACTGAGCTAAACCCCAGCCTTGCACTTCTTTTCTGTAATAAACTTTCATTTTAATTTAATCATGCTGACCTGTGTATGATTTCCATCTTATGGGAGGTAATTAATCCCTGCCCAACTCCAGTGAATAAACAAAACACAAATGACTACATTCCTAGCTCTGTGTCTCAAGTCCCCATTCTTCCTAACTACTTATTTATGTTTCCTTTCTGTACTGGTAGTACATGTGTCTCAGCCACTCTTACTATGACTGGAAAAGAAAAGAAAAACTAAAAGACTCTTCAGCATTTCCCCTTTTTGCATCCTCTCCACTGACCAAATAAGGGCGGCCTGAGATCCGCAGGAGCAACAAGCCTTCCTGTGAAACGGGAAACAGAGAAGCATTTGGAGATGTATTTGGGTCATGTAAGAAGAGAGCAGTGGACTGCTCAGCCAGGTACTGTGTGTGTGAGAGGGGTGGGACTTAAAGTCTGTCTTTAGAGTCAAATACTACACTTTGGGTTCCCATAAAGTATGTTTCTGGAGGGTATTCATGCGAGAAATGCACTTTTGTGTGACCAGCTGGATTTGCCTGCGGGGAAGCTTTTATGTGTGGTTGATTGGGTGTTGGGGTTCACGGGGCTCTAAACTGATGTTTAAAGGTACATGGAGCCCAGAAGAGTCCATTCGTGTTGGAAAGTGAAGGAAGAGACTTTGAAAACACTTTTCGGGATTATAGAAAGGAAACTCATTCTGGATGCTAAGACTTCCTGTTGGAATCACAGATCAGAGCTGGGAAGGAGGAGGTGGCCTGCTTAGCTCATCCAATCCCCTGCACTGCTGCTGAGAAACCCCACATTTGAGGGGACATTTGAAGGAAACCAGTGTCTCTAGGACACCTATTTATGATACAGTCTTGCCACACATTATCTCACGTGATCTCTAGCACCCTCATTTAGAGGCAGAAAAGGGGACAGAGAGAGGTTCAGTGACTTGCCCCAGGTCACACTGCTGTAGACTTATAACACCTATAAGACTTATAGACTATAGACTTATAAGTCTATAAGACTTATAACATCTGGTAGACTGTCACTGCATTTAACACTTCCATGATACTCATAGTATTATTTGCAAGCATTCAGTGGTTTAAGCAACATTTATGTTCTTATAGTTCTGGAGACTGGAAGACCAAGACCTAGGTGGTGTCAGTTGGTTTCTCTAAGGCTGCTCCCCTGGCTTGTGGGCGGCTCCCTCCTAGACATGCCTTTCCTAGGTGTCTCCATTTGTGTATTTAGTTTTCCTCTGCTTTAAGGACTGCCCATACAAAGCCTCATTTTACTTGGATTATCTCTCAAAGGCCTGTCTTCAAATACAGTCTAATTCTGAGATTCTGGGGTTTAGAGCATCAACGCATGGATTTGAGTGGGAACATAATTCAGCCTGTCACAGTGGGATGTGGAGCTGCTGTCGTCCAAAGGAGAGCTAAGAGCCTTCTAGGCTAGAGCCTTTGTATAAGAAAGGAAGATAGGTCACACTCACTGACCATTTCCGTCCAGGTACTTTCATGTTTCACCCTTCCAATAGTTCTAGGAGGTGGCACATCAACATTTCCATAGAGAAAGCAAGACCCAAGAAGATCAAGTAACCTGTCTAGGGCCCCATCTAATGAGCTGCAGAGAGAGGCTAGCTCTGCAGAGCCAAAGTCAACACACTGTCCATTTCTATGTGCTTCCTCTCTGCTTCTGATTATGTAACTATTTCCTTTATTCTTCCACAAGTTGAAGAAATAAATCCAGATCAGTGTCCTGAGGAACTTTGGTTTTCTGTGGGGTTCATGTAACTATCTGTAAGGAAATAGTCCATTTTTAGAATTAGTTCTAAATACTCTTTACCTAGGTACAACTATAGGAAAAGGACTTTTCTCAGCCAATGCCATTATTTACTGGGTAGCTAGCTGTAGCTGGGAGAGGTGAAGTTGCTGAAGTCCAAGAAGCAAACAGGTCACAGCTCTGTTCTTAATACTAGCAAATAACTCTGCAGAGCCTGCGTGGATGCTGGTCTGCGGGTCAGTTTTAGTCTTGAGAGTAGTTGGTAACTAGTTAATGTGCTCTGACTTGGGTCCCTGCTCTAGTCATAGACTTTCTCCCTGTTAATAGAAAAATGCTTCCAGTATCCAGAGTAAACATATGGGCAGTTTCATTATTAGCTGAGACTGTTTCTTGATGATCCATGCAGAAATTTTCATTGATTATTTTAGCAGACAAGTGACCAGATGATCACCCTTTGGGTTTGTTGATTCTACATATGTGAATAGGAAGAACTTCTTGGCTTCTTCCTCTATCTTCTTCCTCTTTTTTCTGTTCTCATCTGAACTTTAACCTTGTCAGTGAAACATGCTTCATCTCAGGCCCTTTCCTTTGTGGTGGTAGAAAAGAAGAAAAAACATTAACAGTAGTTGCTGTTTGCTGAATTCTTTCTGTGTCAGGGACTCCCAGCTGGTCGGTGGTGGTGCTGGAATCTGAACCCAGTATTTTGTGAAAAGAAAAAAAACTTTTCTCGCAGGGATCCTTCTTATCCCACTTTCTCTGCCTAGAAATGACCTTTTCCTTTTTCTACCTTGTCTGTGTTACTTTTCTGTCGTTACTGGGACAAAATACCTGACACCCGAAGTTAAATCAGGAAAGATTTATTTAGCTCACAGTTTGTGGAGGTTTCAGTTCATAATCTGCTGGGTCCGAGGCAGGGTGGCGTGGCAGAGGGCAACAGGTGATGGTGCAGAAGACAGCAAAAGCCACAAGAGCAAAAATGGAGGAGTTCGGAGAGCAGACTTTTTCTGTCCCTTATATTGTAGGTAGGCCACACCTGCCCTAGGGTGAGTGTAGCACTCACACTCATAATCCCAGCGTTGGACCATGAATCAATCACAAATTCTAGACGCCTGCCCCCATGACTACTTGAGGCTTTGGGGGGACATCCAGACACAAACCATAACATACCCTATGCTTTAAGTTTCCTTCCAGTGCACAAGTCACTTCTTCCAGGCAGAACTATGCATCCTTAGAACAGATTTTCAAATGCCTATTTATCTTGATCCACAATAAGAAATACATTTTACAAAATAAATATGTTTTACATTAGTATCCAGGGCCAGGATACAAGAATATTTGTAATGAAAATTTAAGGAAAAAATACAGTGCTTCTGATACATTAGTTCTCTTCTGTATTTTAAACTATGTTGATTGCCTTATTAACACGGCCCACTATCATGAGTGGATCGTAGATTGGAAAACTTCCCTACGTGTGCTTTATTCCCTTCAACACCTTGTTGTGCTTTTTTCAGCCCAGAAGGCCTCTGGCTCTTCAGAGATAGTTAGGCCTACATCCTTGGGACACGGAAGACTAATTCTGCACCCTTCCATTAGTTTTCAGGCTCGAATGTAGAGCAGTTGGCCAGCATGCTTGATGCCATGGGTGTGACTCCTTTCATTGGAAATAATAAAGCTTTAAGAAACTTTAATTGTAGAAAAATACATACAACGTAGAGTTTGTCATCTTAAACTTTGTTTTTGGCAGTCCTGGGGACTCAGTTGAAACTTGTGCATGCTGGGCAAGCATGTGAACACTGACATCAGCAGACCTTTAAAAATTTATTTTTCATATTTTAAGACAGGATCTTTCTAAGTTGCCCAGACTAGGCTAAAACTTGTGATTCTCTTGCCTCAGCCTCTCCAGGAGCTGGAGTTACCAGTGTGTGCAGTCCCACGGGGTATATAGGTTCACAGTGTACACTCATTTAGGACTTTCTCATCTTGCAAAATTAAAACTCTGTACTCACTAAACAACAGCTCCTCCCCTCAGTCCCTCGCGACCACTATTCTATTTTGTTGCTATTATTTTGACTCCTGGGGCTGGGGATTTAGCTCAGTAACACAAGAGCCTGCTTCGCAAGTGTGAGGTCACGAGTTCTATCCCTGGTACCAAATAATAATAATAATAATAAAATAGTAATTTGACTCCTGTAGGTAGCTCCCCATACAAGTGGGAGCACTCAGGTGTTGGTTTTCAGTTTTTTTCAGCTTATAATTTGTTAGGCTAGATAACAAATCCTGTCTCCTCACTTTGCATCTGCTTCCGGGATTGCTCCTATTCCCAGTGGCACATAGGACAAAATACAAACGTTCCACCCTGGCCTACGAGCTTTTCTGTAGATTCTTCTCTTTTGTACCCTGGCCACATATTACCTTCTCTGTCTCCTCAGTTCCTCATGTCTCTGGTCTCATATCTTTGCTAATTTTCTCCCTGTCATTTTGGGAGACTTTTTATCTCAGTGCCTCTGCCTCTCTCCTACCCAAACCGTCTGACTTTATTTTACTTTTCCTCTTTGCAGAATTAAAACTCTGTACTCATTAAACAATGTCCATAAACTATACATCCTTAGAAAACTCATCTTCAAATGTCTGGTCCATATTGCCCTTTCCTGGATCAACTAGGGAGAACTTATCCTCTGTATCATTCTTTTTGGCAATTTCTCCTACCATCTTTTCCCATCTAATTGAGTTTCCCTCCTCCCTCTGACCAGCATCAGTGTTAAATAACTTTGAGGAGATGGACAAAGTCCCCCCGAAGCATGATCTAGACTCTAGGCCAGAAGTCCGGCCGCCTGGGTTGTCTTTAGAGTTTGATCGTAAATAGTGAGTGGCTTGAGAAAGCTTTCATCTGGTTCAGGCCATGATTTTCTCACTTTAAAGGGGAGTGTTGACTGGGTAATTGCTCCAGTCTTTTTGATTGTTGTGTTTTGTTAGTTTTATAGAATGAAGAATGATTTTGCAGAAATACGAGCACAATATTGGGATAGTCTTCGTGGCCATCTGTAAATGATATCTTCTACCAAGATATAGAAAGGCGGAAAGCTTTTATTCAGGACTAGTAAGTATATTACAAGCAACCGCTGCCTAATGATACAGTGTGGTACCAAATATTGATTATATTAAATGGAAAATCAATTCATGCTTTCATCAGTGTACTGGTGGGATTATCTACAAATATTCTGCATTTGGGAGGAGCTTATTTACAAATATGGTAGCCTGTGGTAAACAGTGGAACCACAGATGTGCTAGAACTCACACAAAGGTGACCAGGCTGTCTTACGCTGTTCCATCGCCTGTTCATATTCTTCTATCCAGACAGCAGGGAGCTGTACTGAGATCGTAGTGTAGAAACAGTACAGGTCTAAGTAGCACCCAAAATTAATGCTCTTCAACTTGATGACCAGAAGGGTAGAGCTGTGCTATCCAGTGTGGCAGTCAGTCACCATGTGTGCCTGTTTACCATGCCTTTGAATGCATTAGATTATAATTTAATGTAAAGCTCAGGTGCACAACTACTCTAGCCCATTTCAGGTGCTCACGAGCAGATGTGGCCTATCCAGGTCCGACAGTGAAAAGACAGGATACGGTCATCATCTCAGAGAGCTCTGCTGTAAAGTGCTGGTCTAGACCAAGATGTTCTGCAAGGAGGGAAGAATGGATAAATGAGCAGTATCCTTTTTTTTTTTTATCGGTACTGGGGATCGAACTCACAACCGTGTGCTTGCAAGGCAGGCGCTTATGCTGCTGAGCTAAATCCCCAGCCCCTTTTCCTTTGGTTTTTTGACACAAGGTCTCGAAATATAATTCAGGCAGGCCTTGAACTCACTAGCTCAGGCTGGTCTTCAGCTTGCTGTGATCCTCCTGTCTCAGCCACCCTGAATGCTGGGCTTAGAGGTGTATGTCACCACACTCAGCAGTTTTCCTTTCCAAGTTTATGGCATGTCCATAACTGAAAATGGACCAAAAAGGAAAAAAAAAATGCACAACTCTAATGCTCTGACAACATATATATTTTATGTAAGTAAATATGTTGGCAAAGATGGTGGCCAGACTAGACTATACATTTATCAGTATTCAATAAGCTACCCACTTAAAAATAAATGTACATAGGTCAGGGGTTTAGCTCAGCAGCATAAGTACCCGCCTGGCAAGTACAAGGTCGTGAGTTTGATCCCTCGTACCAAAAAATAAAGAAATAAATAAATGTACTTAATTCATGTAAATTTTCTTTCAGTTAAAGAAGACTTTTAGAGCCTCTCAAGTGGATAACTCAAGGCTGTAAACCTAACTTGTTCTTTTTCTTTTTTGGTACCAGTAATTGAACTCACGACCTCCAGTTGCCAGGCAGGTGCTTAAGCCACTGAGCTAAATCCCCGGCCCCACGCTGTCCTTTTCTTCCACAATTCAGCACATCTGAATTGGGAGCCCACTACAGTATGAGCTGTGAGATAAGCCTTAAGGTGCAATGCCACGTCTCCTAAGATCTAGTCAAAGGACAGATGTTAATCTAATTATCAAACAGGTAAACGTCATCGTTACAACTGTAATGCATGCATTTCCTCCTATCTCCTCAGTGGATTTCATAAAGGAAAACAGTAAAATCCTCATCCAAAGGATGGGCATGGCTGTTATAAAGCAAATTGTGGATGAGCTATTTGTGTGGAACGTTCTGAATAGTGAAGAAATCAGCATCATTTGCTGTGAGAAGGTGGAGCAGGATGCAGCCCGTGGGATCATCCATATGATTTTAAAGAAGGGCTCGGAGTCCTGTAACCTCTTTCTTAAATCCCTCGAGAAGTGTGACTACGCTCTCTTTCAGGATCTGAGTGGACAAAGTAAGTATCAGTTCACTTGCATGCATTTCTCCAGACAGAATAAATCATGAAGAGGATCCATAATCTAGTGATAGAAGCTCTTCCCTCTTCCCACTACCTAGCACTGGGCTTTGATTCATGCTAAGGGAAACATTTATTAGATCACTTGGCAGCAAAGCCAAATAACGCAGGGCCAAGGAACAAAGACTTAGCAGTGTCTCTCTTCTGAATATGCCTGGACTACACAAACCCTCGAGTTAACATTCTCGAGTCTGCTGTGACCCAAGCTCAGTGATGGAAGTGCCCGCCTGACTCAGGGACAGTGACTCTGTTTTTCAGGAAATGGTAGTTTAGTTTTCATTACTTCCAACTAGTAAATTATGTCACTATAGATTAGGGCTTGAGCTGCTGAAAAGTACCGCTAACCATCTTTACCAGTCAAATCTTGTGCTTGCCTTAACCCGAAGGCAGCTGATTGATAACAGCTCCTCCTGTAACAGCTCCTCCTGTTACCAATTAGCTGCTGTCAGAGTTGGTGGCGAAAAGGCAAAAGGACAAAGAGAGGGAAAGGGTTCAAAAGGAAAAGCAGGAATAGATCCGCGGAGCCCTTGGTGCCCGCTCAGAACCGGGCAAGGAAATTAAAGTCACAGCAGTGGCTTCTCAGAGTGTCTTCTCTGCCTGTCCCCCGACCTCCAGGCTTTGAGGAGACGCAGAATTATGACTTCTGTCAATCACTTCTTCTCTAACAGGTCTTTTCCAACAGATACCAGAAGGAGACTTAGATGATTTGGCTCAGGATTTAAAGATCTTGTACCAGACTCCATCTTTTCTGAACTTCTATCCCCTGGGGAAAGATTTTGACATAATTTTTAATTTGAAAAGCATCTTCACAGAACCGGTCCTGTGGAGGAAGGACCAACACCATCACCACGTGGAGCAGCTGACCCTGAATGGCCTGCTGGAGACCCTTCAGAACCCCTGCATCATCGAAGGGGAATCCGGCAAAGGCAAGACCACCCTGCTCCAGAGAATCGCCATGCTCTGGGCCTCCGGGACGTGCAGGACTCTGACCAAGTTCAAATTTGTCTTCTTCCTCCGTCTGAGCAGAGCCCAGGGTGGACTCTTCGAAACCCTGTGTGACCAGCTGTTGGATGTACCTGACACGCTTGGGAGACAGACTTTCAAAAGCATGCTGCTCAAGCTACAGCAGAGGGTTCTTTTTCTCCTTGATGGCTACAATGAATTCGAGCCCCAGAACTGCCCAGAAATTGAAGCCCTGATAAAGGAAAACCACCGCTTCAAGAACATGGTCATTGTCACCACCACCACCGAGTCTCTGAGACACATAAGGCAGTTTGGTGCCCAGATCATTGAGGTGGGGGATATGACAGAGAACAGTGCCCAGGTTCTCATCCGAGAGGTGCTGATCAAGGAGCTTGCAGAAGGCCTGCTGCTCCAGATTAAGAGCTCCAGGTCCTTGAGGAATCTGATGAAGACCCCTCTCTTTGTGATCATCACTTGTATAATCCAGATGGGCGAAAATGAGTTCCACGCTCACACACAAACCACCCTCTTCCGGACCTTCTATGATCTGCTGATTCATAAAAATAAGCACAAACACAGAGGCGCCACGGCAGTAGACTTCTCTAGGAGTCTGGAGCACTGCGGGGACCTGGCCCTGGAGGGCGTGTTCTCCCACAGGTTTGACTTTGAGCTGGAGGATGTGTCCTGTGTGAACGAGGATGTCCTGGTGACAACTGGACTCCTCTGTAAACACACAGCTCAAAGGTTCAAGCCGAAGTATAAATTCTTTCACAACTCCTTTCAGGAGTACGTAGCAGGACGCAGGCTCAGCGGTTTATTGACGTCTCCTGAGCCAGAGGAGGTGGCCAAGGGGAACGCGTACTTGCAGAAGATGGTTTGCATTTCGGATATCACCTCCTTGTACAGCAACCTGCTGCTGTACACATGCGGGTCGTCTGCTGCAGCCACCAGGGCTGTTCTGAGGCACCTCACCGGGGTGTGTCAGCACGGCAGCCTGGATGGGCTTTCCGTTACCAGGAGGCCGCTCTGGAGGCAGGCATCTATCCAGAGCATGAACAACACCACTGACCAAGAGATTCTAAAAGCCATCAACATCAATTCCTTTGCAGAGTGTGGCATCAATTTATTCCAAGAGAGTGTATCCAAATCAACCCTGAGCCACGAATTTGAAACTTTCTTTCATGGTAAAAGTTTGTATATCAACTCAGAGAACATCCCCGATTACTTATTTGACTTCTTTGAATGTCTGCCTAATTGCGCAAGTGCCCTGAACCTCATTAAGCTGGACTTCTACGGAGGAGCCTTGGCTTCCCGGGACAAGGCCACTGCCGAGGGGTCCTCCGAAACCTACATTCCCAACAGGGCTGTGTCTTTGTTCTTCAACTGGAAGCAGGAATTCCAGACTCTGGAGGTCATACTCCGGGACTTCAGCAAGTTAAATAAGAAAGATATCAAGTATCTGGGAAAGATCTTCAGCTCAGCCACTAGCCTCAGACTGTACATTAAGAGGTGTGCTGGTGTGGCCGGGACCCTCAGCTCGGTGCTCGGCAGCTGTAAGAACATTCACTCCCTCATGGTGGACTCCAGCCCTCTCACTGTGGAGGACGAGCAGTATATTGCCTCTGTGACCAACCTGACAACTCTGAGTATTCATAACCTCCACACTCAACGCCCACCAGGTACTGTGCACCTCACAGGTTACACTCTGTCCAGATGGGCTGGATACTCTGGAAATATAAGATAGCAGGTAGTTCTGTTCTAAAATTTCTAGCTGAGCGTGGTGGCACATGCCTGTAATCCTTTCCAGTACTTGGAAGGCTGAAGCAAGAGGATCGCCATTAGTTCAAGGACAGCCTGGGCTACGTAGTGAGAAATCCTGTCTCAAAAAGACAAAAACAAACTATATGCTCGCTCTCTCTCTCTCTCTCTCTCTCTCTCTCTCTCTCTCTCTCACTCTGTGTTAAAGGTTATGTAATACACACACACACACACACACTTGATTCTTGGTACCAAAGGAAAGATATATTTTTATACAGCATACAATTGCATTATATATCAGCAAACTTGTCTTTAGCAAACTTTTCCTCATCAGCCTGTCTGTCTGTCTCTACCCAACACTGCTGTCTCTCTGCCAAGCAGCACCTGCCCTGCCTCAAGTCTTGGAGGAAATGCAGCCTGTAACATAATCTCCTCCAGCAGCGAGCGGCTACTTGTGTTCCAGCTTCTCATCTGAGAACTGTACCATGTATCCTGCCCCTAGCTTTTCCTTAAGTAGTGTTCACTTAGAAAACGGATTTTGGTACTAGACATTGTCTAACACGAAGAGATTTCAGACGTTAGGGACAGGCATCTGCGGACGATGTTTTCAGATGAAGAAGAGTCTTCCCTAAATTCCCGAGTGATATCAAAGGTGTCTGTCCTCTGCCCAGCTGCATGGTGGCACTGTGCTTGGCAGGAAGCTTGTTATTTAGCTGCTGAGCTGTACCAATCTGGAGTTCATTTCTGTCCTAAAGCATCTCCTGTCCTGATCTTCCTTACTTGCTCCTCCAAGGAGAAATTTTCTATAAAGTGAAGAATCTAGGAGCTTTCATACTGATCATTTTTCCCTGCCCCAGCTGAATGGAGGGCTCCCTTCGAGAGGACTCTGGATCTCACCCAGACTTAGCAGTCTGCCTTATGTGTCTGGCAGCCTGCTTCCCCGTGGCAGCTGTTACTTTATACAGCTCTTGTAAAGTTATCATCCATGTGCTGAATTTGGCTTACATGGTATTTAGAATGCTTTAAAGTATTTAAAACTAATATCTATTTTTCCATTGACACAGTAATTGTAAGATTTCTGGAGTAAATCACTTCAATATGTGTATATGAATGTGTAATTAGAATTTTTAAATGTTCGCCAAGACTTTGCTCTTAATTCTTAATATTTAATTTATTCAGGGGAGTAATATACTTACATGGTCCAAATTGGAAAAAGATCTATTTCTGGGCAGAGTGGTACACGTCTGTAATTCCGGCATTATGGGAGGCTGAGGCAGGAGAATTCCAAGTTTGAGCCTACTGTGAGCAACTTGGTGTTTCAAAATTTAAAAATCTTTAAAAAGGACTGGGGAGGTAGCTTGGTGTGAAGACCTTGGGTTCGATCCTCAGTACCACAAAACCAACAACAACAAAAGTATTTAAGATGAATCGCCCCTTCCCACTTCTGTCTTTACCCATGATAACCCATTCTGGAGGCGTTTCCAGCTTTAGCAATTAGGAAATATCACATCACTATAGATTTCTTGGGTCCCTTGAAAACTGTTAGATTTGGCAACAGTGCGCCCACATGCTCACTAACCCTTGGCTAAAGACAAATGACCCAGCTCCCTGACTTTTGGACAAGATCCTATCTTCGGTTGGTTACAGTCTCCGCCCTCCTTCTCCTAATAACATTATTTCTCTGGTTCTTTTTTTTTAAATTTTATTTAAGGAGAGAAAAAAAAAAGCAGAGAAAGGGTACAAGTTATACAGATTTACAGAAAAAAATAAACAGTAGGAAATCACTAGTTAATGGATTACATATTGTCATCTTAGAAATAATTGTTCAAGTCACAAAATTAAAGCTTGTAAAGTGGACATTCCAACAGTGAAACTGCAAACAGTTCTGTTCAATGATCCAATAAAACTCAGTGATATCATTTTCTATCTTATACACTTAAATATACATGCAGTTATATTGTTTAGAGCACTTTCTTTTCCTCTCTTTTGTACAATGACAATTACACATTTTGGGTTTTGTTGCTCCCACAGTTCTTATTACTTTTTTGGAAGGGAGTAGAACCAAATGTGACCTAACAGAACAGAGTCAATCAAATCAAAAGGGTGGACATAATAGATAATGTAAAAACATAATACAAGGTGATCAATAATGGTTACCATAATGCCTCCCGCTATCTCTAATAGAATTGCCTATATCATCAGTTATAATAAAATTGAACAAAACAGTAAAGAACAAAACTGACAAAACCAAAGCATTGGAGGCATTGTAGGTCTTCAAAAGTACATAAAAGTCAACGAGAATGGGTGTCATAATGAATCTCACTATCTTCACAGCTGTTGCCTAAACTTTCGAACCTGGTACTATCAAGCAAAACAGAATAGAGGAACATCAGTCAAAACAAGATGGTGAGAGCAATAAAATCACATGACATATACAGTTCATGATATGCAGGGCTTTTTTTTTTTTTTTTTTTTCAAAAACATACTTAGGTTAAAGAAAGACAAATGACCAGGCTGGAAATGTATCACATTATGATACCTAAGAAGTCACATTATGTCATTAATATTACAAGACTATTTTTTCAAATAAGGGAGGTATATGGATCAACTCTCCCACTGTTGGGACCAAGCGTCTGGCCCAGGAAACTGAGAGGAGGAGGGATTGTCTGGCACTCACAGTCTCAGAGGGTTCAATCAGCAGTCGGTCCACAGGTTCTCAGGTGGGATGGAATGGAGGAGGAAACCTAGGAATCTGCCGAGAGAGAGCCGGGGAAATGCCAGAAAGGAAAGGGGCAGGGACCAGAAATGTCTCCAAGGCCACATTCCCACGTCACACTAGAAGTCCTCATCTATATCCCATTCAGCTGTGAACTCTCCATGGGTGGATGCATTGAGGGGTCAGTGCCTTTGCATCAGATCCCTTCTCCCAGGGTCTCTTAATCAAGTTCCCAAGCAAGATTAAGTGGCACAGGAGTAGATCTAGAACTATCCTGGATTTGATATCCAGCACTGAAAAGAAAGGGACAAAGGGAAAAAATCCATAATTTCTGCTTAATATCATTAATTTTCCCAACAGAACTTTCAACTGTTATATTAAATGTAAATGGAAACTCCAATGCCTGAAAACTATCTAACTGTTCACTAAAGAAAGTGAAAGGCAATATATTTTGAATTCTTGTTGAACTTATTTGGTTAATGGTTTCTTTTTAGTCTTTCAAAACTGAGTCTGGGTATAGCAGTATGTACCTTAGTCCCAGCTGCTCAGGATTGCTTAAGTGGAGGAGTTAAAGGCCAGCCTGGGAAACAGTAAGATGCCATCTAGCAAATGAATGAAAATGAATAAAAGTCTTGTAATATTTTTTTTTTTTTTGTCTTTTTTCCTTTTTATCGGTACCAGGGATCGAACTCATGACTGCCTGCTTGCAAGGCAGGTGTTTATGCCGCTGAGCTAAATCCCCAGCCCCCTAAAAGTCTTGTAATATTAAAGATCCTTTATTTATTTTTCCAAATCCATTTTATTTCAAGGAGAAAAAAAATAACTAAAACAAAATTTCAAAACCTGTCAGTCAGGGGAAAGATCCTTTTAAATGACTGGAGTGTAAGGCTTTTGTCACTGTTAAGACAGACACTATTTTAAGGGGGAAAAATAATTTTCTTTGACTTGAGCATATTCATTAAATAGCAAGGCCAAGAAGAAAGAACCTTCTGTGGCATTAGATTTAGGGACTTCTTCTGAGGCCATCAAAAAATGACCTGTACTCATATTTTGGACATGGTTGTTATGTCGTTCAAGCAGCATTGTTATCCATATCATGTTTTGTTTTGGTACTGAGGGTAGACCTCAGGACCTTGCACTTGCCAGGCAGGCACTTGTGCCACTGGGCTATTTCCCCAGCCCCTCCATATCATGTTTTAAAAATTTTATTAAGACTTCCTTTATGGTCCAGAAAATGATCCATTGTGGTAAACGTTCTATGCACACTTGAGAAGGGTGTGAATTCTGCTGCTGTGAGCTGGAGTCAATGTCAACCAGGTCACCTTGCTTGATAGCATTATTCAAATATTCTCACACTTACTGGTTTTCTTACTGTCCTTCATGATGGACAAGAGGGTATTAAAGACACTGACTATACTGTGTATTTCTGTGGTTTCTTCTGTTATGTTTTTTGTGTTCGTTATATAGTCTGTATATCGATCATCTGTCAAAAGACTGATAGCAAAGTTTTCACCCCAGTTTTTCTCTCATTTTTGTATGCTGTTCTCTGCTCTTTGACTGGTTCCTTTGCTACATAGTAGCTTTTAAATCTGCTATCATCCTATTTGTCAATTCTTCCCATTATTTCCTGAGTAATTAGAGTCCTAGTCAGGAAATCATCGCCTATACCAATATCTTCAAGTGATTCCCGTTTTTCTGTAGTAGTTGCAAACTGTCAGATGTTACATTAAATTACAGTTTCTGGGACAGATTGTATAGACATGGTGCTATTTCTTCATTGAATGTTCAGTAGAATTTGCAAATAAAAGTATCTGTGATGGTAGATTTTTTAGAAAAATTGAAAGTATAGATTTTTAATAGTAGTAAGACTTCAAGTTATCTATTTCATCTTAGGTGAGTTTTGGTATTTTGTAGCTTTTGAGAAATTGGATCATTTCATACGAGATGTCAAATTTATTTATGCAAGTTTGTTCATATTATTTTCTAGGGTTTTTTTTGCATGTCTGTCATGATAACCTGTCCTGCATTTCTGATATTAGTAATGTGCAAATCCTCTTTTTTCACTGTCATTCTTGCTAGAAAACTATCAATTTTATTGATCTTTCCAAAGAGCTTTTTGTTTCATTACTTTCTATTATTTATAACTTTGTTGATTTCTATGTTTTATTATTATTATTTCCTTCTTGGATTTTTTCTTCCTCTCCTTTCTATAGTCTCTTATGTATTAAGCTCAGGTTACAAACTTGAGACCTTTCCTCACTTCTTATCACAAGTATTCAATGGTATAAATTCCTTCTAAGTGATTTTTACTTTATTATCATTTTTATCTCCCTTTCTGTGTCTTTCAAGGTACAGTGTAATTCCCAGACTTCCCTTAGACTCACGGTTCCTTAGAGGCTCGCAGTTATTTCGCAATGTGTAGATTTCTCTGTTATCTTTCTGTTCTTGGGGGCTGGGCTAATTCCATGCTGTTTGTGGAATCTGCTGATGACTAAGTACTGCAGGTATTCCTGATTTCTGTTGCAGGGTGTGGTGGCCCAGGCCTGTTATCCCAGCAGCCAGGAAGCCAAGGCCAGATGATTCCCACGAGTTTAAGGCCAGTCTGTGCTACATAGTGAATCCAAGGCCTGCCTGATCAACATAGTGAGACCCTGTCCAAAAAACCCAACTTAAGTTAAATTTTAAACTATATTTTTGTGTCACTTTCCATGAGCATTTCTTGTTCATGGTGATAGCTACAATCTTCTGATTGGTAACAGAAATGACAATAATACTGAATGATATAGTCATAAGTAGCAGTTGTGTCAATTCTATACAGTCTAATCTTTTTCTTTGTGGCAGGTGGTCTGACTGAAGGCTTGGGTAACTTGAAGAACCTTACAAAGCTGATTCTGGGTAACATTGAGATGAATGAAGATGATGCTGTAAAATTAGGTGAGGCATTTGTTTTCTGAAACATTTTTATTAATCTAAGTATGATAATTAGAATAGTTAGCTAAGGAGTCCTGTATCAGTCACTTTTCTGTTGCTGGTACAGAACACTTGACATCTGCTGTTTAAAGGAGAGGTTTAAACCTGGTGTGGTGGTGGATGCTGTAATCCCAGCACTCAGGAGGATGAGGCAGGAGGACTGCCAGGGTTTGAGGCCAGCCTAGTATCTACACAGTGAGTTCAGCCTGCACTACCTAGTGAGACCTTGGCTCAAAAAAAAAAAAAGGCCAGGTTTATTTTCATTCATAGTTTCAGAAGTTTCAGGCCATGGCTGGCTGGCTTTTTAAGGCAGAAACTTCTTGGCAGAGGGTGCAGCAGAGCACAGCTGCCCACATGATGGCAGCCAGGAAGCAGAGGAAAAGGAAGAGATGCAGAGGAAGTGGCAGGGACCAGCTATTGTCCCCTCAGCCCCAGGGCCCACCCAGACACAGCCAGAGGTGTGCTCCACTCATCTCCTTGGCTTCTCTCAAGCCGGCCATGTCCACAATCCAGATGAAGCCTCACAGAACCGTCAGCACGGCTGCACACGCGCGGGCCAGGCTGCGTCATTCATGCCCTGGGACTGCGCTGCTTTCCACGGACACTTGCTTCCCAGGCCCATCGCAATCCTTTGTAACATTTCATTCCAATTGCTCACTACCAGACTTTACCCTTTTTTAGAAGGGAGAGAAAGCAGAAAAAAAAGGACATATTTTTAACTTTTTTTTCCATGGCTGATTGACTATGATGGTATTTAAAACACTGAAACAATATAAAAATCGATAGGGTGATTTTAAAGTTAAGTAAAACTTCACGAATGATACAAGATGCAGAAAAGAAGGCGGCATGGAGAGAAATCTCAGGAGTACAGCAGAACACCTGGCTTGTCGCAGAGATCAGGCCCGGACGAGGAGGACTCCTGGGCAGCATCTGCCCGCTTCTCTTCCCGGCTCACGTCTTCCTCTCCTCCCTCCCTTGCTGCCTCCTTTCTTTTTTCTTCCTCTGCTTGAGACCTCAATAAAACGCTTCTCTTCCTTTAGCTTTCTTTTTAAGTTCCACTTCCTGCCAAAAGCAACTGTGTTCTTTAATTAAAACATGGTTGAACTCTTTTCCTTTATATAGTCCCCGAGAAAATAATCACATTAAATCAGTATTCAGCACACTCGGAATTAAACAGAGTATCAGAGCCAGAAGGAACTTGAGAACATTTACTTCATTCGTTCATTTATAGAACATCTACTGTGACCTAGGATGGTTTATTAACTTGCTCAGGATCTTACCGATTGGCAGAAAAAAATCACAAGTAGCTCCCTAGGAAAGTGTAGTTCTACTCCTAAGAAATTAAATCCTAACCTAAACGAACTAGTTTAATTATATTAATGATCATTTGCTATGTGTTAAACAATTACAGTGCGATGGATGATACACTCTATTTGGCACTTTTGTGTATGTTAGCTCACTGAATCCTCACGATATCTGAAGATGTGAGGCCACAGGTAGCAGGCTGAATAGCTTGCTCAAGTTCACAAAATGATTAAATGCTGAAAAGAAGTAGAATGATTACAGAGGTCGTGCTTGCCGCTCTAAGCCAAATGCACTCCCATACTGACATATATTTGTTGAAGGTTTCCTATGTGCCACTTACTATGCTCTAAACATTACATACGTTATTTACAACTTTTCCAAGTTATCTGCAAGCTCTGTGAGGTTGGTACTATTAAAACAGCAGCATAAGTACCTGCCTTGCAAGCAGGCGGTCGTGAGTTCAATCCCCGGTACCGATAAAAAAACAAACAAACAAACTGTATAGGCTGCAGGTACAGCAAAGCGGAATCTACTTAGCATGTATGTGACCCTGTGTTTGATCTCCTGCACCACAAAATGAAACAAATACCCATGTTTGTCTTTCTCTGAGTACCATGGAGACTAGAAATATTAGCTGGGCCTAGTGGCACACGCCTGTAATTCCAGCACTCAGGAGGCTGAGGCAGGAGGACTGTTGTAAATTCAAGACCAACTTGGGCTACAAAGTGAGCTCAAGGCCAGCCTGAACTGCATAGCAAGATCCCATTAAAAAAAAAAAAAGACTAAAAACATTTTGATGACATAAAGCTATACCTAATTAATCCTAAACTCTACATTAAATCTAAGAATTAGGGCATTTAAAGATGTTTTCAGCTGATGTGAGATAAATCTTTCAACTGGTTAGATACACTGCGTCAGTGTAGTCTTTACTGTAAGTCTGCATGGCTTCCCCCAGCATGCAGACCCTCGCAGCACCCCTGTGGCTGCAGACTGCAGGCCCCCAGCACTCCCCGAGACTGTGGTCTCCCTGTTGCCTTTCTGACCTCGGACTTCCTCTAGGAGTTCTGAGGGGCCCACAGGGTGTGAGTTCCTCCATTTCATTCATGAAGAGAGATATGGGAAGAGTACACTTCGATCATCATTAAAAATGCCACACGTCTATGTCGTTTCCATCGTGCTATTAAGATCTGCACATAAGTGGCTTTTGAATCGTCTGGAAAGCGAGAGTTGAGAGAAAAATCACCATTTGACTCCTTGAAACTTGAGGTCTCTGCAGAAAGAACGTGGGAGCCTCTGTGTGCAATTCTTTTTTGCCTTCTTCCCAGTCCATTCATCTCTGTGTAATCAAATCAACCTGGCATCCTGATGCATTTGCTTGCAATCTTTTTGCAGCTGAAGGGCTGACAAACCTGAAGACATTGTGCTTATTTCGTTTGACCCACTTGTCTGACATCGGAGAAGGGATGGATTACATAGTCAAGTCTCTGTCCGGAGAACCGCGTGACCTCCAAGAAATACAATTAGTCTCCTGCTGCCTGACCGCAAATTCTGTACGCACTCTAGGTAACCGGTTCCTCTGCTAACTCAGTGGGAGCACGGGACACTGTAGACAAACGCACACTAAATTTCTCAGATGAAAATTTAATTTTAATTCAACTAGAAAAGATACCAGAGATGTCTAGGTAACATCCAGCCTGTTTTTAATGAATTTTCTCCATTAGAATTAAAATTATTAATGAATAATAGAAGAGAATTATAAAGTAATTGAAGACGTTATAATTTTGAGAAGATGAAGCTGGGGAAAATAAATATTGTTGAGGAGGGAAATCTTGTTTGAAATTTGCCACACAATTTACCTGTAAATTTATGATAATTATTCCCGTGGAAATCTTTATGGAATCAGGAGTGGTGGCACCTGTCATACAATGACAGTCTAATAAATATTTGGGTGAACAGATAAATGTTTATAAAGCAGGAACATAAAGATTTCTTTAAGTCTGCTCAGGCCTTGGATTCTTACCCACTTCTCTGTTAAAATGGAGTTAATATGCGTAAATACAACAAGTCTTTTGACTCCCCCAAGTGTATTTATACCAAGCATGGAGAACTCTCTCCATATATATGGATAAACTATTCAATTCACATGTATTTTAAAATTTAGAATTTTTAAAAAGGTTACTGTGTAACCTTTTAAAATGAGACTATAGAACTTCTATAGTGCATGGTGGTGTATGCACTTGGGAGACAGGCAGGAGGATTGTTTTGAGTTCGAAGCTGGCCTGGGCTACAAAGTTAGCTCAAGGCCAGCCTGAACTGCATAGTGAGACCCTGTCTCAAAAAACTACACACACACAATATTTAAAAAAATAAAAAGGGCTGAGGATGTAGCTCAATGTGCAGAGAGTCCCTGGGTTCAGTCTCTAGGAAGATGCAAAGAGAAAAAAGGAAAGGAAAGAAAAAAGAAAGCAGAGTTAGTCTTGCTTAAAAATGAGACAAAACCAGGGGCTGGGGTGAAGAGCATTGGAAGGTTCTTGCCTAGTAGTGTAAGGCCCTGAGCTCAGTCCTGGGGCAGCGGAGAGGAAAGGTATCCAGCTCTAGTAATCTCAGTTTTTAATTTGTGTGTTTAGTCAATTTATTGATATGGCTGGATTTGCACTGCCGTTTTGCTATTTTTTTATCCTTTTTTTAACTAAGGTTTTTATTAATATCACAACTATAACATTGAAAAAATAATCCAAACTGAAACGCACAAAGACAGTTCATCTCAGCCGCTTCGGTTCCACTGTTTCTTGCGCAAGATAAGGCACATTTCTGAGTCACAAAAAACTTCACAGTTCAACTAATCCAGCCAGTCAGTGTGCGGATGAAGCCACCGGGGTTAGAGACCGAGTGGCCTTCCCATGGTGACAGCATGGCTCTGTCTTACACCGCCTTTCTGAACATGACCTAGAGTTTATTAAACTGAAGCCAGGACAGAACTGGATGCCACAGGCACCGGAGCAGTGGGTTATACCTAACAGCACTGTACTTTTTGTGTGTGTGTTTTTGAGACAGGGTCTCGCTATGCAGTTCAGGCTGGCCTTGGGCTTACTTTGTAGCCCAGGCTGGTCTCGAACTCGCAAGGATCCTCCTGCCTCAGCCTCCCGAGTGCTGGGATTATATGCGTGAGCCACCACGCCCGGCAAGCCCGACAAGCACAGTACTTTTGTTAACCGAGTCAAATGACAGTTTGTGTTACCATCAACAAAGAAAAGATGGTCTGGAATTCTTCTAAGGATGTTTAACAATATAGCTGCCAGAAACTTTTTTTTTAACATTTGTTTATATTTACATTTTTTCCAGCTCGGAATCTTCACAATTTGGTCAAACTGAGCATTCTTGATTTATCAGAAAATTACCTAGAAAAGGATGGAAATGAAGCTCTCTGTGAACTGAGTAAGAACAACTCAGCCCCAAGTTGAATATGTTTACTGGGTAGTTAGAAAAACAGCCTGAGCCCGGGTGTCTGGTAGTCCCAGCAAAAAGAAAAGCTTTCAGCACTTCCTTAAGGGGCCCTTATCCTTAAGGCCTAGGTCTTCTGAGTCCCTGGTTTGTATTTGTGCATCAAATACCTCCATCCAAGAAGCTTGCCACTGATGTTAGAGGCATGTTTGCTTAAGGAATTAGAGATAAGACTTTTAAGTGTGACAGTGACATATGATTAAAACAAAACAGTAAAACAACTGATACATATGTTTTGGATTTCCTTTAGGATAAATAAGAGGAATCAGGTCAGGATTAAGTGAGCTTGTCCACAATTTGCTCTTTGCTGAAAGTTGGATTACCGTTACACATTCTGTAGCTTTACTGTAGTGTTCTACACAATGCTTATGTGTGTTGGAGGAGAGCCCATAAGCTAGTAAAACATTTTCAGTGCCAACTGAATAGGCTGCAGAGCCATGAAGCGTAAAGATCATTTCTTCCCCAAGCCCCTTCACCCTTCATCAGTCTGGAGACAACCTGGTTCCTGAACTGCTCTTTGTTTCAAGTCGGCAGGCTCAGTGTCCTGGAACACCTAGCTGTGCTGATGATGCCTTGGTGCCTGGATGCCCACGTCAGCCTGACCAGCCTGTTGCAGCAACTGGAGGGCGTCCCTCAACTTCTCAAGCTTGGGATGAAAAGCTGGAGATTCACAGATGCAGACATCAGAATTTTAGGTGCGTACACACAGAGCCCGGACAAAAGCGCTTGGCCCTAAAACTGTTCTTAAGTTGGCTTTATTGATTTTGTCCCTTTTCCTTGCCTCTTCTTTTTAAAAGTACATTGAAAGAGAAGTAACATATTGAAAACAGTGACCCTTTACAGACTTCGAAGAAAATCATTGATGGTATATTATATTATACCATCAATGGTATATTATATTATTTACAAAGTAGCAAAGTATAATATAATATACCATTGATGGTATAATAAAGTATATTATATTATGACAAAGTATATTATATTATTTTTCATCCCAGCAATTCCCCTCCAATCACGGGAAAAAAACTTTAAGTCGAGTTTTTGAGTATTCAGAATATTTTACCTGCTCTAGATTTATCTATCTAAATGACCAAAGACACCTCCAACCACAAACAGCTGGTGAAAGGTCTTGGCATGCTTTCTAGTCATTAACAATTTATCCGTAATGAAATCATCCCAAAACATAATGGTTTCAAATGACCTTGGAAGGTCGGTGCTGGTCATCAGCTTTACAGCCTTCTGGCTACACAGGTAAACCCTCGCCAGCGTGGGCAGAGACAAAACAGAGAAGCGGAACCCAGGGGTTAAAGTGCCCGGGACCGTCTAGGAGGCCGTCACTCCTGAGGCAAGGGATTGATGAAAGGCCTCAGCCGCCTTCACGTCCCTTACAGATTGTCTAGAATGTGGTCAGTTAATGTAACATAAAATTTACCACTTAAACTATTTCAAGTGCAACATATTTTCACATTGTTTTGCAACCATCGCCATATTCACCTCCAGGAGTTCTGTACCCATTAAATCCTGATTTCTACCTGCCTCTCCTCTTGCAGCCTTCTCTGCTGGAAATGCTTACCTCTCATTCTTGGGCTGTCCAAGGGTTTTCTTTCCCTCATGGTTCTTCAAGATCTGGATCTTTCCTTTTCTTAATTCCCAACTTCTCTTCCCACTCCTTGTTCACTTTCTCTTCCCCGTCAAATCATACCATCCTGGGTGTCTTCATGACTTTTCTCATTGCTCAGACAAAATACCCAATACCCAACGTTAAAGAAAAAAAGGTTGATTTTAGCTCACAGTTAGTGGAGGGCAGCACAGGGCAGAAGAGAGCCAGTCCATGGCAGGGAAGGCAGAAAGCAGGAAGCAGCAAGCTTCCCTTTCATTTTTTGTCCCATCCAGGCTCCCAGCCCTTAGGCAGGTACCACCCACCTCAGGGAGGGGCTTCCCATCGTCCACACCCAGAACTATGCTCAACCAATCACTGGGCCAATCTAGTTATTACCCTCAATCACCCCTTAACCCACCTTCACCTACTCGAGATCTAGGCACCTCCAAAAAGCCCCACCTATGAGCGCCTGAGGCTTTGGAGGGGGGACATCTACCTACAAGGCATAACACTGGGTGGCCTTTCAGGCCCTTCCTCTATTCTCAGTGACACTGGAGGCAGTCAGGTCCATGACAGACTGGTTAGCTAGCTACCGTCGCTCTCAGGTAACCTCGTATCTTAAGTGAGTTGGAAAGGATGTGACTCTTCAGGCAGTTTCGTGAGAGTATCTGCATTTAGAATTCCTGTTGGGGAGGCATTCTTAGGCAGGGATCTTTTAGCATCTTTCAAGTGGATAGGTTGACAGCCACCTACTTCTACTCCCGAAGCTAGCTACTGAGACTAGGAAAGGGCATGCAGTGTTTAATGAGATACGAACAGACAGGCATGGTGGCCCGTGCCTGTAATTTCAACGTTCAGGAAGCTGAGGCAGGAGAATCACAGCAAGCTCAAGGCCAGCTTGAACTATACAGCAAGACCCTATCTCAGAAGAATAAAAAGAGACGGTTTACTATTTGACTACTTTCCTAGTGTTGTATAAGCCCCCATTGTGAAAAAGAAAAATAAACTGAAGTTATGATTCCTGAAAACTTAGCTATACTGATACTCTATAAGTTTAAAATGAAAAACACTAACAACTCACAATGGTAATTAATTTATTCTGAAGTATTAAAAAATTTGTAGAATGATCGCTATACTATTTACAAAGAGGCTCGAGCCGGGTGTGGTGGCACTCTGGGGTCTGTGCCTAGATCCCCAATCTCCCAAATGGGTGTACGGCAAAGACTCAAAGAAAAGAGACAAGTGGCTCTTAGGGTTCCAGGAGGACTAAAGTCCTCTGCAGAGCTCCTATCTCTGCTAGCTGACCAGCCGACTAACCCTGGGCAGCCTGTATTTAACCAGAACAAGCAGGGAGTTGAGTGGAAAATGCAGGAAACCTGAGCAGGATCTTGGGAGGGGTTCAAGGACCCCTCAGAGCAACAGACGATGCTAATTCAGGAAAACTATCCAGAAGGTCTCCGGGTGGCCTCAGCTGTGGCCTATTCTGCCCTCTGAGGCGTCTCCTCGTTCTCAGTTCAGCCAGCCGGGCCACGCCACAGCCCTGCACGTGTACTCGGTTTCAACGGCTCTAACAGTGGTACATGCCTGTAATCCCAGCGCTTGGAAGGCTGAGACAGGAGGATCACCGGGAGATTGAGGCCAGTGTGGGTTACATAGTGAGTTCAAGGCCAGTTCAACTGCGTAGTGAAACCCTGTCTTAAAAAACCAAAAGAAATAACAGCAAATACAAACAGAGGCTTGAACTTATTATAACAAAGGTCATCAGGCTACAAGGCTTGGAGACAAAAGAAGAAAGGTAAAAGAAAGTACCAGGGCGGACACTGCTCCCCTCAGCCAGGTTCTCTACCTCCCAGAGGTTCACAGTTACCTGCTGGCTGCACAGTGAGGGGCCAGTGCTCGGCCTGAGGTCTGTCCAGGTCCTGGGAATGCTTCCTCTCAATCCCCTCCAGGGGCTGCTCCTTGAAGTAAGGTGGTGCCTTCACTTTGCAGACAGACAGACCTGGCCACCTCTTCCACCTGACAGATGTGTGGCCTGCAGCAATTTAAACTGAGTCTAGACACCAAAAAGGGGAGGCAGGATTCTTGGGGCTGGTTTGGAAAACAAAACAAAACAAAAAAGATGCCCCCAAATGAGCTGTCTTCCCTGGTTTTTAAGGGGCGAGCCCATTGAGCTATGTCTTCAGAACCTTTTAAAAGTTTTCGTTTTGAGGCAGGGTCTCACTAAGTTGCCTGGCATGAACTTCCGACTCTTCTGCCTGAAGGTCTCCACACCTAGACTGAGTCCCTCCAAGACACCAAGTTCAGACCGCCTGTTCTCACACAGGGACCTCCTGTTCCTTTCCACCTGCTCAGCGGCTCCCAACCGCCAGTCCTCTTTCTTTACTTCCAGTCCATTAACCCCACTTCTGCTGATTCTCTTTTATCTCCTTTACTCTGCAACTTCTGTCCTTGAAATCACGGTCATCCCCAGGGGCTGAAACGCACCTGGCCCTCAGTACTGCAGGTCATTGTAAGCAATGACAATTAGAGGAGGACGCGTGTTTGATGTAGCAGTCAAATGAAGGGTGTAATGAGCAGCAGAGCCTGTAATTAGGGGAGACCTCACAGTGAGATGCACGGAAATAAAGGCGTGAGCCCGGAGGCACAGCGTAGCTGCAGCGGGTGGCAGCCTTCCCAGCGGGACACCACGCCCGGCACTCTTAGGTGCTGCCCTGTTTTCCACGAGCACTTAGGTTCCGGGGGAGAGAGCCATACAGTTTGTCAGAAAAGCAATGTTACAAGTTTATACTGGCAAACTTCGACAAAAAAGAACCCAAATACTAGGAAAATACTGTACATTAAAACTCGTGGCGTGTAGCAAAAGCAGGAATTGAAAGCAATTCTCAGAACTTTAAATTTTTATGCAAAAAAGGCTGAAAATGAATGTTTCTATCTGAAGAAGCCATAAAACCTGAATACACAGAAGAGTATAACAAGAATAAGCAGAAGAGCGTAAGTCAGCTGGGTGTGGTGTGTACACTGCAGCCCCAGCTACTAGAGAAGCTGACACAGGAGGATCACATATTCAAGGCCAGCCTTGGCAACTCAGCAGGACCGCCTCAAAAGATTAAAAAACTAAAAAGCGAAAAGGGTTGGTATGCAGCTCAGCCAGAGAACCTAGGTTCAATTCCAGTACTGAGAAAAATAGCACCTTATTTTTGCTGAGGGGTTGTAGTGGTTTTTCCCTGAAAAAAGGTTTTCCAGTTTTGTGTTCTTTTGTGTGTGTGTGTGTGTGTGTAGCTTACACTGTAATGGGCTGTCTGAAATTCTCAGTGATCCTCCTGCCTCGGCCTCCTGAGTTTGGGATTACAGGTGTGCACCACAGGGCCCGGCTTTGTTTTTGTTTTTTAAAACTGGGTCTCACTATGTATTTCAGGCTGAAAAAAACTCACTATGGAACTCATGGCAAGCCAAGTGCTGGATTACTGGCATACACCAACATGCCTGGCTTTCTTTTTTCCTATACTGCCTCATGCAGGTGGTCTGAATGTGTTCCCCAAAAAGCATGTGTTGGAAACAGTCTGCAATACAACAGTGCTGAGAGAGGACATGCAATTGGCAGTTTAGGTCCTGAGTGGGCTCCAGCTCGGGGTGGATTCAGGCTGACCACAGAAAGGCTTGAGGCTGTGAGTTTCAGCTCATTTATTCTCTGACCTTCTTTTTGTTCTTCTGCCATGGGTGTGACACAAGAGGCTTCTGTCAGAGAGTAGTCTCTTAAAACACATGCACAGCTGTGGTGTACACCTGTAATCCTAACACTAGGGAGGCTGAGGCAGGAGGATTGCTGGGAGTTGGAGACCAGCCTGGGCTACAAAGTGAGTTCAAGGCCAGCCTGAACTGCACAGTGAAACCCTATTTCAAAAAAGACAAAAACAAAACAAAACAAAAGCACCGCAGATTCAATGAACAAAACGCTTCCCTTGGATTATGGAACAGTGGCCTATTCTTGGTTTCTATGCTTTACACAGTGCCCAAGGAGCTAATTTAAGATCTTTATACCTCAGCAGGGAGCCAGAATAAATACCCAAATGGAGGGTTGAACGGGCTCTACATTCTTTAAATTCTTGTTAAGTGGTGAAATCTGTTCTGCTAGTTGAGGCAGAGTCCTTGCTCCTTGGGGAAGGAGACCCCAGTCAGCACACTAACTGGCAGCCTGCACATGAAGAGGAAAAGGGCCCTGTAGCGACCAGCTGGAGCCCGAGCTGTTCCAGGGAGGAGGGAGAAAGGAGAGCGAGAAGATGGAGGAACAAGGAAAGAGACACAAGCTGAAGTCAGGCGGGGCTTCTCTCTGGCCTGGCCGGCCCCGGCTCCTGGCCCTTTGGAGCTGGAACGGCTTGTTGCTGCAGTTTACCTCTGGGACTCGGTATTCCAGGGTTGGCCTCGCTTTAGCCTGCGTGTGTGATCAATCTCCAGCTTCAGCTGTTCCCAGAGGAGGACATGGATGTGAGACGTGACAGCAGGGAATAATGAACGAGGAATAATGAACACAGGTTTAGTGAGGACGCACCTACCCTGTGGGTGACGGAAGCCAGTACTGTGCTTCCGTCTCACATAATGGTGCAGCCTGTCAGAGCTGGCCCCAGCTCCTTTACTCCTTACAATTCTATTCTGGACTCCACGGTCAGAGCTAGGTCATTGCCACGTGAACAATTCAACCCAGGAGACGAGAGGGAAAGCGGAAGTGAAGGACATTTTACCTCCGCAAAGTGATCTGGAAATTGCATGCACTGCTTCAGCCCATTTAGCAGCAACAGAGGCTGGGATATGACTCCCATAAAGCCATAGAGTAAGAGGGACGTATCTGAGGAACAACTAGCAGCCGTTTACTTTCCAAGAAATAAGCAGAGAAAGGAGGGCCCAAAGATCACCAGGGTGTCAAGCAGCACTCGTGGGTGAGACAAGGATGCACAGGCCTGTGATCATCCTGTGCTTGACCCACCTTTGCCATTAGGACCTCGACTATCGTCAGACAGGGTCCACTCATGTCCAGTATCCACGGAGAACCTACAGAGCTTTCTAAACTCGAAGCTTATGAAGGTGATGAACCTGCAGACAGTGACTGCCGACATTGGGAGTTAGCACCAACCATCTTCTTGCAGTGAGAAAAATACACACCACCAGTGACATCTGATCCTAAAATTGCGGGTTGTTGGTCAACACGGTCACTGAAAGTGGTTAGGAGTAAGTACACATAGTTGTCATGCTTAATTGGGGTGACTTCAACCTACCATAAGCTTGTCAGACAAGGATGACCACTCCTGTCCTGAAGTCTTCATTACTAGAGGCAGACAGTGTTTAGTCTTTGCTTGTTGACCTTAACGTAGATGTACAGCACTTGAAGCCTTTAGTCTTTGCCTTTGCCTCTGGGTAACAATGGTCTCGAGCCAGGCAGGCATACACACCTGTGATTTGTGGTACAGCTCAGAGTACAGACGTACAAGGAATCTGAGTCCTTCTGTGTGTCAGGCTGTCTACCCTGTACTGGTCACCCGGAAAATGTCGGGGCAGAGGGCAGGACTAATGTGTGCAAGATCTAAGTCATGAGGAGTCTGTGTGAACTCCTAATGTCACATATTGGCCAGTTTGCATGGTGGTATATTGCCCGAGAGAGGTTTTCTCCAGTTAAGATTCATCTGAGCTCTAATATTATCTAAACTGGTAATATGGGAATGAATACTAAAAAAGCCTGTATTTTTTATGTAACAGGAAACCTAAGAAACATGAGAGCCACCCTCCCATTCATGGAGTTATTTTAGGGTGCCTTATTCTGCAAAAGATAGAGAAACTTCCTGAAGAGGCCAGGGAAGAGTAAAAACAAAAACACATCTTTAGATATTGAAGGAGATCCCTTTACTTGAGCTTACACTTTAGAACAAAGGCATACCCCAAGATACAATCGCTGGGGTTTACGTCTCCAGAGGAGAAATGACTTCCTATTGCCTAACTTTGACTCCAGCCTGAAAATAACTGAATATTTAACAGCATTTCTCATACCTCAATTTTTAAAGAACTGCCCATTTCCTGGAAGACTCAGAAAAATAAAATAGAACTCATTTGTATTTGCTTACTATACTACTACTAACTACTCTTCAGCAGATTCCCTTACCCTTTAGGAAAGATCCAATTTGTAAATATAGTGGCCCACATTCATACTCTATCTGTAGAAAATTCTGATTTCTTCTGGAGGAGCACAGCACTGCTCCAAACATGGGACATTTCAAAATGGAAAGCTGATATGCACACAGAATCTATTTTGCTTTAAAAATTGGTTTTCTTCCAAGTAACATACTTCTTTCCTTACCCAGGTACATTTTTTGAAAAGAACCCTCTGAAGAACTTCCAGCATTTGGATTTGGCGGAGAACTGTGTGAGCAGTGATGGCTGGCTTGGCTTCATGGGTGTATTTGAGAATCTTAAGCAATTAGTGTTTTTTGACTTCAGCACCGAAGGACTTTTACCTGACCCCGCATTAGTCAGAAAACTTGGCCATGTGTTATCCAAACTAACTTTTTTGCAAGAAGCTAGGCTTATTGGATGGCAATTTGATGATGATGATATCAGTGTTATTAAAGGTGCCTTTAAGATAGTAACTGCTTAAATAAAAAACACTCTAAGCTAAGGAGTAGTTGGGCTGCTTGTTACTTTCGGCGGGATGATTTAGATACCTTGGAAAAAGAAGACAAAGATGAGGAAGTGGAAGGCAGTTTAACCAGAGGACGTGTGCAACAGTTAGGTGTGACATCTCTCCAACTGGGAATGTCATCTCCTTAAGGGACTCCTGCTCATCTTTGTGCTACCCTTGGCCCTAAGAATACTATGTCACAAAAACTAGCATATTCTATGCATATGTAAACCCAGTATGGTTCCTGGCATGGGACAGACTCAAAAAATATTTGCTAAATATAAATAAATCATCGATAAATAGCTATTGAATAAGCCAGGGATGGTGACAGAAGCCTGTATCCCCAGTTACAATGGTGGGGTAGGAAGATCACAAGTTCAATGCCAGCCTGAGCAAATTCGTGAGACCTTGTCTCAAAATTTAAAAAGTTGAAAAGGGCTAGGGATGTGCTATAATTCTGTGCTCCTGGGGTGAAGTTCACAAAAAACCACTGTGAAGAAGCAAACCAAAATTATCTAATGCTCTTTAATTGGAATGGTTTAATTCAAATGATTTGGAATGAAAAAAAGCATTTTCTCATATTAGAAGCACTGCCAAAAAAGATTGACATTCTTTAGTCAAGTACAAACTGGCAGCTGATAAGCAGGGAAATCAGAGGTTTGAAAATCGGACTCTCCGTAGCAGAAGCATTCATCTTATATAATTCCATAAGGAAGCAAGGAAGAAAGCATCCCATTCATTTGTTCCTGACAGAAGCAGAGGACACCCTGTCATCTTTTCTCCACATCTCCAAAAATAACCAGTCACAGAAAAGTCTAAAAACAGCTCTGTAATCTAAGCAGATTTAAACTGAGGGATGTTGAGAAAAAACCCAAGAACCTGGATGGTGTTAGCCTGTGGCATCTTCTGGTCTCATGACACCTCAAATTAATGGCTTAGCTGTTGGTGCAGGTAACACGTGGCCAGCATGCTGAGGTAGTAGTTAGAAATTCTGGGCAAGCCTGTGTAGTAATTGGGCTACAGATTTAGTCAGAAAATTCTACACATCAACTAACTCAGTTCCCTCCCTAATTTACAGATGAGAAAGCTCTGCTAATTGGCTTGCTTGTTCATGACTACAAAACACTTCTATATCTTCAGCAGCAGGACTGGGACCCAAATCGATTATCTCCTAGTCCAGTGATTTTTCCATGGCAATACAGGGATTTCTTCAAATAGGATTAGTCGCACTCCGTGGAGCCTGCTTGTAATCACAGGCCATGGGCCAAATTTCCTTTTCTTGGTCTTGCTTCAAAATATTCTCTAGTGGGATTTACCAATAAGGCTGTTGCAGATATTCCCATGCTGGCCATGATCATTATTTTCATGTCCAGAAGTCAGTCAGAGCCTGACCAGCAAGACTTCTATGAAATAATGCACGGGCCGAAGCCATCTGCAACATTTGGCATCACAGATTTTCAGCAAGCAGGACCAGTCCCTTCCCAGCCCAGGCAGTCTGAGTGTCCTTTCTCCAGGAGGGTTAGGTACCTTTGCTGGCGCAGCTGCACAGATGTTGCCTCTGAATGAGAGCTGAGGAGGCAGGCACAGAACCCGATGCAGCTCCGTTCAGTACCAATCACTTAAAAATCTGGTGGCAAGACATGAAAAGACATAGGGGAAGGCGGCACACACCTGTTAATTATCGCTCAGGATGTGACAGTCCTCCAGATTTCATGTGGGACCTCAGTTCACATTTAGATGAGGTCAATGGTGGAAAAATCACCTCGTGGCTATTTGAAGAACATAAGACAAAGGACAGACACAGGCTGCCCTATGACAATTTACACTTTCATTTCCTCCAGTCATCAAAGGAAGTGTGGGCTGTATTTCTTCAGCAGGGCTGCAGCTGTCAAAGACGATGGATTCTTTGCTAAGCAAAATGTTAGTAGAATATGGTCACTTTTTATCACAGATGATTACAACTTTGCTTGATACAGATGGCGTTTCTGATGTTTGTTATTCCACTGTGAAGGAGGATTTGGAAGAGTCCTACTTTTAAAAGAGGATGAGCTGACCAAGAAACTCTTGCCAATGCTATAAAAACAGTATCTTCTCTAGATAGCTGTTTGATGGCTGAGAAGTCACAGATCTCCAGAGGCAGTGGATTCTAGGAAAGCTGAATCCGTTTTCAGAATACTCTTTAAAAAATCTTAACTATAGAATGCATGATAAAACATAACAACACAAAACAAAAAGAAGCCTCACAGGTAATGTATGACCGCTGCTCATAACACTTTTTGGAAACCATACTGACCATGTTGGAATGTCCTTAAAATCTGCATCTGGAAAATGACTACAAAATAATTTACACGCTCAGTGGAACAGCGCCTGCCTGGAAAGCATGAGGTTGTGAGTTCGATTCTTGGTACAAAAAAAATTCTTTTTTACATGATTTTCACACTGTATCACATTAATAATTCACTCTTGTTGACAAAGGAAACAAAAAAAATAGAAACTGCCCAAGTAGGCATAACAATACTGTATCCTGTAATTTATAGTCCATTATACTTTGGTAAAATTATATAAAATATAGTTAAATTATACAAAGTTGAAAAGATATCAACTCCCATATTTTGTATGGAATGCCATATATTTTGGTAATATGTTTTAGTAATCAAATGAGAAATAAAACATCAACTAATTAAAATGTGGATTAAAAAGACTCCACTATTACGAGCATATAAAACTGGGATTCTTTCATTGCATTTCATCAAAGGTTTGATATTCATCTAACTAAATAAAACACTGAGAACCATCAACTATTTACAAATGTGCTGCCAGGCATTGTGGTCTATACCTATAATCCCAGTACTTGGGAGGCTGAAGCAGGAGGATCCCCACCAGCTCAAGGCTACCCTGGGCCACACTGTTACTTCAAGGCTGGCCTGAAGTACATAGTGAGAACCTGTTTAAAACAAAAACAAAAACACCCAAATGTGTTGAAATTTGTGAATGAGGCAAACTTTAACAAAAATAGGGTTTTTTGGATTTTTTTCATCTTTTTTGAGGGAGGGTTTTACTACATGGTTCAGGCTGGCCTTGAACTCACTTTGTAATCCAGGCTGGGTTGTAATCCCAGCACTCAGGAGGCTGAGGCAGGAGGATCACTGCAGGTTCAAGACCAGCCTAGGCTACAAAGTGAGCTCAAGGTCAGCCGAACTGCATAGTGAGACCCTGTCTCAAAAAACAAAACACCTCAACAACATAATAGCAAAACAAAACAAAAACAAAAACCAAGGCTATAATTTAAGAGGAGCTCAAAAATGTAGCAGTTAAGTCTGGAAAAATTATGAAAGAGACTTTTACTTTTAAAATGACACTGTTTTCCTTTCCTAAAATGTATATTATTCACGAAGCATGTTTATAAATTTTGCTAAAAAAATCAGGAGGCTTTTTTATAAAGGTAAGATCATATCACACTGCAGGCAGTTACAAACCAAAGATAGCAAAACTAGAATTTAGAGAAACAAACTTTCTAAAAGAAGCTTATTTAAAGTCTATAACATTTGCAAAGATCTCACTGCCACAAAAACATTTTACAAAAATAGAATTTATAGGTTTCATGAAATGTGAACAAGCCCACTATTCTCTAACACTTAGTGTAAATGATTGAGCAGTCAATGCAAAGTTTGATTACTACATATTCCTTGTAAAAATAAGGTAAGAGTACATCACGGTCTTGGTTGTCCAATTCTGTTGTTGCTTCCGTATCTACCCGGCATATTTGTAAAACCAGTCCTGAATCCCTGGGTCGCTCCAAGTCCCGCAACCCCAAGTCCTTGATTCAGCATGCTGCTGTACGGTGTGTGTCCATGATTCAGACCAATACCATAAGGCCTTGCTTGTGTGTTTAGAAGAATAACTGGGCTCACATTCTTTCCAGGGGTGTTAAATGAAAATTCTGGAGGTGGACTGCTAGGTTTAGTTGGAGTCGAGGTGACCGGGTTCAGATCATCAGTAGTCTTTAAAAGAGGCATCGGGATTATGTGATGGTCTGAAAAGTTGAGGACGTGGGCTGTGCCGGGCCCAGACACTAAGGCAGGCCTAATCCAATCATCCTTGAAGATCTGAACCGTCAGAGTAGACACGAGGGTATAAAGCCTGTTGGTGACATGAGCAAGGACCATTTGCTCATTTGCATCTCGTCGAATCCTTACATGCACTGATCCGGCCTGCGGGGCAAAATCATAAGAAACAGAGTGCTTAGAATTATACTACTGAGAGTTCCACTACAAGGAAACATTTTACATACGATTTGGTCAGCACCTGGTATTTTATTCAAAATAAGAGAAAGCTTAATGTCTTGCTACTTTTTAAAGACTATTTATTCATGGTTATCAATGTAAAAAGTAAAAAAAAAAATTGTTTGTATCCCTGTCACAATATTAACAAAGGAAAGAAATTCACTTAGGAGAAAGACAGGATATTATAATGCAAGGCAGGATATAAGTGAAATACATAAAACTAAAATGGAGGGGCAGGTACATAAGTGCAAATTCCAATTGGAGAAGTTTTCAAAAGAAGACAGCATTTGATCTAGGATTGAAGATTAAATGGAATTTCAAAAAGCAGAGAAAGGGACTCTATGCTGAAAATATATGGCATGTTTGGTAAGAATAAAGAATACCAATACATAAGGAAGTAAAAATATTTCAGAGGGCAAAAGAAGGAGAGAAAAATAAGACATAAAGAAAAAGAAGGAAAGATGGAAATAGGAGGTTAAAAAGATAGGCCAGGAGGGGCAGTGAGATAGGCCAGGAGGGGCAGTGAGATAGGTCAGGAGGGGGGCAGGGAGATAGGCCAGGAGGGGGGCAGTGGGATAGGCCAGGAGGGGCAGTGAGATAGGCCAGGAGGGGGGCAGTGAGATAGGCCAGGAGGGGGGCAGTGAGATAGGCCAGGAGGGGCAGTGAGATAGGCCAGGAGGGGGCAGGGAGATAGGCCAGGAGGGGGGCAGGGAGATAGGCCAGGAGGGGGGCAGTGAGATAGGCCAGGAGGGGCAGTGAGATAGGCCAGGAGGGGGGCAGTGAGAGAGGCCAGGAGGGGGCAGTGAGATAGGCCAGGAGGGGGCAGGGAGATAGGCCAGGAGGGGGGCAGTGAGATAGGTCAGGAGGGGCAGAGAGATAGGCCAGGAGGGGGCAGGGAGATAGGCCAGGAGGGGCAGTGAGATAGGCCAGGAGGGGGGCAGGGAGATAGGCCAGGAGGGGCAGTGAGATAGGCCAGGAGGGGCAGTGAGATAGGCCAGGAGGGGGGCAGTGAGATAGGCCAGGAGGGGGGCAGTGAGATAGGCCAGGAGGGGGGCAGTGAGATAGGCCAGGAGGGGGGCAGTGAGATAGGCCAGGAGGGGCAGTGAGATAGGCCAGGAGGGGCAGTGAGATAGGCCAGGAGGGGGGCAGTGAGATACGCCAGGAGGGGGGCAGGGAGATAGGCCAGGAGGGGGGCAGTGAGATACGCCAGGAGGGGCAGTGAGATAGGCCAGGAGGGGCAGTGAGATAGGCCAGGAGGGGGGCAGGGAGATAGGCCAGGAGGGGGGCAGTGAGATAGGCCAGGAGGGGCAGTGAGATAGGCCAGGAGGGGCAGTGAGATAGGCCAGGAGGGGGGCAGTGAGATAGGCCAGGAGGGGCAGTGAGATAGGCCAGGAGGGGGGCAGGGAGATAGGCCAGGAGGGGCAGTGAGATAGGCCAGGAGGGGGGCAGGGAGATAGGCCAGGAGGGGCAGGGAGATAGGCCAGGAGGGGGGCAGGGAGATAGGCCAGGAGGGGAGCAGGGAGATAGGCCAGGAGGGGCAGGGAGATAGGCCAGGAGGGGGGCAGGGAGATAGGCCAGGAGGGGCAGGGAGATAGGCCAGGAGGGGAGCAGGGAGATAGGCCAGGAGGGGCAGGGAGATAGGCCAGGAGGGGGGCAGGGAGATAGGCCAGGAGGGGCAGGGAGATAGGCCAGGAGGGGGGCAGGGAGATAGGCCAGGAGGGGAGCAGGGAGATAGGCCAGGAGGGGCAGGGAGATAGGCCAGGAGGGGGGCAGGGAGATAGGCCAGGAGGGGCAGGGAGATAGGCCAGGAGGGGAGCAGGGAGATAGGCCAGGAGGGGCAGGGAGATAGGCCAGGAGGGGGGCAGGGAGATAGGCCAGGAGGGGCAGGGAGATAGGCCAGGAGGGGGGCAGGGAGATAGGCCAGGAGGGGCAGGGAGATAGGCCAGGAGGGGGGCAGGGAGATAGGCCAGGAGGGGGGCAGTGAGATAGGCCAGGAGGGGGGCAGTGAGATAGGCCAGGAGGGGGGCAGTGAGATAGGCCAGGAGGGGGGCAGTGAGATAGGCCAGGAGGGGGGCAGGGAGATAGGCCAGGAGGGGAGCAGGGAGATAGGCCAGGAGGGGCAGGGAGATAGGCCAGGAGGGGGGCAGGGAGATAGGCCAGGAGGGGCAGGGAGATAGGCCAGGAGGGGCAGGGAGATAGGCCAGGAGGGGGGCAGGGAGATAGGCCAGGAGGGGCAGGGAGATAGGCCAGGAGGGGAGCAGGGAGATAGGCCAGGAGGGGCAGGGAGATAGGCCAGGAGGGGGGCAGGGAGATAGGCCAGGAGGGGCAGGGAGATAGGCCAGGAGGGGGGCAGGGAGATAGGCCAGGAGGGGCAGGGAGATAGGCCAGGAGGGGGGCAGGGAGATAGGCCAGGAGGGGGGCAGTGAGATAGGCCAGGAGGGGGGCAGTGAGATAGGCCAGGAGGGGGGCAGTGAGATAGGCCAGGAGGGGGGCAGTGAGATAGGCCAGGAGGGGCAGTGAGATAGGCCAGGAGGGGGGCAGGGAGATAGGCCAGGAGGGGCAGGGAGATAGGCCAGGAGGGGCAGGGAGATAGGCCAGGAGGGGGGCAGTGAGATAGGCCAGGAGGGGGGCAGTGAGATAGGCCAGGAGGGGGGCAGTGAGATAGGCCAGGAGGGGCAGTGAGATAGGCCAGGAGGGGCAGTGAGATGGAGGTTCTGATTAACAGCTGCATCCAAACAGCAGTAAAACAATGCAAGTTGGAATCGCTACTGTTTTCATGGGTGACTGATAATGAGGTAGGAAGTGACAGCAACAATCCAGGTTAGAAATAAGATCGCTGAGCTAGGGCAAAAATTGTAGCATACAGGAAGATCAGACAGATTAACCTGCTCCAGGGCAGAAATGGGACGATGTGATACACAAATGGAACAAATGGATGAAGGAGAGGCAGTCATCAAAAATGATCTCAAGGTTTCTAATCTAGGTACTCAGAGGACAGAGCACACCAGGCTCTCAGTGATGGTTAGAATAGTTAGCAACTTGACAAGAAGTTTACTATACACTACATATTTAAAGTAACATATAAATATAGGAATGATCCTATTTTGATTGAAACACAGAACAACAAAAATAAAAGATTTTTAAAAAATACAACCCACACAAAGAAAAATATCAACAATGACTGCAATTATTTCTAGATACCAAAATGATTTAATTATCCCTAATTTATGACTTAGTTTCAAATTATTTTCTAATAATTGGGTACTAGTTACTTAATAAAAATGAAAATAAAACTGTATGGTAAATAAAATGTCCCAACAGACACGCCACGTTGCTTTCTACACTCAGATTTTCTAAATAGAAAAACTTATTACAAGACAATAAGTGTATATAAATTAGCCAGAGAATTTCCGTAATTCTGGTGTATCTCAATGTATGACTCAGAAGGCCTAGCGTGGCACTACTGTCCCCATGAGACAGAGGCGGCACCCGCGTCCCACAGCCGTGTCTAGGCACCGTCACCGCCGATTCTTCCCTTTTCTGTGACACGACCACTTATCCTCGACACTATACAAAAGTGTGGAAGACACAGCATCCTCTTTCAGTTGGACAGAGAAGTCAGTGAAAAGCATTTAGAATATGAGTTTGAAGAGTCTCCTATGAGGGTGACACATGTATTAAACTTAGGCTTAGGGGGTGTAAAACGGGTTAAGATGTGTTATATAGTGTACCGAGTTCTCACGGTGAATGTAATTATTACAAACTGCAAAAGTGTACTAATAAAAATAAACGTTTTTTAAAAAACAAGGCTTTTATGACATCAACTTTTGGGAGCTCTAAAGCTTCTTTTTATAACTTCCTAGATTTTATGCTGGGACTACACAGATGTGGTTTCCAGATAACCAAATTCTGAATAGCTGACTGTACTTTTTATGTTTATGAGCCATTCAGATTAAGAAATGCTGTCTTTTTTACATATTACTATCTTTGGTGCAATTAAAAAATGGTGAAAAACTAAATACACTACTGGGGGAAGATAAATCAGGATAAGCAAATGGGAAGCAATCGTTGGCATGTTACATTAAAAGCCATAAAAATGTGACTGCTTTTTTTTTTTTTGGCACTGGGGATTGAACTCATGACCTCATACTTGCCAGGAGGTGCTTACAGCCAAGCAGGCTAAATCCCCAGCCCAATGTGATTGCTTTTGACTCTCAAAAACCACTTTAAAATGTAAATCTTCAAGAATAATCACAGAAGCCAGGTGTGGGAGTGCGCATCCATAATACCAGCAGTTGGGAGACTGAGGTAGGAGGACCACTGCAAATTGGAGACCAGCCTGGGCTACAAAGTGAGCTCAAGACCAGCCTGAACTGCATAGGGGAACCCTGTCTTAAAAAAGAAAAAAAAAGAATAATCAAGGAGCTGGGCATGGTGGCACATACCTATAACCCTAGCACTGGGGACACTGAGCAGGAGGATTACCACAAGTTTGAGGCCAGCCTGGGCTACATAGTGAGTTCAAGGCCATCCTGCAGTACAAAGCGAGACTCCTCTTTAAAAAACAAACAAACAAAAACTAAAACTCTATAGGCATAAAAAATTATGCTGGGATTCTTGGAAGATAGCACAAGTTTTTGAAATGGTCAAATATCCTTAACAAACAAATAAAGACAGCAAAGTTGAAAACTTAGCAATACCATAAAAAAGAAAGACAGACAGACAGAAAGAGGAAAACTAAACAAAATGGTATCCCATTGTAATTTCAAATACAAGCTATAAAACTTGCATATCAAAACCTGTAATACCCCAAATCAGCGAACTGGTACTTAATGAAAACCTAGGACAGCCCACTCGAGGGGCAGCTGAAGCCAGGAAGGTGCTGCACATTTCACTGGTGGGGGACACACTGGGTCTGGGGTGAAGTCTGTAGGGTTGCAGTGGCCCGAGCCCTGTAAGCTCTCAAAAGCAAGCAAGCAAAACTGCTTTATAGGACAAAGCCCACAGGAAGAGGAAGAGGAGGAAACAGAAGAAAAAGAAAAAGAAGAGGAAGAGGAAGAAGCAAACAAACACAAAACAAAACTAGGGAAAAACCCACATTGAGCAGTGCAACAGAGAAACAGGATAGAGAAGGCTCATTTAGATAAAGAACAGTCAGAAGGAGAAATTTTCACTATCTGAAGGAGCTCTCAAACTATGAATATATATATATAAATCACTCTTAATTTTAAAGTTTAAGAAAACTAATTTCAAATAAAAATGGGCTGGAGAAAACAACCAAAGCCTAATCTCACATAAAGTTACTACAAGAAAACGTATATAAAACAGATTATAAGATTACCACAAGGACATAATTACAAATCAGATAAAAATTATAGTCTATTTTTTCCAGAACAAGCCAAAAAATGTGAAACAAGAACGAAAATTATTGCTAGAAAATCACAAAAAGTAAATAAATAAAATAAGAAAATCAGAGAAATGAGACGACAGTGGAAGCGCACGCCCGTGTTTACAGTGGCTCAGTTTGTGAGGCTGACTCGGAACAGCCCACACGCCCGTCGTCTGATGAGGGATGCAGGAGTGCGTGTGCGCGCGTGTGTCTGTACACGGAGGGCTGCGCTGCCACAGAGAGCGGGGAGCTGGGTGAGAGGAACCCGAAGTGTAAACAGGGACCAAACTGTGTAACCGGCACTGAGAGAGACACTGGGAAGGAAACGTCAAAAGAGGAAAACAAAGGAGGGTGAGGAGGAGGCTGCAAAACCAGAATGAAGGAAGCCATGTCGATAAGGAGGGAATGAGCGGCTGCAGGGAAACGGGAAGGCAGGAGGGGCAAGGCAACTTCGGTACAGGCAGAAATTCCTCTTGATGAATCTCTCACGATGTATGTCTAAAATGGACTAACTTCAAAAAGATTAAAAAGTGAAACCTTGTTTTTTAAAATGTGACACTGTAGAAGTGTATTCAATGACTCAAGGACACTAACATACCAACTGAGAAGTGCAAATATAAAGTTTTTTAAAGGACAATTAATATTCAAGTTTAACCAGTAAGACTTCAGCAGCAGCCCTCCTTCCTTAGATGATGGGATTACGGTGTTTCAAGTTATCGGAAGGGGGACACTTTTCTACATTTCCCTTGTCACTCCTAGAGAAGTAAAGCTATGTCATAATAAAGTTTCTCTGATAATGAAGTTCAAACTGGATTAGAGAATATGAATGTTTATATTCAAGTATAAATTACAATTACTTAGCATTTTATTATTACAACTATTTAACATTTGGCAAGATCTCCAAAATTTGAACTATAGTTACAAGGAAAATCTATATTTGTACTCTTAATTTTTGAATTTTTTTTTGTCTTTTTGAGACAGGGTCGTGCTGTGTAGTGCAGGCTAAGCTTGAACTCACTTTGTAGCCGAGGCTGGCCTTGAATGCTCAGCAACCCTCCTTATACTTTTTTTTGCAACATTTTCATAGTTAGGAATTATGACGACTATGAATCTTTTTTATCTGAGCAATCCACTACGAATATCAACTGTAGATTGAAGATTTTTTTAAAAAACCACTCAATCTCAATTAGGTAAGTGAAACCATCTACCTTTAAAAAGTATTGAACACAAATGGGAAACAAAGGCTCTACAAAAGCATTAATGACTTTTTTCTGTTTTAAAATTTAAAACTATGTTTTTAAGTATATATAAAGTAATATGTCAAAAACATACCAATGAGCCAAAACCTAGAGTCCAAAAATGTTCATTTCGGACTTCTAAAACTCCATCCAAGGTAGATACCTAATCAACAACATATTAAAGAAGTGATCAGAATTTTTTTCATTTGACATATATAACAGAGCTCACATTAAGGATTTGATTTAAGACTTAAGTGACATGCCCAAACCCTGTACAAGGAAGCTCATAAGCCAAGAGAAATCTGCGCCCAATCAAGACACTACTTCCTGATTGGTCCATCCTTCTAGAATGAGATCATGAGTGCTGACTCGTAAACACGTTTTCCTCACCATCCAACAATGTATGACTGCTTTCTGATTTTATCAGTATAATTTATCGATTTTTTTTTCTGCCAATCAATTTTTTTTTCTCTGAATTCCCTTATAACAAATTTTTACACAACACAGAGTATTATTTGGATGACCTGTCAGGATACTCCATGGGCAGGCAGAGTATGTTGCCCACGGGCACAGAGGCACAGAAGGCACATATAGCGCCAGGCTTCCCTGGCTGAGACAGTTGTCAACTGTGTTGGGAAAAGTGGCCTTTGTGATACTGACAACCAGGAGTTTAGAAGAGTTCCAATATCCAAATCAATTATCTTCTTTTCTCCTTAGTTAACAGACTAACATAACAGAAAGTCCAAATCCACAGTACAAGATGTTAGGTAGTAAAATATCATGTAAAAGTGAATTTTAAATTTTATCAAAATCCTACATTTAAATATAGAATCAGAAAAGTCAACAGAATTTGTATAGCTCACAGGATGGTGTTTAGATAATTTTCTTCTATAGTTTTTAAAAGGGAAGGATTTTTAGTTTGGCTTATGCCTTCTATATTTTAAGCAAATTTGATTTTCAAACTGAGAAATTCCTCAAATTTTTCTAATTTTGTCTCTGTCAGATTTTTTTTTTTTTTTTGTCTTTTTCATTTTTATCGGTACCGGGGATCGAACTCACGACCGCCTGCTTGCAAGGCAGGTGCTTATGCCGCTGAGCTAAACCCCCAGACCCTGTCAGATTTTTTTTGTGGTACCAGGGATCGAACTCACAACCTTGCGCTTGCCAGGCAGGTGCTTATGCCACTGAGCTAAATCCCCAACCCTTCTGTCAGATCTTTTATTGGGTTGTTATAAAGAATAAAACACACCTAGAATAAAATTCTAGGTAACACTGAATAAAGTATTGCAGGAACCCACACTGCGCCTTCCTTAGTATAAAGGAAAATGGTTTTATTCACTATTGCACCTTACCTCTCTGATGAGTTTGTCCAACTGACCGATAACATGGGGTGGTGTTGTCTGGGAAAAAAGAAAAGAAAAGAAGGTGTGAATAGCCTAGAGAGATAAAAATCTTGCAACAACAGTCCTGAAATCCTCTGAGTGGATTATGAACCAGTTACTGCTTTTGCCCTGTTCCTATCATGATTTAGGGAAGGGAGATTTCAACTGGCTCACTACGGGTAACACCAGGCTCTGGTTTTCTGTTTGTTTGGTTTTTCTTTTAATCTCCCAAATAAGATCATATCTCCAGAACCAAATACAACCTAAAAGATCAACCAGCCAACCAACAAAAATCTTCAACAAATGGCCAAAAAAGTAACATTTTGTACAGGGTATATCACTATCACCTTCTTGTTATTACTGCTTTTGGAAACTGAGTTACTACCCATAGCGAGGTTTAGAAAAGGCACCAGGATTAGAAGCAAGAGACAGAAGCAAGAACAGCGCTTACATACATATCCCACCCTGGGAGACTCCTTTTTTTTTTTGAGACAGGGTCTCACTGCATGTTCTAGGTTGCTCTTGATCTCACTATGCAGTCCAGCCTGGCCTCAAACTCACAGCAATTCTTCTGCCTCAGCCTCCTGAATACTAGGGTTACAGGTGAGCACCAACACGCCGGCTAGGAGACCATCTTTCTATTAAGGGGCTTGTCTATTAAGGCTCTTACTGTTTCGCTAAGTAGCAATTTGTCATCTTTTATTTTAAGTCAAAAATTTAAAAGTCTGATCTAGTGACAAGAAATAAGAAAACAATCACAATCACATTATACAATAGCCAAAGCACATTACTGAGGGAAAATATTTTAAAAATTTAAGTAATATTAATTTTGCTTAACATATTGTTACAGATAAATAAGCTTAAACTTATGATTGTATGGAATAGAAAGACAGAAGAGTTTGTACCTACTACTTTACTGATCAATGGAATTCTACCTCGTTCTTACTATATGAATTTCAGATGTTATTATCTGATTTCATTTCTGACAGGGCCTCTAGTTACTAAAGCTTTACAATCTGACAGAGGAAAATACACATTTCAGTTTGGTGGGCAACAGGACTAGCATCGAGCGTGTGCATTCCAAGTCCTTACCTGGAGCAGTACTTTGCCGCTGTACACACTCATGGGATACATGGTGCCAAATGTCATCAGGGCGATGGCGATTGCAGAGGCAGTGTCTACAGCGAAATAATTACTAAAAGGAGAAAGCAATTCTGAATTTTAAATGGTGTTTCATGGCCATCTTACAATTCAATCTATTGGACATTCATTTTCTAAAGCACGAGAATTTTTTTTAATCCACAAATCTGCAATACAGGAAGGGGATTCTGCAAAGGGGTAAAGCCTTAGAATGGCTTCTTGTCAAAGTTTGGTGGAGAAACAGTAATCATGTTAATCAGTTTGGAGAAATGATGATGAAAAAGTCTCAGCATTTTCTCACTAGGAATGCTTCAATCTTGTCACCTAGAAGGATTTCTTTCCATTTGCCTGAGACAGACAAAAGACGATATAGTAATTTCTGATACAGACAGAGTAATGGAACTAACCAGGGATTCTACCAATTTTCCTGTAAACAATAATTATTTCAATAAAAACTTCAAAAATTCCCCAAACTATGACTCTGCAGGGATTTGTTACAGAAAAACTGAGGCAGAACAGCAGCATTTCATCAACAGTGCAGGCTGCGGAAGTTCTATTAACAAAACAGACCAAAATGTCAAAGTCACAGGCTGATCTTGCACTCTTCACTTTTTCCCATTTCCTGAGATTGGAACCATCAGTAAGACATAGATCCCGTCTGAGAAACAGCAGGAATTTCTAAAAACAATAAAAAATAAAGCACACTGGATACTAAAGTGAAAATCTCTAAAGGGTGTCAAGGATACACAGAAGATGGAGCAACAAGGTACAGCCTGGGGATAATCCAGAAAGGCTAAGGATAAAGAGGAGGTCAGCACTCCAGAAAAAGGGAGGAAGACATCCGAGACCAGTGGGGCTGAACCTACGGCATGCGTGTCACAGCGGGTGTCTGTATCCCTAAGCTCTAAGGTTCACCATCACTGTTCTAGACAATGAAGGACACATGGAAACGCTGATGTAGCAATGAAACCACAAACTGTGTATGGACGGAGACGGCTAGTACAGTCGTTAGAGGCCTGATCACAGGACTCCATGCTTTTAATTTTTTACCAATATGCAAAGGAGAGGGGCTTGAAATAGGAGAACACTGCGTCCCAATTGGTGATTTTAAAAATAATCACATCAGTCACAGTACAGAACTAGGGATGAGTAACGATCAAAATGAGAACACTCGATTATACTACTTAAGTCAAGAAATGATGAGAAAAGCTTTAGCTGGCACAGCAAACTGGGAAAAGAGAGACAAAAATTAAGGAAAGATTAAATGATACTTGGTGATCAATGAGACCTGGCGTGAAGAACAATGAGAGGGGGAGAGGGAGGAGAAGGACCTGGAGTTTCTCAAAAAATTAAACACAGAACTATCTTATGATCCACTATTAGGTATATACCCCCAATGACAGAAAGCACAGTCTCAAGCAAATACTTGCATACCCGTGTTTGGAGTGGCACTTTATAATAGCCAAAAATTAAAACAACTGAATGTTCATTTATAGACAAATGACTAAACCAAATACAGTATTTTCATATAGTGAAACAATATTTGGCCTTGAGAAAGGAAGAAAATTCTAATACATGCTACATAATAGATGAAACTTGGAAATATTATGCTATGTAAAATAAAACAATCACAAAAAGACAACTACTGTATGATTCTACTTATACGAGGTAGTTTAGCTGAAGTTAGAGGCCGAGAAAGTAGTGATCATGGGGAAGTATGGTTTAACACATGTACAGCTTCGGTTAGATATGATGAAAAGCTCTGGACATGGGTGGTGGTGATGGTTACACAAAAATGTGAATTACTTACACCATCAAACTGTATGCTTAAAAGTGATTAAAATGATAAACTTTATGTTATGCATCATTTTATAAAACGATTTTAAAGGCTAGGCATGGTTGTGCACTCCTGTGATTCCAGCACTTGGAAGGCTGAGGCAAGAGGATTGTTGCAAGTTGGAGACCAGCCTGGACTACAGAGAGCCCAAAGCCAGCCTGAACTATATAGCCAGACCCTGTCTCAAAAAGACAAAAAAAAATTTTTAAAAAACAAATACATTTAACAGATAATAGCATCATTCACTGAAATAGAAAACAAGAAAAACTGTTTTGATGACAGAAGAAAACAGGTACGTTTAATTCTAATATGTGCTACATAATAGACGAAACTTGGAAATATTATGCTATGTAAAATCAAACAATCACAGCCATGAACTGAAGTTATGAAGATAACGCCCTTTGGAATTTAATAATATCTGAGCTAAAAAAAGATTTGGGAATTCTCATAGACGTGATAAATAAAAAATAAATAATTATATATGATATTTAGGAGAATATGTAAAACAAGAATATACCAATTAAGGACAGATTATAATACTAATATAAGAATATTAATTAAAGACAGATTAAGGACATCAATATTTAGAAGATATGAAAAACAGACTCGCAGTATAAAATGTTAAGGTTAAAGTACTATGGACTCTATTTTTTAAGATCTTTTAATTTTTTTTATTAAAATGTTTATTTACTTATTTTTTGGTACTGAAAATTTCTTTCAAATATTTTAAACATAAAGGTGGCTGATTTGTGAAGCGTGTAAAACATCATACTATGTTTGGCTTTTCTTTTGTGGCCACGGCAGAACCCATTTTTTCAGACAGGACTTCCAAAAGATACAGATGAAACACATGTTAGCTCCCAAAGTGCTCGGTGTTGTACACACGGAGTCTGGAAGAGCCTTCAGGGTTTAGGAAGCTGCTTCACACCCACTTCCTCTGCCAGCAGGATCAGCCACTGCTCAGATCTTGTCACTATCCTCTTCCCTGTTCACCTCATCTGGTCAGCAATATAGAATCTGAATAGCTTCTAGTCTGTGTTTTGGATTGTGGTTAAGAAATATTTACCCAATCTCCAACCCCCTTAATTTTTCAGATGAAGGCACCTGAGGACAAGATTTGATCAATGTTACACAGGTAATTAGCAACTGTGCTAGGAGACTGAACCCAATCTTTCCTGTTGATGCCCTTCAAGGCCAGGCCTCGGGAATCAAAAACACACATGACGACAATAAAAAATACTTACTTAATTTCAATGAGCATGTACGTAATACAAAGAGCAAATGCTCCAGCAAGATCAATCAGAACAAATGGATTCATTCGGGGAAGGAAGATACTGCTAAGTCCTGGAATAATTCCACACAAGCTATAACGAAACAGAGTGATCATTAGAATTCACATAATATTGATGAAAACCTTGTAAAAGATAACTTGCATTTTAGTATCAAATAGCGTACTTTTGTTTTTGAGATAGGGTCTCATTAGGTATTTCAGGCTAGCCTTGAAATCGATGCAGCACATACTGCCCTCAGACTTGCAGGGATGCTCCTGCCCCAAACTCCCAATTTCTGGGGCTACAGGTGTGTAGTGCCACCACACCAGCTATAAGGTACATCTTCTTTTTCTTTTTGGTACCAGGAATCGAACTCAGGACCCTGCACTTGCCAGGCAGGCACTTATGCCACTAAGCAATAATATATTTCTTAAAGAAAGCAAAAAGGACTTGAGAACGAGGTTCATTTACCTATAAAGACAGGAAGACTGAGTCTAATCTCTTCAGTCTGCACAGTAACTTCAGCAATAAGTGAGTTCCTGGACTAGACACATTTCTTGGGAATTCTTTTTAAATTATGCATATCATGAAATTCCACCTCTTACCTTCGACTAAGATCTGCAACATGTTCCTGAAGCCAGCTCGTACTAGCAGCTTTAAGAAGAAAATATTTAAATTATGTATAATAGAAGAATTAATCACTTCTAGAAATATTTTAGTTCTTTCATTTTAAAAATAACTTTGGCAGTAACTGTATAATTTAAAAAAGACATGCTATTCCTTTTTCCTTTTTCATGTCCTTAAGATACTAAGTCAAAAGCGGTTTTGGGGGCTAGAGATATAGCTCAGCTGTAGAGCACTTAACTAACATGTTCAAAGCCCTGGGTTCCATTTCTAGTACTACAAAACAACAACAACAACAACAAAAAACCAGTTTCAACTACAATAGACACCTGATTTGAAGGGGTCAATGACCTTATATATCCCTATCAAATTTTTGGGGGGGTTCTGGGGATGAACCTAGGGTCTCATGCATGCTGGCCAAGTGTCTTACCACCAAGCCAAACTCCCAGCCTAAGGTTTAAAGGCTTTTTATACTATGAAGCAGAGCTTTGAACTAGCATGCTGAGAGTGGGTTGTATTCCAATTGTTAATTTCCTCTGCCCTCAGTAAAGGCAGGTGGGGATCTGGATACACGTAAACATATCTGCCAATTACAATCCCTGGAATAACCTCTGGGCAAAAGTATCCTCTTGTTTATCCTAGAGGACTACAAAAATACTTATTTTTTTAATGTGTACCATGATGTAAAAAAGATTGGCAAGTCATACACAGAATAGCAGAGCAATTAAGAAAGACTAAAAAGGACAGAGAGAGGAAGAGAGGCGCATACACACACACACACACACACACACACACACACACACGCACACAGAGAGAGAGAGAGAGAGACAGAGAGAGAGAGAGAGAGAGAGAGAATTGATGGTCAGAACTCTTGGCTTCAAATCACATAGTCTGCCCATAACTAGATGTGTGGCTTTGAGCAAGTGATCAGATCTCTTAAGTGACTCAGGGTAAAGTGGAAATAATAAAATTATTTACTTTTTCTGAGAATGAAACAGGCCACTGTATGTAAAGCAAATTAGCAGAGTACTTGATAGAAAATGTTCACTATCATTTCCCACACAAATTTCATGTAATGTCACCAATCTTGGTTTTCAGCTAATAAAAAATATGAGCTACATAACCCTTTTAGAAAAAAACTTGGTGACAGATGTAAAAGCCTTTAAACAATACTGTAGTCTGGGGTATAGCTCAGTGCTGAAGTGTTTGCCTAGCATGCCTAAAGTCCCGGGAATGACCCTCAGAACCACATACAGATCAAAGTATTTTTACTCCAATTATAATTTCTTGTAAAGACTAAAAACGTACATGAAGAATTTGATATAAAGAGGTTGATTATCATAGGTTATAAAGGAAAAAGCTGGAAATGCGTAAACGAGTGCTTAACAATACTCACGCAAGCATTCAAAAATCATTTGTTCAAAAATTATTTGGGAGGAAATACAAAACGTAATGTTGATAGATATTGGGAAGAAGGAAGAAAATGTTCAAATGGGAAGGGAGACAAGGGAGGAGGAGGGCAAAAGGAAGGATTGGGACAAAAAACGGAAGGAAAACAACAGAAAGAAAACTTCATAAATGAAGAGGGGAAGGATTGAAAGGGAGGAAAATGGGGAAACAGAAGAAGATGTAACACATACAGGTACAAATTTCCTACGATGTGATCACTGTGTATGTTAAAAGTACACCATGTTTCTTGCATCTTTATTTTGCGCGTCTATCTAAGGTAGAGGTAACACTCCCCACGGGGCGCGTGCACCTGCACACCACACCCCTCCCTCGGCCTTTCCTCCGTCCCCTCCCCCTCTTCAACTCCTCTTCTCTTCCTTATCTACACAAGCTTCACATCCATTTTCCCTTCTGTTCTCTTTTTTGGTGTCCCTCTTGCCTTTCTCCCTCACTCCTCTCTTGTTCCCCTTTCACATTTGAACATTTTCTCCTCACTTCTCAATATCTATTATACATTTTGGTCTTAATTTATACTTTTGGTTTCTCACACCAGAGAAACAATGTAGCTTTTAATCTTGTGTCCAATTTACTTCACTTAAGAGTATGGTCTCAAGATGCATCCATTTACCAGAAATGTCTCAAGCTTATCCTTCTCTGTGGCAGCTCTAAGCTACTACACATTGTGCCACTGTAAACATGAGTGTGCACATGTTGCTGTGGCAGGATGCTTCTGATTCTTTCAGGAAGGTACCAAGAAGGGGAATAGCCGGGTTGAATGGAACCTGTAGTTTCAGCTTTGTAAGGAATCTCCACACTGATTGCGCCAGTCTGCACGCCCACCACAGTGGGGAAAGGTTCCTTTTCCCTGCAGCCCTGCCAGCACTTCTTTTTTTTTTTCAGCACTTCTTATTGATTTCTTGATAACAGACATTTTTTCTGGGATGAGATGGAATCTCAGTATCGTTTTAACTTGTATTTCTCAAATGATCAGGAATGTTGAACATATTTTCATGTATTTATTTGCTATTTCTACTCCATCTGAGAAATACCTTTTCATTTCAGAGGCCCATTTTTGGATTGGGTCTTTAAATTTGGATGAGACTCTGATTTTTTCCAGTTTGTTATATATTCTAGATTTTAGTCTTTCATCTGAGGAATAGCTGGCAAAATTTTTTCCTGTTCTGTGGGTTGTCTGTTTACTCTGTTGGTTTCTTTTGCTATGTACAAGCTTTTTAATAAGATGAGATTTCAGATATTCTTTTTTCCCCCCAAATGTGGATTTTCTGTGATATTTCCTGTGCAGTTGGGATTTTGTCTTTGCCTACACCAATGTCTTCAACAGTTCTACCTATTCTATCTTCCAGCAGATTTAGTGTTTCTGTTTTAATATTTAGATATTTGATCCATTTTGATTTTAGTTCAGTGCATGGTAAGTGGGTCCAGTTTTAATCTTCAGCATTTGGAAAGCCAGTTTTTCAGCACTATTTATTTATTTATTCATTTATTGGTACCAGGGATCAAATTCACTATTGCGTACTTGCAAGGCAGGCGCTTATGCTGCTGAGCTAAATCCCCAGCCCCTCCAGTGCCATTTATTAAAGAGGCTATCTTTCTTCCAGCGAAGATGTTTGGCACTTTTGTCAAAGATAAGGTGGCTGAGTATGCCTAGAATTGTTTCTGCATCTTTTTACCTGTTGCACTAATCCTTGGGTCTGTTTTTATTTTTATTTATTTTTTTGTCATTACCATGCCTACACCAACAAAATTAATTTAATTTTTAGAGGGGAGTGTATTTTTGAGACAAGTATGTAGTATTCAGTATGTAGTTCAGGCTAGTCTGGAACTTGTGATGATCCCACTGCCTCAACCTTACAAGTGCTGGCCTTACCCTGCTTGCCAATTCTGTCTGCTTTTAAGAAATGTGTTATTTCTAAGTTTGGGCTAAGGAGACTTTGTTTTACAATTCTCTGATGAAGCCAGTCATGGTGGTGAGGTTGTGGTAGGAGTATCCCTGCAAGTGCAAGGCCAGCCTGAACTGCATAGTGAAATCATGACTCAAAAAGACTAAAATAAAATAAAATAAAGTAAAATAATATATATATCTGAAAAAGACTTAGAAAACTATCCTTTTCAGAATATACTTTTGGGCTGGGGATTTAGCTCAGTGGCATAAGTGCCTGGCAGGCAAGTGTGAGGTTATGAGTTCGATCCCCGGTACCACAAAAAACAAAACAAAACACTTTCCTGTTGATTTAAGAATTAATAAAACAAAGAAAAAATGTTTTAATATGAAATTAATTGTATTTTTTAAATTAATAATAAATAAAACACATACCTTCAGAGACATAAGTGAAAGGTTTATTCCGAACAGAAAGCATCGTGAACAGGTTGAAAGAAAGAGCGACAAAAGTACCAACTAATAATCTTCCCCTGAAAAGAACAAAAATTGACATATTCACCTTTATTTTTTTCTTGGTAATATGAATATATCATTTCAGTATGTAGAGAAGCTAAGAGATGCTTCACTGGTTTTGTATTTCCAGAGACAGAATCTGAGCTTGCATTCTAAGTGCATAATCTACGCCCTGTCTACTGATGCTCCTTCATACAAAGGACACAAAAGGACTCTTAGCATTAACACCTTGTTACATGTGATCGACGTTATAAATCTGAATCAATATTAATGGTATTTGGCTTATGTTGTATAAATCAGATTTTCCTGAATTTAATGACTAAAGTAATGCTCAGAGATTTGGCAAGAATATGGTAATGTACACAGTATTTTTTTCCATAGGTATGAAGAAAGATTTGGGGGCGAAATTTGAAATTATAAGACAACAGAGATTGGCGTGGCAGTTGTCTGTGAATAATGAAGGACCTAAGCTGAGATCCTGTGAAGTGTCCACGGCTTGGGAACTGTTGAAAGGATTGTTTTTGAAATGCCAGTGAAATGTACATTGTCATACTCTGAACACTAATGCTGGACAAAGCAATTGTTCTAAATAATACATCGAATGGTAATTAGAATCAAACGTATTAGCAAATTATAAGTTATATTAAAAATAAATCTCACGTGTGTATCTCAGGCTGCTCCAAAAAGCGTTCTGCACTAAAAGAGAGAAAAAAGTACATTAATAAGTCCTATCAACTATAAAACTAACAACTATATTAAATGCATAATTAATCTACTTTAAAGTTCAAAAAATCTTTTAATATTATATTCAACTATTAGTAGCAATGATGAGGCAACGAGACCCACAAATTACCCTTTATATTTCATGTCAATCTTTCTGTACCAAACCTGTCTCCATGGGTTGTAACAAGTCTGACTAAAATACGTCTGACTAAATCTTTTTTCTTTCATTCTCAGCTGTGACTGAGTTTAGTAATATCAAAAAGAGAAACAAAATAAGTGAAAAAGGAGAAAAACTATGAGAAATAAGAAGAAATTACACTATCAAGGACTCTGACATCTATCATCTTAATTTGTATACCTTCAAATCAGACGTGTCTCACTGGATTGTTTCATGTTTCTAAATGTGCCATGGGTGGGAGTTAGAATAATATACACAAATGTACCTTTCCTTCAATATGAACAGGGCTCCCAGCTGGGCCAAGACTGTGGAGGCGAATACAGCTAGGACTTCCAATCTTTCAAACCTGAAATCAGAAAATTAATTTGATCTCCAGAATTCTTTCAACTCACAAAGCAGTGTTCACAGAATACTCGGACAGTCATTCATTCTCGCATTTAATGTACATATGTGTAGCCTATTACTGAAACACTGTTAGAACAGAATAGTTAATGGAAGAATAAAAAACAATAAAAATCAAAATTAATTTAAAAAGAGTATTTGTACAATATTCCTAGGACCCACTTATGGTCAGTTATTCCTAGGAATAACTATTATCACAACAATAGCTAGTACTCAATTTACGTACCTTATGTTACACACTGGACAGTGCTTAACATACAATTTTACTTAAACCTTAAAGTACTCACAAGGATGAGCTCAGTTTACTCATTTATTTATTATTTTTTTGGAAGAGATAATAACTTGGGACACAAAGAACAAAAGTAAATGCTCAGAGCCATACAGCTAGCAAGTGGAAAAATAAGATTTTCAAATTCAAGCACTGACTCCAGAGTTCATAATTTTAACCACTTGTGCTATTACCTCTCTTTTCTACAAAAAACTGCATTGAATTATGTGTATTCTTTACATGCAATCCCTACACAATATGCTGGAGGTTGGGCTATTTTTTTGCTCATCTTGATTTTTCCGACAATACATAGACTAATAATACCAGTACTTAGGGTAAGCGTAGTATTTGTGCTGCTCAAGCAAGCACAATTTGTGGTAAGTATAAACATTTAAAATTCCTCAAGGAAATAAGTTTAGTGTTTAGTCATAAGAAAAATAACTTAGGGCCAGGGATTTAGGTTAGTGGCATAAACGCCTGCCTGGCAAGCGTGAGGTCATGAGTTCTATCCCTGGTACCAAAAAAAAAAAAAAAAAAGAAAGAAAAATAACTTAGGACTGGGGATATAGCTCAGTGGCATAGCGCCTGCCTAGCAAGCACAAGGTAGTAAGTTTGATTCCCCCTACCAAAAAAAGAAAAGAAAAATAACTTACAATAACAATGCTATACTAGTGAACACTGCCCCAATTTTTTTTAATGCTTAAAAAAAAGATAAAATGGTTTCCAACAATATGAAGCAACTGGAACTCTAAGACTGTAAACTGCTGAAACCATTAAGGAAAACCGTTAAATATTATCTTATTCTCTAATAATGAACACATGTAAGTCTTGACTAATTCCACTCAAAGAAATATATACAACATAAATGAGTACACAGTACACAAGAATGTTCATTAGTAGTTTTATAATAGCTAAATACTGAAAATCACCCAAATGCCTTTCAACATTTAAACAAACAACTTGTGTTATATCCCTATAATGGAACATAAGAGCAGTGAACAGGAATGAACTTCATTATATGAGGTTTCATCTATAGGATGCTCAATGACAGACGAAACTACAGCTCAGTGTCAGAATATTATATACTGTGGCAAGGTCTGATTCAGAGTTGACTGCTGGGGATTTGCAATGTTTTATGTCATCATCTGGATAGCTACAGACATATAATTATTTCTTAAAATTCATCAAGTTGCACAAGGAAGTAAGAGAAAACCAGGTAAATTCTCTTATCTATTATTTAAAGAGTGAGACAGAAAAACTATTCAGTAATTTTTTTATCCAGTCACCTAAAGACATTAGAATTTAGTGATACTATGATTTGAATAACGAGATGGAGCCAGTCTTGCAAAGATTCAGGTAAAGAGCATTTTAGGCACAGAGAATAACTTGTACAAAGGTCCTAACGCAAGAATAAGTTAAAAAACATAACAAGAGGGCTGGGGATTTAGCTCAGCGGCATAAGCGCCTGCTTTGCAAGCAGACAGTCGTGAGTTCAGTCCCTGGTACCAATTAAAAGGAAAAAGACAAAAACAAAAAACAAACAAACAAACAAAAAACCACAACAAAACAGAAGTAAGTTAGTAGAGTACAGAGGGCATGAGAATACTTAAATTGAAAAGTAGGCAGGAACCAGCTCATATAAATGATACACAAATTAGGGAAGTAAGGTGAAGACTTTAGCTTCGTATACTGGGAAACAACTGGACGGTTCTAAAAGAAAGTATGAAAGTGTGATAGTGAGTTAAACACTCTGGCTGTTAGCTGGAGAATGGATTTAGTGGGTATAAACAACAGAAGCATGAGGGACCAGTTAGGATGTTATACATTAGTCAAGGCAAGAAATGATGGTAGTTTGATCTGGCATGATAGTAGAGGAGATACAAATGTGGATGGGGGCTAATTCCTGATGTGTTTTGAGAGAAAATAATCGAGCAAAATGTCCAGAAATCTTTGAGCAGCAAAGTGCTGGTGGTATTTACCAAGACAGGTAAAACTACAGAGAACCAGAGTTTAGAGGAAGAAACCAAGAATGCTATCCTAAATTTAAGATACCAATTTAATTGTCCATGTGAAGTTGTCAAAGAGATAAGTCTGAATTATAGATAGTTTTCAAGTCTGGAAAACTGGATTTTGGAATCATTAAATATAGGCAATACTTCTAGTAGTAATTGCTATTCCAATATAGTATTCCAATACCAGTGCTCATTACTGAATTGCTCTTTGTCTTTCTGATCATTTTAAGCAAGTGGACCAGAATGGGAGCATCCATGCCCCTCCCTGACCCTGTGCCCTATCCACAGTAACTGATCTGATATATGGGCAGGTGTGTAGCTCTATGGCCGAATGCATGCTTATATGAGGCGCTGCATTCAATCCCCAGCACTGCAAAAAGAGACCGTGTTTGCAACAAATGCAATCAATAATTTTTTCTTGATTTTCTGATCTACAGCTGGATAAGTCATTTATTCTCTAGGATGAAGATGAGAAGAGAGGAGTTAAGGTCTGGCTAGGTTGGTGGAGTGAAGTGGTTTGAGAGAATAAAACTGACATGCAGAAAAAAGCAGGACTCAGATGTAAGAAAGAGATAATAAAAAAAAAAACAGAAAAAAAAAAGAAAAGAAAGAGATAATACCTACAGGGTCCAAAACTGTTTCCCCATAGTTTTAGTTATATAATTATCAAAGTCCCAATTTTCCCTCAAAATAACTTTATTTATTTATTTATTTATTTTTGTCTTTTTCATTTTTCTTGGTACCAGGGATCGAACTCACGACCGCCTGCTTGCAAGGCAGGTGCTTATGCTGCTGAGCTAAATCCCCAGCTCCTCAAAATAACTTTAAATTATATTTTTGCCACTTGCAAACAAAAGTTTTGACCTAGGGTAACAGATTTTCACATTTGGATATCTGTGCCTCAAAACTGGTTATTAAAGTAATAGTCCAACTCTTATCAAATGTCAGTGGTATCAGTTATCAATATCCTTATTTTACATTAAAATTTCAGGTTATTTTATGCCATTATTTAAGTAAATAAAATCTAATTTTCCTCAAAAAAATATAACCCTGGTGACTGGTATGGTGAAGGGCAAGTTTGGTCCAAGAATTTCTTTACTGAAGTAAAAATTTTCATTCATTCTATTTTCTTTTGAATCTGGAGAACACTCTGTATCTTTTCTCATATGTTATAAAAACCTCTAGTATTAAAGAGTATCTTCCAAATTTCTTTTTATCTTTTGGTTAGTACTAGGACTGAACCCGGGACATTGCGAATAGTAGGCAAGTACTATACCGCTGAGCTGCATCTTCATCCTTTTTAATCGATTTATTTTTTTATTTTGAGAAAGGGTCCACATTGTTTAGCGTGGCCTTGAATTTGATTCTCCTGCCTTAGCGTCTTGAATTGCCAGGATTACAGGCATGTACCACAATATTGAGTTCCAACATTCGACTTCCAATAATTTGTTTCTTTTGGTGGTACTGGGGATCAAACCCAGAGTCGTGTGCATGTAAGGAAGAACCCTACCACTGAACCACATCCCCAGGCCCATCAACCTTTAGTAATTTCCCAAACTTTAAGCACAAAAATCTCAGATTCTTCACTGCTATCATAAATCTGAAGTCTTAAGATAAAAAAACTATCTGCACCAAAGAATATTATATCACATTAACATCTAAAGATACACTTACATTAAAATCGATCATACTTCCACTAAGAGATTCTCAAAATATTAACACAATGTGATCATTTTATGTTAACATTTCTTTATCAAACATAAGAGAACTGAATGCAAACATTCCACTTTAATTTATATTTTAAATATTCATATTTCTTTTCTAGAATCCTCTCAGAAGAGGCTTCTCTATGTACTTTTACTATTTGATTATATGTCACTAAGCAGGCATTAATTATTTCCCAAGCCTATAGTTTGCTCTTGAATGTACAATTATTTTAATAACAATAAATTAACAATGTAAACTCATTTGAACTTACCCAAATGAATAGACAGGGATAGGTTTCCTCATCATTACCCAGTAACTTATTAAACATGTTATTAAACTGAGTAAAAAAGAAAAAATAATTTAGCATTAGAACTCAAGCTAAAAGATAACATGCTACCATAGTTTTCAGAGTTCCTAGGTTGTTGAAAGTTAAGTCATCCATATTACTATAAGTTCTAATAACTTATAACCGAAAAACTTTTAACATGTGAAGAAACTGCAATCATAATTTACTAATATGCCAGAAATAGCATTAATACCCATACTTTCTCCAAGCTAAATGGTTTTTATAACTGAGGATAATTTTTAAAAGATACAACAATGGTAATATAACATATACATATATATTTTGCGAGGGAGGGTCTTTTTGAGACAGGGACTTGCTATGCAATGTAGGATGGCCTTGGGCTCTCTTTGTAGCCCAGGCTGGTCTCAAATTAGCAACAATCCTCTTGCCTCAGCCGCCCAAGTGCTGGGATTACAGGAATGTGCCACCACACCCAGCTAATGGTAATATATTTTATTCTAGCATAAATAATACATTTTACTATTAATCAACTTTATTTTTGTTAAAACTTAAACCAAATATTCATAACATCTGGACTTTTTTTTTCAGTACTGCACACTGAGCTACACTGTTAACAGTTTTTATTCTGAGACAGTCTCACTAAATCAGAGTTACTCAAGCTGGGTTCAAACTTGCCATCCTCCTGTCCCAGCTTCTTAAGAGTCCTGGGATTCCAGACATGCACCACCGCACTTAGCTGAATTTTATAAATATACATTAGTTTTCCAAATGCAGTGGAAGTTCACTCTAAAACAACTTATTACAGCTGAGTTTTTGTTTGTTTGTCTGTTTTTTGTTTCCAGGGATCAAACTTACAACCTTGTACTGCCAGGCAAGCACTTAATGCTGCAGCCCCAAAAATGACTTATAGTATGAAATTCAGTAACGAGTATCTATCTGTAGTACACTCAATTTAGTATGGTTACTTACCAGATTATGGAAAAGACAGCCTTAATAACTCTTTTAAAATTTTTTTATTAGTACATTTGCAGTACATAATGATAACATTCCTTGTGTGGAGTTTGTATGTGTATATAACACATCTTAATTCTTTCACTTTCAATTTTTTCATCTCCTTCCCCTCCCCTTCCTCTCTGTCCATCTGTCATTTCCCTTCTCATTTGCACAAGATTTATCTCCCTATTTCCTATCATTTATATAGGTAGGGTCCTATTATGTTGTCCAGGCTGGCCTCAAACTCCTGGTGATGCTCAGCCTAAAGACATCAACATCTAAGTGTGTATTGTGCAATCTTTATATGAAAATTCAAAAGAGACCAGAGGCTGTCTCCGTAGCTTACAATTCCTCATTTCCTACTTATTAACTGTCCCCTCACACACATACAGCCCACCTACACACTTGCGAGCTACCCCTGTATGTTTTTAAATGACCCTGTTCCCAGGCCACAGTTCACTGGCAGGCCGGCACCTGAAACACCTGACCTAAAATGGGTGAAAATCCTGGTTTCACAAAATCTGGAATTGGAAACAAGAGATTCCAGGTTTAATTTGCTTGTTTTCTTAGACAGCAGAAATGCAAATGTGACAGCTGGGAACAATATGTATACTTCTCTCCCTGGACTTGGGAAGAAAGGAATCTGACTTATATGCAACAAATGTGAGTCCACGCAGAAGACAGCCACACAGGAGCGAGGCCTGGGCTCCTACCATGCTCTGGTCCTGCAGCCCAGCTAAACTGGTGTCCTCAGATTCCAGGAATGTCCTTGAGTACCCCACATCAGCTTCAATGGAAGTCTGCTAGTGACACTCCCAATGTACACTTTACAGTCAACAGGACAAAGTTCTTACTGTCTGCTAGCCTCAATTCAAATTCAAAAGCAGCAGCAAAATTTGGTATTGAGACAGAAGCTATGCTAAAAATCTACTTGGTCTGGAATGACTAGATGATTTTTGTATTCCTGGCAAGTGCAGATGAGAATTTTTGGGGTCAGTCTGAACTGTATAGTGAGATTCTCTCTCAAAAATCCAAAACTAGTTAACAAATAAATAAAATAATAATTGCAAAGATGCAAGGAATTCAGATCTTGATAAAAGTCATGATAGAAAAGAAAAATCATGTACTAAAAAAATGATGTGGTAAACAGTATAGTAATTCTTCCAATGGATAAATATAGAGCTATCATATGATCCTATAATTTTACCCCCAGATACAGTTGCAAAAAGAAAGGAAATCTTCATCTAAACAAAAACTTATAACAAATATTCACATCAGCATTATTCATAATAGTCAAAGACTGGAAACAATCTGAAATACCATTCACTGATGAACAGATAAATAGAATGAGATAGCAGTATACTTTCATAATTAAAAAAATAGGCTACCGACATGTGTTACAAAAAAATGGTAAAAACTCTGTGCTCAGAAGATACTCAGACAGGACTGTATATTATGCTTCCATTTACATAAAATGTCCAGAACAGACAAATCTAAAGAGGAAAAAAGTATCTTAGTGATTGCCTTGAGCCAAGGATGAGAATGCAATAATTAGGGGGTAATGGCTAAGACAAATGAGGTATTTTTGAGCTAATGAAAATGTTAAAAAAAAAGATGCTGATGATGTCTGTACAAGTCCAGGAATATAACAAATATTACTGTAAGGCATATGATTTATATCAGTAAAGCTGTTTTTCTCTTTCTTTTTTTTTTTTGGTACTGGGGATCAAATTCACAACCTTGCGTTTGCCAGGCAGGCACTTATACCACTGGCTCCCTTCTTTTCTTTTCCTGTTTTCTTTCTTTCTTTTTTTTTTTTTTTTTTTGTCTCTTGAGATTGGGTTTCGCCATGCAGTTCAGGCTGGCTAGAACTCACTTTGTAGGCTGGGCTAGCCTCGAACTTGCAGTGATCCTCCTGCCTCAGCCTCGTGAGTGCAGGGATTACAAGCGTGTACCACCATGCCTGGCAGTAAAGCCATTTTTCAAAAAACAAAACAGCACCCATTTCCCCAACACAAGCATCCTCTAAATGTTTTATTATTTAAGTTTTTCTTTTCTTATACAGGGTCTCATCTCATTCTGCTACAAACTCTCAACCCTTCTATCTCAGTCTCCCAAATGCTGGGATTACTGGTATGTGCTGCCACACCTGGCTTCTTGTTGTTTTGGAGACAGGGTCTTGCTACGTAGATCAGCTAGATCTGAACACACTATGTGGCCCAGGGTGGCCTTGAACTCATGGCAGTTCTGTCTCACCCTCCTGAGTGCTGGGATTACAGACATGTGCCACTACACCCAGCTCTTAAACTGAAAATACTTCAGATATTACCCAAATTAGTCTTTTGGTTGAGACATACCATGATAAGTTGTTCTGTTTATGGTGATATTTGTTGTCTATATTTTCCAATTTTAATACAGTTGAATTTAGCATTTTCATGACTTCTAGGATTTGTACCATCTTCCCCACGATTATCACGTGCTGAATTTTCCTAAGTGTTCCACTCTATCAGGAAATATTTTATTCTGTTCTTTCATCTGCATTCCCATTTTCTGTGGGAGATATGTTCCAAGACTCCTACTGGATGCCTGAAACTGTGGATAGTACCAAACCTTATACTGTATATGCTATTTTTTCCTGTATGTACAAAGTGTGAAGTTTAACTTATAAGGCAGGTATAGTAAGAGATTAACAATATGTTAAATATAGAATGTAATAATATACAACAAAGTTATGTGAATGTGGTCTTTCTCTCTGCGTCAATCTTATTATCCTGTACTCACCCTTCTTGTGATGATATGAGGTGAAAAGGGCCTGTATCATGAGTGAAATCAGGTGAATGACTGACACAGGCACCGTTACGCAGCCTGTGCTACTTTGTAAGGCTTACATGGACACAAGCGTGGGCATAGCACAATAGAGAGCTGACCCGGTAACAGAGCTGCTAACTCACTAACAGCTGTTTACACAGCACAAATACACTGGGCGATGGGATGTTCCTGTGGGGCTGGATGGAGCAGGGCAGTGCCAGACTGTGTTATGCTATTCAAAATGGTATGCAATTTAAAATTTATGAATTCTTTATTTCTGGAATTTTCCATTTAACATATTTGGATTGCTGTTGACCCTAGGTAAGAAGATTTTTGTGGAAAGGAAACCATGCTAAGTAGGAACTAAAAATATTCAAATGAGCTTGGCCTAAGTTTGGGAGAACTGACCTTTCTGTGATCCTATGTAAGTATATATTTTAACTTCTCTACTTTTCCAGGTATTTCATTTTTTGTCCTTCAGAATCATTTTGAAGTTTTTTATGCCTCGGCATTTATCTTTTTGGTTGTTGTGGACATGAGATTTTTTTTTCATTATAGCTCTAGTTGTTACTGTGTATACATTGTGTAGATAATTTTACTTATTTAGCAAATTGTTTTCCTTTGAGCAATGAAAATTTCATGAATGTAGTATAACAAATCCTAAAACTGTAAGGAGATTTTTAAAAACTTACCTAAAAAGATCAAAAATGGTCAGATAAGTATAGGCAGTTAAAGCTGCAAAACAGCAAAAAGATTAAAATGTTACTTAACCTAGTGTTAACAAAATACAGCAAATCATCAAAACTGTTCATATCATAAACTATCCATTAGCAAAAAAGTCAATAATCAACCTTATACATTGGCAATTATCTATAAATTTACTTAATACATGTAGCCAGTGCTGGTAACTACAAAAGTTCACTTTAGAATCTGATTTTGCACTAGAAAAAAATGAAACAACAAATGTTCAAAAATGTTCAAAAGTCACGTGATCGAGTTTCTGGCTATTCTGTCACCTCAGTACTATTTGAAATACTAACAGGTAGCAAATGATAATACATCAAAACATCAGCAGTCAAGACAAGGAAAAGAATTACAGAATTCCTTTGCTAACGAAAAGAAAAGAAACCTAAAAATCTTACTTATAAACTGAATAAATTAGTTTTAATCTTCACACTAAAAAGATATGAGTTTCACATGTGAATTGAAAGCTTTGTTTTAAAAACAGCACTTTATTTGAAAAATAAAATCCTAAAAAAATCAACCAAACTTTATAGCTTACAGGGCATTGTAAAACACATTTTCTCTGAAGAAAGCCCGTGTGTGTGTGTGTGTGTGTGTGTGTGTGTGTGTGTGTGTGTGTGCGCGCGCGTGCGTGTGTGTGTGTGTGTGTGTGTGTGTGTGTGTATTCTTCTTGTATATTCTATACAAAGAAAATACATCTTTATTTAAAATCAGAAAAATAAAAGAGAAACAAGCTCCATAAAAATAAAAATGGTGACATACCTATACTATTAGTAGAACTGCACCACATAAGCAGGAAGCCGGTACATATCAAGTTTATTACACCAAAGAGCAGTATCTTCCAGGACTGTGGAAAGGAAAATCACTTTTATCTGTACACTGCTAATCAATTTCACTGGGTCCATTCAAGTTGCTGGACTTCATACTCTTAACATTCAAAAGAACAAGCAGAACTTCCTTCTAAAAACTGGTCAGACGATGTGGTATACACCTGTCATACCTAAGCACTGTGGAGGCTGAGGCAGGAGGGTCACTACGAGTTTCAGGCGGAGGCCTGCCTGAGCTACACAGTAAGGGTCTGTCTCTGCAAACCAGATTGGAGATATAGTTCAGTAGCAAGTGAAAGGTTAAGAGCCCAAGTCCCAGTATGAAAACAAAAAACAAAAAACCCTATATTTAACAAAGTTATCATCAAACAAGTTATTATTATTATAATATTTTTATAATATAAAAATCCAAAAGAATAATTTCAGAGGGGGAATTTTTAAGAGAAAATAAATTGACACAGAAACTCCCAAATAGTTGAGAAAAACATGTATGTTGATCATTTTTTTCTCTGTAAATTTGTATGTAAAAATAATGGTAAAGCTACTGGGTGTTTGTCTCAATCTGATAAAAGTCATCTATGACAAACTAACAGCCAACATCATACTAAATTAAAACAACATACTAAACATACTAAATTAAAACAATACTGAGATTCCATTTCACCCCAGAAAGAACGGCTACTATCAAGAAATCAAGCAATAAAAATGCTGGAGGGGCTGTGATGAAAAAAGAATCTTTTGCCATTGTTGGTAGGGAATGCAGACTGGTGCAACCACTGTAGAAATTAATGTGGAGATTCCTCAAAAAACTAGGATTAGAGACCTCATTGAATCCAGCTAGTCCCCTTCTGGGTATCTTCCCAAAAGAATTAAAAACATCATACCACAGTGATGTATGTGCACCCATGTTTATAGCAGCACAGTTTATAATGGTCAGATCTTGGAAACAACATAAATGCCCATTGACTGGGGAATTGATAAAAAAGATATGATATTTTATATAATGGAGTATTACTCAGCCATAAAAAGATAAACTGGAGAGTTTTACAGATAAATGGATGCAACTTAAGAACATACTGATTAGTGACATGAGGAAGACATATGTGTAAGACACATTGTATTGTTTTACTGGCATGAGAAGCTAAAAGAAAAAACATGTGCATGTGTATGTATGTAAAAAATAGTTAAGATAGTTATATTACTGATTTCCCTGAGTTCGCTAAAGAGAAACATTTGTGCTGATAGTGTTCAGACAATTGAATGTGGATATCTTGTGCTCTGGGTGAATGATTTGGGGATGACAATCTGCAATGTATGTATCATTGTTTCCCCAACTGACGTGTTTTGAAATTTTTTTGGTTTTTTTCCCTTCATTTTCTTCTCTTTCTAATCTTGAAATAAAAAAAAAAAAAAGAAAGAAAAAGAAACCCTTGCAAAGATTCTCCTGTTTTAAGCCTCCAGAATGCTGGAATTACAGGTGTGCGCTACCACACCTGGCTCAGGTGAATTCTCTACCTTTGGCTCTTTAATATTAAGGGAATGATAATATTTCCAAACACTAAACATAAACTGAGTTCTAATTATATTCCAAGATTTTAGAAACCAGGGATGTAACAGTAAATAACAAAAAAAAAAAAAAAAAAAAAGAAATTTTCAGTTTAGTTCATAGGCAAGGCCAATGTCACTGATATTACTACATTGCACTGAAACTGCCTTTACTTACAACCCATTAAATATATATTGGGTGCAGATTTTGCATGCCTATAAAAAGTGTGAAACAGGCGTAGCCATCGCCCTCACAGAACTTTTAATTCAGACAATACTGGAGGAACAAAAACAGCACAATAATTAGGAGCTTTATATATGCAGTCAAAAAGGACATTAACCACATCTTTTTATTTACAGTATCAACGCATGATATAGTACTCCTGTTTTACGTTAAAAATGAGTCAACATGGCTTACAAGTACATTCATTTAATTTTTAAAAAAAATTAATAAAATGGAGCAAGGTGTGGTGGCACATGCCTGTAATCTCAGCACTTGGGAGGCTGAAGCAGGAGGATCACTGTGAGTTTGTGGCTACCCTGAGCTGGCCAATGAATTCAAGGCCAGCCAGCACTATATAGCAAGACCCTGTCTCAAAAAAAAAAGGGAAAAAATTAAAAGCAACTCTAAGACAGAACATTCTCTTTAAGACACTTTAGAATTAAAATAAAAACTTTTAACTTACCTTTTTTCTTCCCATCAAAGCAAACAAATGAACATCAAAACAGGAATTTTACATAAAAAATGCTTATCCAACATGGAAAAATAAAAACTGTGGTGCAATCAACAGGAATTTCTTCTTTTCTTTCAATGGTACCAGAAAGTCTACTTAAAAAGCCCAGGGTAAATGGGGATGGGCAAAACCAGGTCTGCAGAGAAGCTTGAGCCAAACAAAGAGATAAAGAGGGTAAAAGCAAAAATACAAGTATGCAGGCTGTTGTGCAAACTCATGCATGACAGCCAACAGCAATTTCTATTAATCTTACAACTTAGTGCTCATATGTTATTTGTGCAATAATTTTTTTAAGGATTTATCTACGGAGAGAAATAAAGCTTCTGTCCAAGAGAGAGACAGCAAGAGACCCAAATGGTTTGTTTGTGCAATAATTTAAATGGAGATTAAAAAATAACTTACCCTTCGGTCAGCTGCTACAAGTCTAAATTCCTGTAATAACTTGCCAAAAAAAGATCTTTGTGGTTTTCGAAAGAGATGAATTGTCCCCTTTAAAACAAAAAGAAAATATACAAATTAGCATTTAAGTATGTAATCTTCTTCATGGATCCTGTGATATTATGGTACAAATATTTATTGAGTATCCTGATATCCAATAATAGGTCAACCACCTTTCTATACATTTTGTATACACAGATAAATAACATGATGACCCTATAGGGTAAAGACCATTTTTTATAACTTTTCCAACGTCACAAAGGTAGTAATACTGAGCAGGAATTCAAATACAGACATTTTAGCTCAAGTTTGTTGTCTTTATTTTTAAATAGATAAAGCAACTTAAACCAGAATAGGGGGATAGATAAGGCAAGTTCACTGAAGAGCTCTACTCGAAATAAAATGTTACCTAATTAAAATGAAACATATGAAAGTTATGAGAACTATGATAGTAAAGCTCTAGGGTTCTCACTTAGGCATTCAAGCAAAGTAGCTGACACGTTAGGGGCCTCTGTGAGTATATAGTAGGAAGCTATCCTTGAAAAAGCCTAGCAATAAGGTTACCAATCACCTGAGGAGTCCGAGTAGCAACCAGAGGGGATCTACCAGCCTAAGTCTAGGCAGCCAAGTGGAGAAGCCTTGGCAGGGTTCAAATATCTATGAGAAATTAATTAATGAGAAAGGTAGTATTTCACAGAAGCGGGATAAGAGATGAGCTGTTCAATAAACAGCGTTTTGATAAAGGGAATGTTCCATTCGTAATTCTGTTATTTAAAAACAAAAATACAAAACTGTATTTGAAGGAAGTATGGATGTATGATTTTATGATCTTAGAGTTGGGGAAGTAGTACAGATGGAGTCAGAAACCTTTCTATGTTTTTAAGGTCAAAGAGGGTACTGTGCGTGTGTTATAATGAATTAATTTATGTCTACTGGTAATAACAGAAACAATGCCGAAGAACTGTGATTACTAACTGCTTCAGTTATCATTCAAAAACACTTAAAACCTGTGGTTTTAACAGTGGTCCTTTTTTGTTTTTCTTTTTTGTACACATGTCCAAAAGCAAAACTCTACTGCTACTTTTTTTTTTTTGAGACAGGGTCTTGAAATTGTGTAGTGCAGGCTGGACTTGCTCTCACTATGTAGCCCAGGCTGGCCTGAAACTCATGGTGATCCTTCTGTCTCAGCCTCCTGAACGCTAGGACTATAGGCGTGTGCCACCACACCTGGTTTACAGCTACTTTTAGTGAGAAAACTTTGTTATACCAAAAGCAAGTAACTATTTCTAGGAGAAAATTTTCTTCATTGTTGTCAATGGGTCTGAGAGTAATTTGATCATTAACTGCTGCATATTCAAATATTTGAATTTTTATGAAACATTTTCTTTGATGGTAAAGGTCACAACCGAAATGCCTTTCTAACTCACTGAAGCTGGGCAATGTGACTTAAAAACTGAAGTCCCAGAAAAGCACTGGAACCAGGGTAATTATGACTATGAGGTTTCAGACTCAATTCAAGCTGAGGCATGATTTTCTCATATAACTTAGAGGTTTTAGTAGTTGCAAGAAGGTATATTTATTTTTTCCAAATTTAGACATGATTTAGTTGCATTATATTGAGGTCCTGGGAAAGCAGAAAAAGGGCAAAGCACTAGAAATATGACAAATGAAAAGCTACCAGAACGCAAATAATTCTTAATGCCAGGTCAGGTATACACAGGGGCTCACTGTATTACAGTTGCTTAACTTCTGCATATATTTGCTTGAAATTGTCATAAAAACACTGTAAATTTCAGCCTGGTGGCACATACCTATAGTCCCAGCACTTGGGAGGTTGAGGCAGGAGGATCACTATAAGTTTGAGGCCAACCTAAACTATATAGCAAGACCCTGTCTCAAAAAACAAAACAAAAAACCACAGTAAAACACTAAAGTAAAAAATTTGTGAAAAGAAAGATAAACCACAAGTATTACTAATTTTGAAATCCAAGTAAAGACCAGTGTTTGTGTAATCTAAGGGCCTGATAAGCTGATCCAAGGAACAATACATTATTTTCATTTACGTATTAATAAATGTTAAGAGGCTGGGGATTTAGCCCAGCAGCAAAAGTGTCTGCCTGGCAAGCGCAAGGTTGTGTGTTCTATTCCTAGTACCCCCCCACAAAAAAGTAATAAATGATAATATGTTCTTAAAGAATTATGTGTGAAATACTTTTGACCTCAAGCATAAAAAATGCTGCTCAATAATTGTGATCTTTTGATAACTTCTGTTTAACTTCAGTCCACTTATTTAAATTTTAAGATTAAGATAATCAATAAGAACGCTGGGAGAAAAGACAAAAAATTTAGGCCTTGTAAGGGTAATACTGATAAGGACTTGGAGTAAGGGATGATGAACAATACAAACAAATGGAATAACATATATAAAAAGGCCCAACCATACAGCACGTTTTGCAAACTATTCATTGTGGCTGTAATATGGATGCATTCTCTGTGTGCGTGCGTGCATGCGGGGTGTATGTGTGTGTGTGTGTGTGTGTGTGTGTGTGTGTGTAGGAGCTAATAAAGGTAAAGTGCTTGAGCATGGATGGTTTTGAACATAAGCAGTGATATTGCAGGTGTAATGCCTGCACCTGCGAGGCTGAGGCAAGAGCATCACAGTGAGTTTGAGGCCCAAACCAGCCTAACCTACATAGTGAGACCCTGTCTCAAAAAACAACAAAACTCAAAAACAGACAAGAAATTGTGATGTCTTGAGGGTTACAGAAAATTAATTGAAACACTTTAAGCAAGGGAGTAGTAAGGTCAAATTTAAAAAATATAATGAATGCTACATATTGATGAACACTTTGAGAAAAGTACAGCTGGAGGCTGTGAAAAACCTACGCCCCCAAAAGTGAAGTTTTCCCATTTTCTTGTCTGTAAAGAGGGATTACAGAAAATTTATAAATTCGACCAAATGCACTTATGGAAGAAATTTTTAGTGACTACTAAGACACTGAAATATAGTGCCTTCCTCAGCTACCCAAAAATGCTCAGTGAATTCTGGTAATTTCAAGAATTCGACATCTGAAATAACCATCTCTCAGTAGCAGAATAAAAAGATGTGCAGACTTGATTTCTAAAGGTCTAAAATAACTAATTCCTCTAGTACATTTTAGAGAGAAGACGTTCCAACAACAGCGGGTACTGGGATCTTTCAGTGGTTTCCACAACACAGCAGCAGTAAGATGTTCTGCCTGCATCTTAACTTTGTGAGTCAGTAACTGGTCCTCATGGATGCTGCTGCCTGATCAAGCGACCTGTCTTTTAATAAACTCAAGCAGCAGAGTGGGTCGTCTGGGGTAGAACCCGATTATAACTTTGTTTCCGCAGGCATTACTGCACTACTCAAGGAACCACCCTACTACAGTAGCTGTCGTGCTGAGGACTTGTTTTCAGGTCTTTTGTTAGTACTGTAATCGCCGATGTCATCAGAGCCTTTATTTTCACATCAAGGAAATCTGGGCAGGGGAAAGTCATAAACGCTTCAGGCGCCAAAAGGTCGGACAGGGACTGGACTGGGATCCCGAAAAGCAAAGGACTGGGTGAGGGACAGACAGGGATCTGTGTGAGCTCTGAGGAAACCATTTGGGCGACAGATAACTGTCCCGGGGACCTGACCGGGGTTCCGATGACCCCTTCTCTGGGCCGCTGCGGCACTTCGAGGCGGCTCGAGACAAGAGACGATAAAAGGAGTCACCTATGACAGGAACCCTCATCCCCCCCATCGCCCAACTCACCATGATAAGGAGCCTCAGCTCCCGCCGGAAAACGCTCTGGGGGCTCGTTTTTCTCCAGTGCGGAAGGGGCGGGCTCAGTGACCCATTGGCTGGCGGGACGCGGGGGCGGAAGTGAGCGCCTGGTCTCCAGGCCCCGCCCTCCTCCCAGCGTCCCTTGCTTCGGGCGGAAGTGAAGGCGAGCGCTAGGGCGGCTGCTGTAACGGCTCCGTGGATGTTTTGTGACATGATGCTGTGAGGCCAGTGGCGAAGAGCAATTAGGGTTTAACGTTGGGAAACTTTTGTTGACTTCTGAAACGCTTTTACCGATGTTGTGTTGATTTAATCTGAAGAAATGGATAGGATTCCTGTTTTACAAGTGAGGAAACTTGAAGGTTAAACTTTCCTACAGTCACGAATCTAATTTGCTCTAATAGTTCAGGTGGGATCTGGAATGCCTAGTACACATTACTGTGATCTACTCCCTAAAATGTGTAGTTTCTACAATGTTAAGTTCACTTTACAAGTAATGCTCATTAGGACAACTTAGAAAATATTAAATATTGGATAAAGCACTTGGAGTATGTGTGTACCAGGTGCTGTCTCGCAAAAGTTATATTCTAGGAAGAAGAAACGGGATCAGCAGGGACAAAAATTTAAAAAGATATTTAGTAGTAGTATCAAATAGAAAATAGGACAGTACTTGCTGGTGTGATTGCACTCCTGTAATCCCAGCACTCAGAAGGTGGAGGCAGTAGAATCATAGCAAGTTCGAGTCCAGCCTGAACTACATATGAGATACTGTCTCACACAAAGCAAAACAGCCCCCAAAGAAAATAATAGTGTTACAGAGAATAACTGGGTGGGTACTTACACTGCTGGTCAGTGTTTCTCTAAGGGGATGAAATTTAACTTTAGAATGGCAAAAGCTTGTTCATACTTATTTTTCCAGGCAGAATAAACAGCTAGTGCAAATACTACTGTATGTTACGATAACGAATAAGTTTAAGGCCGGGTGTGGTAGTGCTTGTCTGTGATTCCAGTACTTGGGATGCTGAAGTAGGGAAGATCGCTGCGAGTTCAAGCTCGACCTGCGAGTTCAAGCCCAACCTGGGCTACTTAATGAGTGCAAAGCTAGCCTGAACTACATAAGGAGACCCTGTCTTTGGAGACAAAAAAAAAAAAAAAAAAAAAAAGGCATTTAAGATCTGAAAGAAGGCAAAATAGGCTATCCAGTGTGGAAGAGGAGGGGCATCTGAGGCCCAATGGAAAAATACTAAAATGCAAAATTTGGAGTATCGTTCGCACACCATTAAAAAGTGGAAAAATAAACCATAGAATCATCTTGTTTATTGACACACTGGCTTTATGCTGGGATATCCCGACAATGCTGGGATTGCAGGTGTGTGCCACCACACCCAGCTACTGGAATCATTTTTAAAATGACTATTCCATTGGAAAGACATGGAAACATAAACCAATTGAAACCTGCCCCAGTCAAAGCAAACTTTAAGACTTACTGATTGAAACACTATCAGGTTTGGCAGTTACTGAATAATAGTCTCCTTTCCACGCTCTTACTGGTTGCAGGGTGCCCACGTCACTAACATCTTTACTTTCTCCTAGACACCTAAACTGGCTATTCTCATAATCTCACCACACTTGGTCTCTTGACAACGTTTTGGCCACGTCTTACCCACTAAACTTTGATCTGAAACACCTTAGATAAGAGTTAAAATATCAGGCCTGGGACTGTTAATTATGGAAGGGTTGCTTGTACTTGGGCCCTTTCCTGGTATTTGAGAACTTGGATTTGGAGGAGGGTTTGGAGTGGCTCACTGTTCATCCGGACTTTTCACACATACTGTGGCTTGTTGCTGAGGAATAAAATGCATGCAGTGTGACTCTTCTGGGTGAGGACTGATGGATGTTGGTGCTTGGTTTTGTCAGGACTTGCCCAATTCTCTTCTTGATCTTTGCGAATCTTGTTTATATCTTTTTGTTGAAATTCCTTGTCAAATAATCGTATGCTGAGTGCAGTGAGTGCTCCTAGTCAATCATCAAACTTGCCATGGTTTGGAGACTTCAGCCACCTAATGACTTAATGGTTTAGGAAGGGGACAGGTGAGAGGACATTTCATTTAAATTCAGCTGTTATTACTATTGTATTTCACCTCTACGATCCACTGTATTCTCATGTTTTAATTCCATTTAAACCAACCACCTACTTCTCAGTAACCCATTTAATCTTCTCATATGGCTTTTTAGCTCTATTGTATTTTGTCTAGTGAGATTAGAGCATGAACCCTCAATTTATTAGTCTACCTTAAATACTATATTCCATTTTTTAAAAAATAACCTTCATACTGTTTTTGTCCTGTATTTTATTTCTAAAAATATAATAATTTTTGGTTTAAATACCTAGCGGGTATTTAGAAAAATTAACATTTATCATTTCCAAAGTTTTAAATTCCTTTTTGGAAATACAGGTTCCCATTAACAATAATTTTCCTTTGGTTGTTTTGTGTTTATTTTTTGAGACAGGGTCTCACTCTGTATTTTAAAGTGGCCTTGAACTTGCAGTGATCCTCTTAAGAGCCTCAGCCTCCCCAGTGCTAGGATTATAGGCTTGCCTGGTGCTGCCATGCAGGGCTTTAGCCTAAAGAATTTAAGCAGCCAGCCAGCAAGAAATTGTTTTCTTTTACCTGAAAAGCTTTTTCTTTGCTATAACGTTTTGAGTGGATTCTTCAGTAGATATAAAATTTATATTAACTTTTATTGTTCAATCTTTTCACCTTATAGATGTCTCTACTCAATTTCCTGAATTCTACCATTTCTAATTAGGTTATATACTATTTCACCATCACTCGCCCAAGCTACTTTTTTTGGCGGGGGGGGGAGATGGTCCCAACAACATTGTATGTCCAAATGTGGTCTTCACTCTATTTGTATTCAGCTGGGAATTCACTGAAAAACTTGCATCTGTTGCTTTTCAACAATTGTGGAGGCATTATTGCTAAAACTGTTTCTCTACTCCATAAGCTGCATTTTCCTATCCAGAGCCTCAAGTTACAGACACATTACACTAGCAGTGTCTCACATCTTAAATGTCTGTATTTTTCTCTGAGCTGTGGCCTGATAAATTTATTGGCTTACCTTCCAATTCAGTCTTTGTTCTATGTACACCTTCCTGAAAGTTCCAAAATAAAATTTATTGTGGATAATTATCTTTCAGTTCAGATTTGTAATTTTATGATGAGATTTTCCACTGGGTTTTCAGTTTGTTTTTCTGCTGAACATCCTCTGTGTATCAACTTCCTTTTTTGTTTTTTGAGACAGGGAGGGTCTCAGGTGATGAGGGCCAGGCTGACCTCAAATTCAGGTGTTTGAGAGTCTCTCCAACCTCATTCTCTGAGTATTTCACTGCACAGGTATAATTTGGAATCTACAAAGGACTGAACTGAATCTGTAGGTAGATTTTTTGGGTATACTTCTCTGAGGCCTTTCCAGGATTTCAAATTTCCAGCAGTTCTAGAAGGCCAACTGATTCCTTAGCCCAGAAAGATTGCTGATTTCCATTCCCAAATGATCTGTACAAGCTGGATATTGTCTCCCTGGTAAAAGCCTGTTAATGTGGATCTCTGACAGTACAGGATTTTGTGCAGTTTCCACCTGGATTTAGTTACTCTCTAGAGCCTTCTAGTCATTACTTTCTACATTTTGTTCAGAGTTTATGAATGTTACTGACAAGAGTTACAAAACACTTCATTATCAGACTGAAACCTGAAAGTCAAGTTTTAAATTAAAAAATTCAAGGCAAAATAAAGTTTATAATTTATTTACAATGCATGTAGGATAAAAACCCACTTTATGCAGCTATACCCTTTAATTCATTTTTTTCTGGAGAAGTACAAAAGATCAGATTAAAACTGAGACAAGCATTTAAAGAAAAATCCTTTAAGAGTCCAAAAACAAACTGTAAATGGTTTGTTTTACCAAAAAAATTAGTTTTTGTACAAAATATGAAGAATTTTACACTATAAACAAAGACTGTTGTATATGTACTTAAATTAGAATTCTATCTGATTTTTCTCCAATTCTTCTTGAGCACAAAGCATATAGTATTTGCAAGCCAGAAAGTCCCTCAATGGGCAGACTGTCTCAGAAAAACTGTTATCCCTAATAAACAGGAAAGATAATACAGTATGTATTCTTTCCTTTTGCTCAATATCAATATCTAATACCCCAATAATTTTTAGTTTACAAAATTTTGCCATATTAACATAAAGAACACACTAATGCTTAATATTTAAGCATGATCATTTAGGGAATAATGCAACACAGAGCTTAACACAGTGTCTAAAATGTTACAATCTAATAATTCAGAAAGCCTTAGCAACTTCTGTCCAAAATGATCCCATACCGCCTACCATGTCATTATTCTATTTTCTCCTGTTATGTCATTATTTTATTTTCATGACCTTTCTATGAAAGAAACACATGCTCATGAGAAAATCTGGTTAGAGTAAGTCATAGAAAACAGTTCTCTAATATCAGGTGAACATCAAACTTGACACTCAAACTTCTGTACATGCATGGATATTCATACAGCAATATAATTTTAGCCTGTTTATGATAATATTAAATTGACTTTTATAATCTTTTAGCATTTGAAATTTTTATTATCTAAAAATCTTCCCAATAGAATAAGCGTGATAATCTTTAAAAAGCCTATATTTAAGAAGTCGTTTGGAATTATAGAGTCTTCTGATTGCAGTTATCTAAATGTTGATATTTTAATTCCTAAGTGGAAAAAAATGAAATTTCATGACTTACTGAAAAGGTTTTTAAATTTCCCCAGTTCTTCTAATCATATATACTTTATCACCACTCTGTATTATTTTGTAACTGATGGTTTAATACTTGATACCTGCTGGGTGTGGTGGTCTATGCCTGTAATCTCAGCACTGGGGAGGCTGAAGCAGGAGGACTGCTATGAGTTCAAGGCTGGCCAGGGCTACACAGTGAGTTCAAGGCCTGCCTGAACTACATGGTGAGACACTGTCTCAAAAAAAAAAAAAAAAAAAAAAAAAAAAAACCACACAAAAAAAGATACTACCCATGACCTAAAATATGTATAGCTCTGGCTTTAAACTTCTTCCCTTATCTCAACTCTCTCTTTTTTTTTTTTGGTACTGGGATTGAACTCATGACTGTGCACTTGCAAGGCAGGCGCTTATGCCACTGAGCTAAATCCCTGGCCCCTGAACTCTTTATTTTTATCATCTAGGAAATTAAAGGTTTGTGATTAAGGAGGTATGATTTAAGGTATGGTGACAAATAGCATATGATACTAAGGATTCATATGTCTTCTATATTTAGATTAATTTTTTAACAAGAGCAGAAGTAAAATCAAAGAGAATGTATGTCTTTGTTGTAAAATTTTTATCTAGTGGGGCAAATGTACTTTAAGGTATTCTCTCAAAACATATTTACTAAATGAAGTCTCTGTTACTACTACAAAGTTATTCTTTCCATTCATGACATTTTACATAGCATCATTAAAGCACCAAAGAAAATTCTGTAAACCAACTTTTAACCAGTAAACTAAGGGCAAATATCCATTTGCCTTTATTACAATATTTTAAAGGCCATGATATGCATCTCTACTTCCTACAATGAACATTTTTATAATAAAAATCAGGCATATTTATACAAACAAGAAACAGAACTGCTGTACATTTTGGAGAAACTAGACATACTGACCACAACTCTTTGTTAATAAAGTGAGCACAAGAAACATATAAAATCTATGCCATGTATATAAAAATCCAGTATTTTAGCTTCACTGAGGGGACTCATAATTATTAAGAATAAAATATGGTAGTTCCACTGGCTTATAATTATCCTGTAAACAGTAAGAAAGTGATAATAAATTAGAAATTTTTATCTCCTTTGTCTTATTTCTTCTTATTTCCCTTGTCTTGTACTGGAGCCACTTTATAACCGTTAAAATTGGCTCCTTTGAGTATCAGAATTTAGCAGAAAATGAATTCCAATTGGAATAAATTAACAGTCTACAGCAGATTCTTGACACATTAGGAGAAAAAAAATACTGCAGTTCATGAAAACTGATCTACATATTATGTAACAGAGAAACTCAACCTTTAAACCTGTTCAGTTTTACCAGATTTGCTTTGTTGCTATTATATTGCTTTCTAAACTATTTGGCAGCGAGGTAACAGAAAAATAAAAACATAAAACTGTTTAAGTGTCTGTAGAGTTACGAAGAAAAAGCCTCAAAATAGCCTTTTCCTATTGCTGGTTGGAAAAAATTTCATTTGGCACGCTGGATTTATAAGAGGAAAAGAAAAAAAAAGAAACTTAAAAAGTGTTTGGTATTCTAAACACAGGCAGTTAAGAAAAACATAGGAAAGGAAAATTGGAAAAATTACTACTTAAGAAAAAACAGAAGATGGACACCCACAGGCTTTTGTGTCTTCTACCATTCACTGTCTCTGAAATACTTTTACCTGCAACACAATATACAAATTATTATTTACATTACGTTTATACTGGTAAAGAAGACCAGATTGAGTTTTCGTTGTGCTCTAATTTAAGTGCCCATTGAGATACCGTGACCACCAAGGCAAGAAGGCCTTAAACAACACAATATTCCATTCACATTATATATTGTTTTCTTGTTCAAGTTTGGTACACAAGTAACTGTAAGACTCTGGAAAGTCCTGTAAACTTAGGTTGAGTTTCTGTAGCTGATAACTGTTCGCTGAAGATCAGATGCTTCCCTCTTGTTAAGTAAATGCTCTGCAGGCTTACAAAGGCTTTCTTTAAACGGTGGTATCGCCAAAGTCCTTGTTCCAACGTATGTATGCTTCTAAAGTTTGAGGACTCACGCTGCGTTTTATTTTTTTCAAAGATTCAGTGAAGTCAGATAATCGAATATTTCTCATCTAGATTATTAAAAAATACATGACACACGAACACATATACAATAGTGGATTAAACTGATAGTATAATGTTATAATAAATTTATAGAAATTATTCTTACTCATCATTTTAATGTATCATTTTAATGTATTTTTATACTACTATATATTATCAAACTTACTACCTAAGACACCTTACAAAAGTAATACAGTAGTTATGTTTCATTTCCTAGGCACTGGATTTTCTTCTTTTTAGTAACAGGGGAGCTAGTTCAGGGCTTGACACAAGTTAAGCAAACACTCTCATGCTGAGTTACAGCCCTAGCCTTTTGAAAGATTTTTTGCTATGTTGGCCCTGGGGCACATGATCCCAGAATTTAGGAGGCTGAGGTGGGGGGGGGGGTGCCATAAGAGGCCAGTTTGGGCTACATAGTCAGTTCAAGGCCAACCTCAACTACATAGTGAGACCCTGTGTACCAAAACAAACAAACAAACAAAAAAGTTGGTGTTTAAACTTTGAAAAAAGGGTCTTGCTGAGATCCTAAACTGCCTTAAACTTGTAATCCTTTTGCCTCAGTTTCCAAAGGAAGTCAGATTACATACAGGCCTGTGCTACCACACCAGGGAGGTAATTAACTTTTTTTTTTTTTTGGTACCAGGGGTCGAACTCAGTTCCTCTTACTTGCCTCTTAAGCGCCAGGCAGGCGCTTAGGCCACTGAGCTAAATCCCTGGTGGTAATTATTAACTTTTTCTGGAGTGGTACTACAGATTGAAACCAGGATCTCTGTAATGAGTGAACTCCCCAACCCTTTTCTTACTTTTTATATTGAGACAGGTTCTTGTTAAGTCAGTAAGTTACCCATGCTGTGCTCTGACTTATGATCCTCCTGCCTCAGCTTCCTAAAATGTTGAGATTTTAGGCGAGTGCCAACATGGCCAGCTGGATATTTTAAGGCAAAATGTTTTGCCACTATAAAAACAAAACACTCAGAAAATTTCACAAAATGAAGTAGGAAAAATAATCCCACACAATTCTGCCATTCTGCTGTTCAATTGGCCTGTTTCCTTTCAAATCTTTCTAGGTAGCTTTGGAATCATGAGATTTTACATTAAGTCTTAGTTATCGTAAGCATACTCCTGCTAAATTCACACGAAGTTTATTAGAAAGGAGAGAAGGTACAAGAAGCACATGAAATGTTAAAGGAATTACTGTTAACTGTACTGTATAGCAGACTATGCTCGAATCCAAAATTTTCTAATATGAGTATTACTTATCAGGCCAATGTGATGTCATATGCCTGTGATGTCAGCACTGAGGAAGGTTGAGGCACAAAACTGCAAGTTTTAGTCCTGCCTGGACAAGCTAGTGAGACTATCTCAACATAAAAAGGGATCGGGATGTAGCTAAATGATAGAGTTCTCCAGGGTGGCCCAACTGGAACTGCACAGGGAGACCTGGTCTCAAAAAATATATACATACATACATATGTTTGTAATGCATTTTATATTAATTTGGTTTAAAGACATTTTAAATTGGCTTTGGAACTGTGAGGAAATTCTGAGTCAATGAGTCTATCAGGATGTAGCTAAATGGTAGAGTTCTCCAGGGTGGCCCAACTGGAACTGCACAGTGAGACCTGGTCTCAAAAAATATATATATACATATGTTTGTAATGCATTTTATATTAATTTGGTTTAAAGACATTTTAAATTGGCTTTGGAACTGTGAGGAAATTCTGAGTCAATGAGTATATTTACCTAAGAATTATTTATTGGTGCCAGGAATTGCACTCAGGAACCCACACATGTTAAGTACATGCACTGCCACTAAGCTATACCCCTAGATCAGCGGTGGTGAACCTATGGTATGTGTGCCCCAATGGGTTGTTTGTATCACTGAAAGCAATAAACGGTTTGCCATCACTGCCCTAGACCTAAGTATTTTACAGACAAAACAATGTGGCACAAAACGACCTGTGTTAACAACTGTCACAGTATATATCTTTGTGAAGGATCGCCTGGATGACTTTCCTTACAAGAAGAGCAACTGTCTTCATTTAGACTAAACCCGGCCCTATTTCCAGGTATTGATCCACTCTCACAGTTGCTCATCCCTGAGCCACTCCCTGCTTCCTGAATGAATAAAACCTGGGTATGCTTCAGAGTCTCAGAGGAGATATTCTATATATAGTGCAGTTCAGGCTGGCTTTGAACTCACAGCAATCCTCCTGTCTCAGCCTCCTGAGTCTTGGGATTACAGGCGTGTGTCATCACTCTTTATTAATAAAATATAACTTACAGTAAAATAGTGATTGTATTGGATTTGGGGGGGGGTAATCAGGGATCAAACTCATGACCTTGCGCTTGCCAGGCAGGCGCTGAGCTAAATCCCTGGCTGTATGGGTTTTATAAAGAGAAAAATGTAAAGATTATTAAAACTAACAAAATATACAACAATTAACCATATAGGGTATTTTAAAATTTTGTATACAGTTTTCTATAACTTTTGTTTCATATTTAATATATTTGATAAAAAATGACTTATTAATCACTATGCGTTTTCTCTATTAACAAAGACCAACAAAAGGGACTAACAGCATAGGCCCCATATTTGGAAATGAAGCAAAATTAATTTTTCTGGTTTCTAGTAAAATAAACTAGAAAATTTCAGACACACAAAAACATTTTCAGTCTTATAGAGAACCAAAGCAAAGAAAGGATAATTATAAAATATACCTCACTGGCAGACATATTCTTCACCTGTTCTGGTTTCAGTTCTGTAAAATATAAGAAGGCATACTTTAAAAAACAAAAGATTATTAAGTTAAATTGCTTAAAGGGAAAAATCAAATACAACAGTAGCTGTCTAAATGATCATATTAAAAGAGATACATTAACAGTGAAAGCAAATACAATTTATAAATGTTTACACCAGAATAGGATTCCTCCTGAGGAGTAAACTGGAGAAACTGAATTTCTTACATAATATCCAAAAAAATTGTTTACAAGTTTGAAAGTCAACTTAAAAGAATGCAACTTGTTCTTCACAAAAGGCCTTAGGGGCCGGGGGTTTAGCTCAGCAGCTTAAGTACCTGACTAGTAAGTGCAAGGTTGTGAGTTCAATTCCTGGTACAACAACAAAAAAACAAAACAAACAAACAAACAACCACCACAAAAGGCCTTAGGATTGGTTTTTCTTTTCTTTTTTTTTTTTTTTTGTCTTTTTCCTTTTTATTGGTACCAGAGATCGAACTCACAACTGCCTGTTTGCAAGGCAGGCGTTTATGCCGCTGAGCTAAATCCCCAGCCCCTAGGGTTGGTTTTTAACCCAAAGCTGTTGTCTCTTCAGAATAAAATGTTCTAAAAAAATACAAATGATTTTAGATATTAGCTATTGCTTTTGATCCACTTCAGTAAGAAAATGTGGCCTCTTTCTCTCTTTGCAATGTATCTTATGGTACTGTACTACATTTCAAACCACAGTTGATTACCAGTAACTGAAATAAAAAGGAAAACCCTAGATGAAGACTATTACAAAGGAAAATGTTTTTGTATGGTGTAGACTATGCTACTATTATTCCCTACTACTCTATCACAATGAATTAAATCTAACCTAACCTAAAAACTAAGCTGTGATATATTGAAATCAACAAATTATTTATCTCAATCAAAATATAGCAATGAATGATGTATTTTGCTGCAATTTCATACAAGGAAAATTTCTTTACTTTAGGCACATTACTTTAGGCACATTAATTTCAAATGAAAAAGAGCATTTTCTCCATTATTTTTATTTCTGCTTGCTTAAAATATTTTCTTGGGCTGAACATGTAGCTTGGCAGTACAGCACTTGCCTGCCATGCACAAGGCACTGGGTCTGATCCTTAGCACTGCAAAATAAGCACGGAAGTTTTCTTTCCTCCTTTGAGTTTCCCTTCTAGAGAAGTACAACTGTGACTAGAACAGGAGTCACGGTCCACTGGTTCATTTACTGTTTTCATATAACTTGTGAGCAGCAATGGTTTTACTTTTTTTAAAGTTTGTTAAAAAAATAAAAGCCAAGCGTGGTTGTGCATGCTTATAATCCAGCACTTGGGAGGCTGAAGCAGGAGGATCACTGCAAATTTGAGGACAGCATAAGTTCAGAGCCAGTCTAAACTACATATGGAGACCCTATTTCAAAAAACAAACAAACAAAAAAGAAAGATGATTATGATTATGCAACAGAGACCATAGGTGGTCTACTAAACCTGAAATGTTTATTTAAGGAATTATAGGAAAAAAGTTTGCTGATCTTTAGAGACTACTTTGTACCATGTTTTCTAATGATAACAGCTTTACTACTTTCATACAATAATAAAAAGGATCTCTCAGTGGAGACTTTTATAACTTCTAAAGTGGTATGGAAAATAGCTCTACTGTCTTCAGCTCCTGTACACATACCTCGGATAGGTCCCAATGCTGCATCTTTTGCCAAAGCTGTTAGGTCACTTCCTGAGTATCCATCAGTCATTCTAGAAAGTGAAGGGAAGAAACAGCAAACTATTTTCATTTTTACAGAATAAAAATCTCCACAAAATTGAGAAGATAGGGCTGGGTATACAGCTTGTGACACAGCACCTGCTTGGCAAGTGCAAGGTCCTCAGTTCAATTCCAGGTGGTCTTGTCCCCCTTCCCCCTGCCCCTAATTAAAGAGTATAAACAAACTTTTGCCTTTGTCAACAAGCTGACAGTTCTGTGGTTTGATTTTAAAGGCACAGACCCATTTTTAAAAAATGAAACAAAATGTAATGACAACCTTTTAATATTTCAACAGTTCTTTTAGACATATTTTATAGGTCTCATTGTTTTTGGGGTTCTTTTTGTACTGAAAACTAAACTCACAAGCTCTAGCTTGCCAGGCAGGCACTGTGCCATTGAGCTATACCCCCAGTCCCGGTCTCATTTAATTGTAAACATGTCTTCTGGAAAGGCAAAATCTACAAACCATTGGTGATCAATTGACACGTAATCACAATTACTTCTCTGTAAATTAATTAGTCTTTTTATATTGGCAGAAAAAAGTCACTTGATGGAATCAGCACCAATCAAAGTAATTTCTTTCAATGTAGGACAGAAACAAAAAAGTGCCTGGCATGTAAGATGCTGAAAAAAAAAAAAAAAAAGAAAGAAAAAGAAAATGAAAAGCACAATAGAGGGGGTCAGGATGGCAGCCAAGAGATTATCAACAAAAATGAACTAGTGCAGAGAGGCAAAGAGTGAGAGGAAAATAAAACAAAAAACGGCATTTACTACACACTATGTTAATAACCTTCAAGAGGAAATATCATTAGGGAAATTCTTTATTGGACTGAAAAAGAAAGACCTCTATAGTTCCGACTATTTGTTCTTTTCCTATAGATACCTGGGGACTCAAGTGTTCTTACTAATATTACCCCCATTTACAAACTTGTTTAAATACGTATTTTCAATTTGTTTGGTGGTTCTGTTTTGTTTTTGAGACAAAGTCTTGATATGTAGTTTAGGTTGGTCTTGAATTCACTATGTAATCCAGGCTGGCCTTGAACTCAGGGATATTCTCCTGCCTCAGCCTCTGAGTGTGGGATTATGGGTGTGTGTTACCATGCCTGGTTTAAAATACTTTATTTTGTAACACTTTGTAAAGTCTAAAAATCTTTGGGTGCATCTCCTACATCCAGTTTCTACTTCAGCACACTTGTAAGACACAATGTAATGTTAATCAGGATCTTCTGAGGCCTCTGCTCAATGGCACCCCAACTTGGGCTTGTGGTAGAATCCAGTTTGAGCAAGAGTCCAGCTTAGTGAGCTTAGTAAATATGTCCTCCCATAGGTACCTCACCATCCTTGACATCTAATCACTCTAGCCTGCCTTCACCAAGAATTCTGTTCAGTCTTTCAAGAACTCTTTTTGTTTCCTGTTAGTAATTTTCTGACCTAACCTACTTGACTTCCATTTTACTTCTTGACTATAAACGCCATTTGTCCTAGCTGGAGCAAAACTATCTATCCACCACTGTAAGACCCTGCTGTAGTGCCATCCTATCCTTTTTTGGTGATGTGGGGGATTGAATCCAGGGTCGCTACACTAAGCTATACCTCCATTCTTTTTAATTTTTTATTTAAGCCAGAGTCTTCCCAGAGCATTGGGATTACAGGTGTGTAATGCTGTACTTGGCTATCACGGCCCTTCTTGAATAACGTTCCCTTACTGTCTTAAACTTTTTTAGAATATGAAAGTCCAAACAAATTCTACCTAATACAAATTTATATGAAGATATCTGTTTTGGTGTGGGGAAATATGAGATGCTTTGAATTTCTAAATTAAAATCATTTATAAATTTTATTTATAGAAAGAATATTCTACCATCATTAGGTATTTAGGTCAAGTCTAGTAAAGCCAAAAAAATGGAAATTGAGATATTATATATAGGAAGAAGAGGTTAAGAAAAGGTAGAAGAGGTAGAGAATGAGACAGGAAGTTTTGTGACAAATTACTATCTCATACGTTTAGGTTATTTTAAATAACACACAGATAATTCTTTACACAAAGAATAAGTACATAAATCAAATATAAAACCAAATCCAAGGGCTGGGAATATAGCTCAGAGGCACAGCACCTGCCTGGCAAGTGCAAGGTCCTGAGTTCGCTCCTAATACCAAAAAATAACAACAACAGAAAACTTACTGTAAGGAATATTGCACTAGGAAGCTGGACTGGGGATACAGCTTCCTGGTACATACAGTATGCACCCAGCATGTATAAGACCCTGGGCCTAATCCCCAGGAGAAAGAAAATTCCAGTATTACTCACCTAGCAAGTTGTGCTAGTTCTTTTTGGGTCAATGGACTTCCTTGTTTACATAACAGATTTTTAAGTAAAAGCAGTCTTGTCTGAAAGAAATATTAAAGAATTATCAATGTAGCCTGATTGGACTCATAATTATCCAAATTAATGTTTATCTTATTCTTGAGGTATGGCCTCACTACGTAGTCCAGGTTAGCCTTGAACTCCCTGTGTAGCTGACACTGGCTGTGAAGTCACAGCAATCCTCCTGCCTCAGCTAACCTAGTACTGGGATTACAGGTATGTGCCATGCCTGACTGTAAAAGTAGTAACTGTTTTTCTCTATTTATAGAGTGCAGACTGGCCTTAAACTTATCTAGCTCCGAATGGCCTCAAACTCATCCTCCCAAGTAGGCCTCCTGCATACTGGGGTATCAGGCATGGGTCACCATGCCCAGCTAAAATTAATTCTTAGCAAGCTAAAAATTGTCTTAATAAAAGAACCAGTAATCAGGTTCAAATCTTGTCACCTAGAAGCATTACTCTTATCTGCTGAAGTTAAAACTCACCTATTTTTTGAGAGTTTTTGAGAGCATTAAAGAAGATAATCCTCATAAAGCACCGAGGAAGTAGCAGTTGTCACTGTCACAAATGTTGCCCCTTCATGGTATATGCCTATAATCCTAGCATTCAGGAGCCTCAGGCAGGATTGCCAAGAATTTCAGGCCAGCCTAGTACCTACATAGTGAGGTAAAGGCCAGCCTAAACTACATACAAGACCTTGTCTCAAAAAACAAACAAACATACCTGCACTAGGGAACCACACTTTTTTTTTGGATCAGGCCTTGAACTCACAACATCATGCTTGCCAAGAAGGCACTTATACCACTGAGCTAAATCCCTATCCTGAGAACCACACTTTTAAGAGTTTTACAGAAGTATTAATTTATATACCATGAATTCACCCATTTTAAGTATATATCTTACTTTTTATAAACTTACAGAGTGGTACAACCATCACCATAAAGCTGCAGATCATTTGTATTACCTTAATAAATTCACTCCTATTTATCACAAATTCCTACTTCTATACTTCGTCCTAGCAGACTACTGATTTGCTTTTTATTTCTGGAAAAAAGGTTTTTCTTTTGGCATTTCATATAAATTGAATTATATGATAGTTTTTGTTAGCATGTGGCCTCTTTTATTTAATATATATATATATTTATTCATACTGTACATAGGATTTATTGAAAAATCCTGTTCACTACACCACATTTATTTATTCATTTAGCAGCTGTGAAAGTTTTTCTCTGCACTTTCTGCTATCAATTTGGTTGCAACAAAAATTCTTGCACGTCTTGGTATGGGCATGCTTTTGTTTCTCTAAAGTAAATTCTCGCAAGGTTTTATGGCAAATTGTATGTATCTTTTTAATAAACATAAACTGTTCCAAGGTGGCTGTACCACACACTAGAAGACAGACTTCCTTGTTTACATAACAAATATCCTTGTCAAGATGCTAATTGTTTTTTAAAAATTCAAAAATACATACCTCCTCATTTGGTAAAGAGACATATACCCGTTTGATGAACCGCCTACAAAAATTCAAGAAATTTTAGAATTATAATTTTGAATTTAAAAGTAACTCAAGTAACAAATGACAAGAAAAAGGTTTTAAGTATAATATTTGAGGCAACCGAATGCATCTTATAAATTATCAATATAAAAGGTGTTTTTTTGTTTTTGGTTTTTTTTAACCTTGCTCCGACAGGATCAAACTTACAACCTCACTCTTGCCAGGCAGGTGCTAATGCTGCTGAACTATATCCCCAGTCCCAGTGTTTTTTCTTTTTAAGAGCTCTTTACTTAATGTTTGAAAGTCTTTAATTCAATAAATGGTTAACCATTATGTATGTATGTGTTCTTAACAGCAACAGTAATTTAAAAGTATAAGGAGCACAATAAAGACATTTATTGCATTGCTGAATCTGAAAATTAGAAAAATCAATGATTACAGAAATAAATACCAACTTAACCAAACTAGTATTTATGAAACTAATATATACGAAGGTTTGCATATGGTGATGAAAATTACATATGGGGAGGGCTGGAGGTTTAGCTCAGCGGCATAAGCACCTGCCTTGGAAGCAGGCAGTTGTGAGTTCGATCCCTGGTACCGATAAAAACGAAAAAGACAAAAAAAAAAAAAGAAAGAAAATTACATATGGGAAGGAACATACATTCAGGATCTACCACTGCAGATCAACGAAATGGCTATCAAGAGTTGCCTAAGGAGGTGGGGATTTAGCTCAGCAGCATAAGCACCTGCCTGGCAAGCGCGAGGTGGTGAGTTTGACCTCCCCCCCCGCAAAAAAAAACAAGGAAACTGGAGACAACATAGATTTCAGGTAATGAAACCATCACCTCACATTTAAACACACTTGTGAGGCCTGGTTCTGCAAACCCTGAGAGCCCTAACTGACAGCACAGGAACGGCAAGGAAGACAAGGCTGCACAAAGAAACTCAAAGACTCGTGACCTTTATAAGAAGGCATCAGTCAGTCTGGTTGGCTAACACACTGTTGTGCGGTGGCCAGTACTTTTCAGTTGAAGAAATCAACCTATCTCCATTTATGCACATGTGGAATTATCATCAGGTAGGGCTTCACACTGTGTGACTGACTGCTCATTAATTCAAGGTAGACATGGAATAACCCAAGACACCTGCATAGTAAGTCTTTTAGTTTTCTAGCCCTACCCACAAAATTCTTCCAAAACTACATTTTCCAAGAAAAATAAAGGAAATATTCAAAGAAAATCATAAAATAAAATGGAAAATAATTCCAGGGCTCAGCACCAAAACAAAAACACCAAAAAAGAGAAATCACAATGAAGTAAATAAAATGAATGACATGCACAAGAACAGAAGGGCAAATTATGACTAAATATCTTCCTGTGAAATGAAAAATTTTAATGTGCGAAAATGGCATTTTATGAAATAATGAGCTACAAGAGTTTAAGGAAATGACATACAAAGGCTTAAAAGAAAAATATGAAAAATATGAGAGATATCAGGAAAGCAATAAAAAAGAAAAACCACAGAAACAAAGATTAAAAAGGAACTAGCAAAAATGACATTAAATAGTAAGAAATAAATACAGCACAGTTGATAGAACAGAAAAGAGCAGAGCAGAGCAGAGCCAAGCAAAGCAAAACAACAACAGACCCAGAGTTCAAAAGAATTAGACAGGAATTACAGGTACAGCGACATAAAGATGCAGCACAATATGTATATAATTTATGTACAAGAGAAAAAGAGGATTAGGAAAGAAAGTTACAGATACAATTAAAAATGAATTTTCAAGGGGCCAGGGATATAGCTCAGTGGCACAGTGCCTGCCTGACAAGCGTGACGTCCTGTGTTTGATTTCTGGTGTTCAAAACGAAATAAAACAGAAAATGAATTCCCAAAGTTTAAATATAAAGAAATATCAAATCCTAGGAAGAATTAAATCAATGTATTTTTCAAGTAACTACACTTTAATAGCTGAAAATTTTACCCAGTGCCAGGTGCAGTCCTCTATAGACCAGTTCTCCTGATAGTGTTCTAGACCTTTATTTGGTTTCCAATAAGAGGCCAAAGAAAAGCATGAGGAATAAGAGAACATGTGATGTGTGAGACAAACACACAGATGTATGTGTTTCCAGACAAAGCTCCCACCTGAGAACAGCCTCATCGAGCTCTTGTGGTCGGTTAGTTGCACCCATTACAAGTACTCTGTCATCTCCAGCAGACTGTACCTACAAGCCACAAATATTTTGGGGGGTAATCTTTAGATAAAGAAATTTTTAAAAAGACATGTGTAATTTTAATTTGGGCCATCTTATGGGAAAAAAACCTTTATCAATACTTACACCATCAAATTCTATTAGAAATTCAGTTTTTAGACGTCTACTAGCATCATGTTCCCCTTCTCTTCTCTCACACAAAAGGCTATCAACTTCATCTAGAGGAAGCACAACAGTAAGACTTTAATTAACAGCCACCCTAGGTGAGTCACTTAAGAGTAACCCAGTTATTATGTAATAACTCAATGACTACAATGGATGCTACCGAGTTCATTAGGTATTCTTTAACCTAAACTTTTTCTTTTTGAATAATCTGTTGTACTATATCTCTTGCATTTGTAAAGAGAACTTTTACAAGTACTGTATTCAACTAATTTAGTTAGAAACATGTCCTTACCTATAAAAATTATAGAAGGTTGGAGTTCTCGAGCCACAGCAAAAAGAGCTCTCACCAATTTCTCGCCTTCTCCCACCTAAAATAAAGCATTGGGTACTGTTTTACTCATTAAGCACAATATTATTTTAGTCTTTTAAATTTCATAATTTCCAGTCTAGAACCTAGGAATTTAATTTCTCTTTCATGCAATGACCAAAGACTTGGTATAAAGAACTAGGAACTGTTACCGAAATCTTCCTTATAATTTCAGAAAATAGACTACTTATCATATGGCCTGGCAGGTACTTCAAAAAATGAAATACAACTGTGCTTTGTCTTATCTTGACACTGAAGAGCTATTACTTGGGGGTATGACTAGTGAGAAGATGACTAAAAGAAAGAGAGATGCTACATATTCTATAAGCACTAGACTACAGGGTATCTTTACAGAAGCAGGTAAGTAGGAAAGTCCTCGCCTAAACAAAACTTGTCCTCTTAGGGCATGCTGCAAACTCTTTCTCACAATTCACTGTCAATAAATACCAAAATATTTCTACATAGGCCAGGAGGACTATAAAAACTCTTAGAGACACTCCAGATACTCAACTCAGCATGAATCAGACCATTCTACATATCAAAGTATCAAATAAAGGGGTTATGAAGTCTATTACTGTAATAAAAGGGTCATGAATCTGTTGTAAAAACTCTTCTGCCCTCTAGGTGGCATTTATCCTTTTATTACAATTTCCTCAAAAACAAAGTAAGATGGCCATGTTGGTACATGCTTAAAATCCTAGCTACACAGGAGGTTGAGACAGGCAGATTGTAAGTTCAAGGCCAGCCTGGGCAACTTAGTGAGTTCCTGGTTCAAATAAAGAAAAAAAAAAAAAAGAGTTAGGCAGGAAGATGTTGCAAGTTCTAGATCAGCTTGGGCCACAAAGTAAGCTCACGACCAGCCTGAACAATCAGACTCTTAAAAACATATAAAAAAAGCCTGCTTGGGTTTGTTCAACCTCAAAATAATTGAAGATATGGATACCTGCATGTATGTTTAAGTGTATAGGATTGAAAACCATATTACTAAGTTTTTGCTGGATAGTTGAACAGAACTGTTTGCAGTCTCGCTGTCTGAATTCCCACTTTATATGTTCCACTTTTGTACCTTGAACAAATATTTGTAAAACAACAGTATGTAAACATCAACTAGTGATTTCTTACTGTTTATTTTTTCTTTAAACATATTATTTCTATCCATTTTCTGTTTTGTGTAGTCTTTCTTTAAATAAAAATTTTAAAAATAGGGTATATAATTCAAGGGTAAGGTGCTTATGCTTACTTTACACAAGGCCCTGTGCTCAAACTGGCAATCCTCCTGTCTCACTTAGTTTCCCAGAGTGCTGGGAGTACATGTGTGCACCACCATACCCAGCTGTTTATGCTTATAATCCTACCTATTTGGGATCCTCAAGTTGGATTGCAAATCTGAGGCCAGCTTGAGCAACTTGGTAACAATGTCTCAAAATATAAACAGGGCTGGTGATGCAGTTCAGTGGCAGAATGCCATCAGATTAAATCTTAAGTAACACACACACACAAGTTCCCATCCAGATTTTTAATGATCAAAACAAGCATTTTCAAGAGTTGGAAGAAATATTACTATTTATATTAACATTTCATAGATGAAGCAGCCCTGGAACTTTCCTAAGGCCACCTCAGGATGTAAAAGACAGATTGGAATCTCTTGGAATCTCTGTCTCCCACCTTCAAGACAGTGCTTTTCATTATACTGTGTCTATAAAGTGGTCTAACCTGCTGTAATAACAACTTGTGAATTTTCACATAGCAAGCAAAACATGGTCAGAAAAAGAGGCACCATTTTACCTGCTTTACAAATTGAGACCACTTTAAGCATTTAAGCATACAATCCCAGTACACAGGAGGCTGAGGCAAGAGGATTGCCTTGAATTTGAGGGCAGCCTAGGGTACAAGGTCAGCCTGAACTAAATAGTGAGACCTTGTCTCAAAAAAACAATAGGGGGACTGGGGATTTAGCTCAGCGGCATAAGCATCTGTCTTGCAAGCACATGGTCGTGAGTTTGATCCCCGATAACAAAAAAAAACAAAAACAAAAAACAAACAAACAAACAAACAAAACTGGGTTTGGAGGAACCACAACAAAAAAACAAACCTGAAAGATTTAAACTATTAGAGATATTGTAAGAGAAATGTTACTTTATCAGCTTTTCAGCCAATACTAGTTTTTTAATCTAAAAAGAGTACTGATATACTAAAAACTGAATTTTATAAACATTCAAGACTGGAAAAACACTCATGAATGGCAAATGTAAATATTGTTTTGTTTTTAAATTAAAATGTGACAAGCAGATTAAAGTTCTGAAATATAACTTCTAAAACTAGTTGTGCAAAAACTATCTCTGAAACTACATATAATAATTTGGATCTTACAAATAGAATACTGATGAAAGAAAACCTTCCGATTACATTTATATGAAGTTCACAGATAGGTTAGCTTTGCCCATGATGTTAGTACTCTAATGGTTTTTGAGGAAAGAGGTGAGTGGACGAAGACTGGATGATCCTGCAGGGAATCAAGGGGCTAGGTAACATGCTATTTCTTGACAGAGACAATGATTATGAAAGTGTATTCACTTTATAGCAATCCACTGAACTGTATGCTGATTACATAAACCCTTTCCTACATATAAATTATTAATAAGCAAACTTATGCAGTAATTTCCTATGTTATAATGCAGATGTAACTTATTTTTGTGGGGAGAAAAATCCTAGATATTTTAGTAACACAAATGTGCACGACTATGAAGCAGTTCCTGCAAAAAGCTTTCTCAGGACGCATCACAAGAAATGGAGCTTGTATATAGTACTAAACAATGCTTTTGAAGACTTTATAAGTGAGATCATATCTGAAGTGAAATATTCTCATATTCTCCCATTCTGACACATTGGCATGAGACTGTAAGAAAATAATTATGATAAATATTAATCATTATATACTGCAAACATGTACTAATAAAAATTTTAAAAATTAAGAAAAACAATCCACAGGAGAAAATGCAGATATAACATTAAATTCTAATATTTGAAAATGCCAGGCATGGTGGTGCATGCTTATAACACCAGTACTCAGGAGGTTTAGGCAGGACGACCATTTGTGAGCTCAAGGTTAGCCTAGGCTGCACAGTGAGTTCAAGGCTAGCCTGAACTAAATATTCACAGCTTGGGCTAATAGTGAGTTCAAGGCCAACTCGAACTATACAGCAAGACTATTTAAAAAAAAAAAACCCAATACATAAATAAAATATTTTTCTTTCTTGTTTTTTTTGAGACAAGTTCTCCCTACATAACCCAGGCTGGCATCAAATTTGTAGTAAGCTTCCTGCCTCAGCCTCCTGAGTGTTGGGAGTACAGGTGGGCACCACCACAGTGGACTCCAAGGCAAAATCTTGTATTTTAGTTCAAAACAAGAAAGCCAAAAATACTCAGTTTAGTCCATAAGCCCTTCTCCCAGATGGTGGAAAGCTACTTTACTTGAAGTATAAGTGAAAAATGACAGTATTCCTTAGGAGTTAAACTGTGTTTCCGAAAACATTTGAATTCCTATCCCTAGTACCTATGAATGTTACTTTATTTGGAAAGAGTCTTTATGGAAGATTAAGTTACTGTAATTTGAGACTTTTGGGGACCTTATTCAACATATAAATATGTCCTTTTGAAATTTGAGCTGAGGGAGAAAACCAGGAGAAGATAAAAGAAGAAACTCAACTGATGCATCTACAAGCCAAGAAATACAAAAGATCGCCAGTAAACCAGCAGAAGTGGAGGTATGTAACACACTCTCCTGTACAAAGTAACTCCTTCACAAAGTAACTAACTCTTTTCTGACACTTTGATCTTGGAGTTCCAGGCTTTGAAATTACAAGACAATACATTTCTGATTTTTTTTTTCTTTTTGGTATTGGGGACTGAAATCATGACCTTGAGCTTGCCAGGCAGGTGCTGTACCACTAAACTATATCCCTGGGCATACATTTCTGATGTGTAAGACAGCAGTTTACAGTACTTTGTAATGCAGCCTTCAAAACTAATATAGTTAATAATAATAATAATGATATTCGTAACTTAATATTAAATTTTAAAAAGCCTAACAAATGCACTTAACTTTCGACATTGAATTCTGATACTAATCATGTGTAAATATAGAAAACTCATAGAAAATTATTTTTGGAAATATTATTTATATTTAACAAAGTAAGATACATCTATTTATTTGACAGTTTGCTTTGGAAGGTTTTATTAGAACAATGGATTCTGTATACACTTGGTCAGTGTATTCCTTAACTCCTAAAGAATACCATCATTTTCCACTTATACTTCAAGTAAAGTAGCTTTCCACCATCTGGGAGAAGGGCTTGTGGACTAAACTGAGTATTTTTGGCTTTCTGGTTTTGAACTAAAATACAAGATTTTGCCTTGGAGTCCACTGTGGTGGTGCCCACCTGTAATCCCAACACTCAATCCCAACACTTTTAGCCATTATTTAGCCTCTTTGATTATAGCCATTCTGTTAAGCTAGTCCTGTTCTTTACTTACAACTTTAAGATGAGAACAAAACAGTAACAGTAAAATAACAATTTAATGTATGACAATACTGGAAAAAAACTCACGTATTTTGAAGTTAAACTTGCAGCACTGATATTAAAAAACGTTGCATTAGATTCTGCAGCTACTGCTTTAGCCTTTAAAATCAGAAGAACAAATACATTAGTTCAGCATTTTGCTTTAAAAAAATAGTGACATTTAATCAACGTAAGTGCTAGAACAGATTTTCTAAAAATGTACAAGAGAATTCCCACATATGGCAATACATATGTTTCCTTTTGCTAGGAGGAAAAGTTCCGGAAAGAGCTGTGCTTCTCTTTACTCTACTCTCTCCTGAGAATGTGGGGTACTAATCTCTTAAGAATGGAAAAATAACCACTTAGAAAAAATAGCTGATAAAAAGTTACTCCTTTTTTCTATCTTGAAGAGCAATGCAGATAAGAGAGTTATCCAGAACTTGGTACTAATTTCTGGGTAAAAGGATACAGAAAAAAGAGTTATACATAGTTTTTTTTTTTTCTTTTTTTCTTTTTTTGAGACAGGGTCTCACTATGTAGTTCAAGTTGGCCTTCGGCTCACTTTGTAACCCACGCTGGTCTTGAACTTGGAACCACCCTCCACAGCCTTAGCCTCCCAAGTCCCGGGAAAACAGGCATGCACCACCATACCTGGCTACATATTATTTAATAAAACTATTAAAACAGCAAAATATTAAGAGTTAGAAATATATTCAATACAGTAGAATAAGGTGTTCTTTTTTTTTTTTTTGGTACCGGCCATCAAGCTCACAACCTTGCGCTTGTTAGGCTGGTGCTGACCTATAACCCCAGGCTGAGGGTAAGCTCTTCTAAAAAACCAAAATAGTCAGGGATGGTAGCACATGCCTGTAATCCCAGCATGTGGAAGGCTGAGGCAGGAGGGCTGCCATAAATTCAAGGCCAGCCTGAATTTCATAGCTAGACCTTGTGTCAAAACCCAACCCAACCCAACCCAACTCAACTCAACACAAACCATACTACTGAGGATAATACAGTTTTTCATCTTTATATCTCCACTGAAAATTATTGAATAATAAGTATATGAAAGCAAAAATCAAATAATAAAGTACATACTCAGGGGCAATATGAAGTTTCTTCTTTTCCTTATCTTACCTAGTACTGAACTTTGAAAAGAATTCTTACCAGCATTGTCTTCCCATTTCCAGGTGGGCCAAAGAGTAATAATCCTCTGGCAGGTGCTCTCAGCCCTGTAAACAACTTTAAAGACAGGTGTTAGTTCACAACTATGATTCTGAAGACAAATGTTTCCAGCTGTCTAAGTGTTGGTTGCCTTCTAATAAAATATCATTTCCTGTAGCATCCTCCCAAATAAAAATGACGAGAATTTTAAAGGGAACACACATCAATAAATTAGTATAATTAAAAACTGGGAAAGAAGATGAAAAAAAATTATATGCTTCAGGGATCAAAATAAAAGACAAAATGAGAGAATGAATATAGGCTTTTATATCTACTAAGAAATTCTGTCAATTTATACTACATGAATACAATAGATAATAAATCTTAGCAAAAATTGGAAAGGGGTTGGGGATACAGCTCGGTGGTAGCGCACTTCCCTACATATCTGAGGCCCTGGGTTCCATCTCTAGTACAAAAAAAGGTAGAGTGCAACAAGAGGACACAATAAATTCTTGGAGAATCAGAGGTAGCAAATGTGCTCTGGGAGGCTGAGGCAGGTCCTGGACCACAAGTTTGAGTCCAACTTTGTCAACTTAGCAACCAAATGAAACCCAGCCTAAAATAAAAGCATAAAAATGACTAGGGATATAGCTCAGAACAAAGGCCTTAGGTTCTATAGGGAGGAGGGACAATGACAACTAATGCTAGAGTTTTAATAATTCTCTAATCATTTTAATGACAACAGCAAAACTTTAACTAGGATATCAAGTCAGTGATTTCATGTGCTCCAATGTGTAATAAGTAAAATGAAATATAAATTTTTAGTACCTTCTAGTAAATACTCCTAAACAATAAATACCATAAATATAGTACATGAATGACCGAGACTATGAAAAAATAGAGCCCTATGGACTTCGCACATTCATTTAAAAGTGCATCCATCACAATGTGCTATAAAACTACATCCAGCAAGACGCTAATTTTATTCCATGAGATGTAAATGTTCAAGGAGAAATAACTGATTCAAAAGTGAAGCCTAAGATATACCTTTTGCAATATAAATGACACAGCATTTAATATGCAATCTGAGCTAGGTGTGGTGGCACACACCTGCAATCTCAGTACAGGCAGGAGGAATGCCACAAGTTTCAGGCCTGCCTGGACTACAAAGTGAGTTCAAGGCCAGCTTGAACTGCACAAAAAAACCCTGTCTCAAAGAGCAAAAAAGAAAAAAACAACAAAAACAAAAACACAGCAATTACACATCTTCCTTACGACTATAATATGAGATGGCATTAGATTCCTATACATCATTCACTGGCTATGTACTTTATTAATTAACACTTTTGCGAATAATTCTTTTTTTTTTTTTGTCTTTTTGAGACAGGGTCTCACTATGCGGTTTAGGCAGGTCTTGAGCTCACTTTGGAGCCCAGGCTGGTCTCAAACTCACAATGATCCTCCTGCCGCAGCCTCCCAGATGCTGAGATTACAGGAGTGTGCCACCACACTCAGGTCTAATTATTTTTTCTTAATTTTCCTTCTCTCTAATATGATTTGTATCTTTTTTTTTTTTCCTTTCTGAATTTTGGAGACAAGGTCTCACTATGTAGAGTTCAGGCTAGTCTTGGACTTGTGGTTTTTCTGCTTCATCCTCCTGAATGCTGGGATTACAAGCATGCACCACCACACCTAGCTTGCATTTAATTTTAAATCTGTATCTCACTTTAATATAAAAATTGTATTATCTACTTTTTCTTTTTTTTTTTTTTTCTTTTTTCTGGTACTGGGGATCGAACTCACGACCGCTTGCTTGTAAGCCACGTGCTTATGCTGCTGAGCTAAATCCCCAGCCCCTATTATCTACTTTTCTAATAAGTTAAAAACATATTGGGAATTAGGAACTCTTGTATTCATTCTCCTCTGCTATAATATAACCTGTCAACATGAATTGTTAATGTTTGTCTTTTAAAAACACTAACCCTATCATTGCCTTACATGAATTAATCATTCTAGCACAGCATACTTACTACAATAATTAACTAAGTAACGGTTACAGTTTTTGTTTTTACTTTTTGAGACAGGATCTTTCTATGCATTTCAGATTGGCTTTGAACTCACTATGTAGCCCAGGCTAGCCTCAAACTCTCAGTGATCCTCCTGCCTCAGCCTTCTGGGTGCTGAGATTATAGGCATGTGCCACTATGCCAGGCTTGACGGTGTTACAGGAAAATAATAATACCATGACCTTACCTCAGGTCTCAGAGAAGGAAGAATAACAATTTCTTGCAAAGCTTGTTTTGCCAACTCTTGACCAGCTATATCATCGAATTTCACAGCTGTCCCACTAAGAAAAAGAACTTCAGTTAATTCTAGTATAAAAGCATGGTTCAGTTAGTACAGCACACAGGAACTTTATATAAGCTCTATGAAGTGTAATCATTTTTATGTTAGCTATGAAAGTATAATTTAGTAAAAATGATTTTCTGTATTTATAACCAAAAACTAAGTAAGAAAAGGAAGAGGGGTTGAAGCAGGGGAAGAGGAATGAGAAAAAAAGAAGCAAAATATGTCATGTACATGAACAAATTCCCTATGGTGAATGTTATCAATATTTATACCTAAAATGTAAAAAAAAGAAAATAAATAAATATGCGCTGTGCTGCTGAGCTATATCTCCAGCATGGTTTACAGAGACTTTACTCAGAGATTTAGTTAATATAAGAGAGATAGGTCCTATCACAATGGTCATATAATTTTGATCCTACAATAAAAACTGTCATAAAAATTAAGTATGTAGGCCAGGGATGCAGCCCAGCAGCACAAGGACCTGCTTGGCATGCGCAAGGTCCTGAGATAGACTCCTGGTACCAAAAAAATTAAGTATGTTAATCATCAAGGTATGGGGCTGGGGATTTAGCTCAGCAACATAAGTGCCTGCCTTGCAAGCAGGCAGTCGTGAGTTCGATCCCTGGTACTGATAAAAAAGGAAAAAGACCAAAAAAAAAAAAAAAAAAAAAAAAAAAAAATCATCAAAGGTATGATCTATTTTCCATGTATTTTTTCAGAATGAAAATAGTTTTATTATGAATTGGGCCCTGCCTGCTTAAATTCTTCAACTTTATTCCCAATTTGAACTTCCTCTGTATTTTACCTGTGATACATTTTATAAACACAATTCAAACACAGAAACTATATTCTCTAGATGGCAAAAACTTACTTGTCCACAATTTCATTCATTATAAGGTTAGCAAGGTTGCTATCCACATTCCTAAAATTCTTCAAGTCTTTCTTTTTCCGAGCAGCAGTTGTAGGGGTAGAAGGCTTATTTGTTCTGTTTGTTTTTGGAGTACCCTGGAAGGATATAGAATTTTAACGTGTAAATATAACCCATCATACTTTTCATATGTGACTTAATCTAAGTTCACAGAATTCAATTTTAACAATCAGGAAAAAGAGCATAAAATTCCCAAAATTGTGTATTTACCACAGAGCAAAACTAAATGTACTATATAACTACATTTAGCATGAAATATGTTTACAAATTTTTTTTTTGTAACTGGAACTGAACTCAGGACCTCAAACTTGCCATGAAGGCACTGTGCTGCTGAGCTGTATCTCCAGCATGGTTTACAGAGACTTTAGAGATTTAGTTAATATAAATGAGATAGGTCCTATGACAATGGTCATATAATTTTGATCCTTCTTAGAATTGTAAGAAAATGCTAGGTATATTTAATATTAAATTTACATGAACCAAAATAAGTAAGTTTAAAATGAGTGATACATACATACACACACACACACCCACACACACACATATACATACATATATATATATATATATATATATATAGCATTATGTTAAACATACAGGGTAACTCAACTTAATATGAAATGCTAATTAGATCCAAAAAGATTAAATAGCATTTGCTTTTTGCTGGCAAGTTTGCCCTTGTAAATTAAAAGAAATTATATCTAACTCTGGAATTTTATTGATTTTCTAAGTATTATTATAAAGTTCTAATAATAAACTTAAGTAACACAGCACTTTTATTTGCAAAAGCACAGCAATTAGTCGCTGTTCTTCAATACCTTATGAGTGGCAGCTGTAGGACCAGGCCCCTGTCTTGTTCCAGAAACCATGGACAAACCACTGTAACTGGGTGCTCTGTGGTGACCTGAAAGACCTGCGGATCCAGTTTTCATAACTGTTTTTGAACGAGGCAGTGAATTACTAGTGTGCATTAAGGGATCTTTTCTTTTTGGAACAGCTCCACTTTCTAGCAAAGAAAAAGTAAAACCGTTATGATTATAAAATTATGGCTAAAAATTATGAAAGCAAATAATAAAGACAAATACAAATTTATGAAATTAAGCTAAAAATATTTTTGAAATTCAGAAAAATTTCAAAGATTTCAATCAGAAGGGTATTTACAGGAGCTCTCTGCTGTTGAAAAGTTCTCTGCTGTGGCTATTAGGTATCTCCTTTTCCTGATACATAGTCTAATTTTCTTAGGAAGAAACTTAACTATAAGAAAAATAACTTCATTTGTGGGGAAAGATGATATAAAACAGGTATCAAGCAAATAAAGCTCTGCTACACTTAAAAGACAAAATGCATTAAAGATAAGAGGGATATATTGTACACAGGAAAAAAACAGAATCCACAATTTTAACAGCAAACTTTCTATTTATAAAATACTATGGAAGGTTCAGTCTGTACCACTGAAAGTCTGTGTGTGTGTGCACACACAGGCATTTGAGACAGGCTTTCCCTGTACAATTCAGGCTGGCCTCAAACTCACAGTGATCCTCTTGCTTTGGCTTCCTGAGTACTGGGATTATAGGCATGCACCACCATGCCCAGACTTGTCAAAAGTTTTTAAATGAATCAATTTTAATTAAAAAAGTATGCCAAGTATTTTATGTCCAAAATTTATAGAACACTTCTGATTAAAAGTTTACTAGTATGGTGATCTTCATATAAATCAAGGGCTTTGTGTTAGTAGCTAATGAAACACTTTTTGTACAAAATAACAAGCTACGAAAGTCTTATCTTTTGGGGAGGGGCAGGAGTTTCAGACAGAGTCTCACTTGAACCCAGGCTCACCTTGAACCCACTATGCAGCAGAGGTCAGCCTCAAACTCACGGTAATCCTTCTGCCTCAGTCTCTTGAGTGCTGGGATTAAAGGTGTGTGCTACCATACTTGGCTCTCAAGAGCTTTTGAGTGTTAAAATCTTACCACTTCTAAGTAATATTTCATAATTTACATAAGTAAATCAGTGCTTATTAATAACAATGTTACTGTAAAGATGTTACACCAATGAGCAAATCAGACTAGCTAAGTCAAAAGATAAAAGCCTCAATTTTGCTCTTGCTATTGAACCCTTTAGTATGATTTAAAGAAATAAGCACTCCAAATTAGCAAATGAATCTGTTTATAATCAGAAAGAAACACATAAAATTCAATATTTAAAAGAATCATGTATTAGAATGTACTGTATTCCACCCTTTGGTCCCACATTAGCCATTGTGGGACTAAAATCAGAACCTTTATGACAAGTGAAAGAAAATGCATAGCTCGGAGAGACAGTTTTAACCAAGTAAAAACTGTATCCAAATATTCAAACACTACCCCAACCTTGAGCCATCACTTATATTATGATAATCAAATGTACGACAATCTTGAAGATTATTATAGACCCATTCTAGGTTACCTTAGATTGTTCTTCTAGGGCATAAATGACTATGACTTATAGAATTATATTAACTCATGTGACAATGAGTTGAAACTATTTCTATTTCTCTCATAATTTTAAAATTAAATTCATTTAATTAAGCTAACAATATATCAAATGGGCTAATATACACATGGCATAAGAAAACCCAAAAAATGAAAATATGATTTCTATGATAAAACCAAATTCAATTTACAAAAGACAAAGAACAAATATAATTTATAATGATCAGGAATAACTAGAAAACATAACAAAACCTAAGGCATGACAGTAAGGGAACAGAGTAAGCTTCATCAAGGTTTTTCCAATACCTAAGTGTAAAGTTATCAAGCCCATGCTCAAGGAACTAATAGATACTGTCAGGAAAAAGAAGGAAAGTATTCCAGAGAAGGGAACAACTTAAGCGAATGCAAAGATGTGAGGTAAAAGCAAGATTAAACAATATTAAATAGCATTCATTTCAGAGGAAGAAAATTTGGTGATGCACACCTGTAATCTCAGCGACTCAGAAAACTGAGAAGGTAGATTCCAAGACCAAGGTCAACCTGGTTAATTAACCAGACCTTGTCCCAAAATAAAGGAAAACGGGTGTGAATACAGCTTAGTGGTAAAGGATTCATGGGTTCAATCCCCATTCTTTTACTTGGTGGTGAGCTAGTGGCAACTGAACTCAGGGTCTTGCGCTTGGCAGTTTTGAAAGGAGAAGAAGGACCAGGGATACAGTTGAGGAGCACAGCGCCTGCCTGGCAAGCTCAAGGCTCTGAGTTTGATTCTTGGCACACAAAAAAAAGAGTAAGTAAAGATATCATAGGATCTATGAGAAGGAAAAAAGGACAGCCAGGCATGGTAAGACACGCTCGTAATTCCAGCACTCAGGAGGCTGAGGCCGGAGAATCACTGCAAATTTGAGGCCAGCCTGGATTACATGAGTTCAAGGCCAGTCTGGCCTACAAAGGAGAGACCCCATCTCAAAACAAAAAGGAAGAAGAATTCATCTTTTTTTTTTTTTTTTTTTTTTTTTTGTCTTTTTCCTTTTTATCGGTACCGGGGATTGAACTCACGACTGCCTGCTTGCAAGGCAGGAGCTTATGCCGCTGAGCTAAATCCCCAGCCCCTGAATTCATCTTTTTTTAAAATAAGCCTTTCTTTTTTTTTTTGCCTTTCAATATTTTTTTAAAGTACACACTATGTTTATTTTTAGTTATTTATTTATTTACTTTTTTGGGTACAGGGATGGAACTCACAACTTTGCACTTGCCAGATAGGCGCTTATGCCACTGAGCTAAATCCCTGGCCTGCCTTTCAATATTTGTGAATCAATTTTACTGAAGTATAATCATCTACTACTAGCAAACTATATGCATTTAAAGTACACAACTTATAAACTGGTAAAGATGTACCTATGTAATAGCCACTCAACACAGGGTGTAAAACATTTCATCATAGCCAAAAGTTTCATGTTCTCATCAGCCCTGACCCTAGCCAACCATTAAGCTGTTTTCTGACACTGCAGAAGTTTACTGAATAGTAAATTTTATTTATCTAGATTCAAGATCACTGAATTGTTCCTTGAATATTCTCAATTTTTTTGGTCTTTTTCGTTTTTATCGGTACCAGGGATCGAACTCGGGACTGCCTGATTGCAAGGCAGGCGCTTATGCCGCTGAGCTAAATCCCCAGCCCCATATTCTTAATTTGTTGTTGCAGTTGTCTAAGAAATTTTTAATTTTAATCAACTGTAGTTTTCAACATTAGAATATCTATTTTTTGGCTGGGGATAGCAAAGCACAGCTGTAATCCCAGCACTCAGAAGGCTGAGGTAGAAAGATCATAGCAAGGGGCTGGGGATTTAGCTCAGCGGCATAAGTGCCTGCATTGCAAGCAGGCAGTCGTGAGTTTGATCCCTGGTACCGATAAAAACAAAAAAACCAAAAATAAAAAAAAAGATCATAGCAAGTTAAGAGGCTAGCCTGAAGGTAGGAGGATCATTACCAAAAAAATCTATTTTTTAATTGTTTGGTTTTTTATCATAGTCCTTACTTGTTAATTGATCTGTTTTCTTTCTTTTTTTTTTCTTTTTTGTTGGGATAGGGTCTCACTGTATAGGTCAGGCTGGCCCAGACTTCACTATGTAGCTCAAGCTGGCCTCCAACTCACACTGACCCTCTTGCCTCAGCCTCCTGAGTGCTGGGATTGCAAGTGTGTGCCACCATGCCTTGCTATTTGTTTTCTTTTAAATCTCTGACTATATTTATAGTAACTGTTATAAAGTATCTGCTAAATCCAATGTCTGCTCCAATTCAAGGGTTTCTATTAACTGCTTTTTTCTTGACTAAGGACATACTTTTCTGATTTCTTTGCATGTCTAGTAATTTGGGGTTATAACTGTACATTACAGATAATGTAGTAATAAGCATACTAAATGATTAAGAGATGAAGTAACTCAGATAAAGAAAGACATTCTGGAAGTGAGTCACACCAACCAACTAGACCTAAATGAGCCAGCTCTTTCACTAGGCAACACTGCATTTCCAGTATCAGGATGCACAAATTAGTTATACAGTTAGTTATGTTCCACCAACCAGAAAACAGGATTCGTAGACCTGAGAGATTTCTAGGGATCTGAAATAAGACAAAGTTTGATGTTTTAAAGTGTAGCTTCAGAGAAAAGATGTTTGCTACCTCTCCCTTTTCTGGCATGGCAGAAAAATACAAAAGAATCCATGTAAAATGCAATTAGAGAGCAAAATAAATGGTGTGGGGGCACATGTCTATAATCCCTACACTCAGAAGGCTGAGGCAGGAGAACAGCTGCTAATTCGAGGCCACCCTGGACTGCATAATGAGTGAGACCCTGTCTCTAAAAAGCCCAAAGAAGACTGCGTGTAATCCCTGCACTTGGAAGACAGGAAAACTGCTATGAGTTTGAGGTCAGCCTAGGCTACACAGTGAGTTGTGAGGCCACTCTGGACTACATAGCAAGAGCCTGTCTGAAAAAAAAAAAGAGAAGTAACAAAATTTATAGTAAAAGACACATTGTCATTAATTCCCTTCAAAACAGTCCTCCTTGATTTGAACACACCTTTCCCACTGCTTTTGCTGTGTTCAGAGACAGTTCTGGAAGCCTCTTTCGTATTTTTCGTTGGCTGCCTCAATATCCTAAATGAATTCTAAACATGTATCTTTCATGGTTCTTCTGACTGTGGAAAAGCCAGAAGTCAGATCCAGAGAATGAGGTAGATTAGGATATACTGTACATTTTTATTTGACAGAAACTGCCATTAATCTTTGATCAGTGAGAATATTCAAAAAAATATGTTGAATAAACTTTAAAAATTTATTACAATAGAAGACACACAGTCCTTAATCCCTCAAAATGCTTCCCTTGTTTCAAAGGCAAATATCACATCATTTTTTGGGCAATGTATGTTTTACTATAGTAATTTTTTTCTTTTTTTAGGGGGGTGCCTGGAATTGAACTCAGGAACTCATGCTTACCAGGATGGGCTGTGCCACCAAGTTAAATGCCTGGCCCCTACTAAAGTTTTTCTTAATTTAATCATTTAAAGTATTCTCCAATCACCCCTGTATTTTTGAAATTTATCTACTGATATGTAGGACATTCTTGTATTTCTTTAAAGTTCCTTATGAAAAAGCTCTTCACAGCCAAGCTAAAAGAAACAGACAAACACTTAAGTTTATACTATTTCAAGTGTTTTAAGGCATTTAAAATCACACACAGGAATGGTAAGAGGAACACAGCCAATAATGCCTCTGTACTGGAAGACCAAATCTAAGTGAGATCACAAGGTAGAGGGGAAACCATGAGGGGAAAAATGATAAACTATTTTCTTCTTGTCTATGGAAATCCATTTATTCTGTTTACATCTAACACCTCAAAAACTGTGTATTCTATATGAATAAGAAAGGCAATTAGTTGTCTCACAACCTAACCTAAAGTTCTTTTATGATTTGAATAAACACCACTTTAACACAATTTAAATGTCATGTCACTGGACATGAACCATTGCTGAAAAAAAAAGATCACTAATAAAATTAGTTGAGAGGCTGGGGTACAGCTCAGAAATACAGCACTTGCCAGGATGCATGAATCCCTGGGTTCCAGCCCCAGGACTGCCAAACAAACAAAAGCTAACTGAGATGTCACCCTAGGAAATGAAGTTTCTCCAAATAAAACAGAAAGGCATTTAATCTTCCATAGGAACTGATAGAAGTTAACAGGAAAAAGATGCAATCCATGGAGAGAACATTTAATCCATAGTAATAACATTACTGTAGTATTTCTCCTTAGTAATATGGAGCATCTATATTTTTCTAACAGGTACTATGATAAAATATGCACATATAATATATACAAAGAATGATATGCAATGACAATTTGATATATATAGCGAAAAATTAAAATTTCTATCCATAACACTTTCATAGAAAATTAGAATGGCTATTTATGAAAAACACAACAGCTTAAAATATAAGACATAATCATTTAAAAGTCACATTTTATACTGTGAAAACCGGAGATTGTAAAATATACAAAGAAGCATGTTTAGAATGGCTATATGTTATTTTTTACCCATTCAAACAACTATGAATGAGAAATACTGCATTTTCAAAACAGCCTTGTGGGGGGAGGAGGGCAAAATCAAGTCAAGTCAATATTAGCCCCTAAGAAATACGAATAGCTCTAATTTACATGCAAGTTTTCTCACATTATGTTAGTTAACCTAAAACCCACCTGACTGGAGATGTCCATTTCGGCATGTCAAGTTAGTACTGTCATTATAGACGTCAGTTTGTGACTTCGAAAATTGCAAAACTGGTTGCAGCTTCTCTATGCAACAGAGGAGGTTAAAAAAGAACAAAATAAACAAAAAGAAAAACTATGATGAACAAGTAAAATGTGCATGTGAAACAGAAACAAAGTGTTACAAAGTTATATGATAAACGGTTTTTGCATTCACACACTCTCTTTTAAAATATAATTAGTAAAAGCTCAGACATGAAATAGCAACAGAAATTAACAAGTGAAAAGCTAAATTCAAAATATTCAGGTTTGGTAACCTGAGACAGTTATATCAGCAAACAGTTAGTGAATATCTAATATATCCAAATCACTGTTGGGAAAGTATCATAAAGATTTAAGAAATGAGTATGATCTCTACCATTCATTAACTTGTTAAGTTGAAGGGGCAACTTACAACACAACCATTATTTTTATTTAAAAAGAAGATCATATAGTACAAAAGAGACCTCTCAAATCTTTATAGAGGAAGTGAGTAATTATCTGGTAAGACTTGAAAAGACCAAAGAAGGAACATTTCAGGAGAAAAAACAGCACTTAAGACTGTACAGAAGGAAATTTTAAGGATAATCCAGGAAATGCTACATTTGGTTATATTAAGTCAGGCAAAAATAAAGACAATAAAGCACAGTGAGATAAATATGGTGTAAAACTCTGTGTACAGCACCCTACCATTTGTTTAAACACTAACCTGTCAGTGATACCCTGGCTGTCAAACACCTCCAAGTTCAAGCTTTCCACTACTCCAACAGCAAAGTCTGAAAAAATCTTCAATGTTTCCAACTCTGCTCAATTCCCTAACTGAAAATCCAACCTGAGAAAACCTAGACTGGCCGACAGCGAGGCATGTGCCACATCTCACCAAGGACACAAGGGGTGACATTCAGTCAAGCACCACTCTTGCCCAGATAACATACGGGGCTTGTATTAGTCTGTTAAGACATTTGTCACTGTGCTTTGTGTGTGTGCTTTCTTTGTGTAAAATACTATAACTATGGCTCCAAAAAAAGTGATACCAGCAGTAAAGTTATGAGGAAAATTGTGAAAACCATAATGAGAGTTAAAGAAATCACTGTAAAATTTGCTGAAGTCCTGGACAAATGAATTTGTAAGTGTAATTTTTGGGCCTCAGAACCAATTATTTGGTTTCTACTGTTTTCTTCGTTCCTTCTTTTTTTTTTTTTTTTGATACCGGGGATCGAACTCATGATCTCGCGCTTGCCAGACAGGTGCTTATGGCGCTGAGCTAAATCCCCAGTCCGGTCTCCGTCTCTGTCTCTCTGCCTATGTAAAATAATAACTATCTTCTACCTTGATATCTGAATCCAGCAAATAAAGCCCAATAGAGAAGTCTGATTTTCTTTGTAAGTCTAAAGCATTTCTGTACTCTTCTCCTATCTAGTCAATCTGAATGCTAGGTGATATGCTTTGCTCTACTTCTTAACTAGTGACATTACCTTGCTTTACTATCAGTTTTCAAAAGGTCCCAAGGATTCAATAATGTATATAAAGTACATACTCAGTGCTTAACGCATAACACAGGCTCAGTTTCACTACATTTATTTTCTTCAACTATTCTAAACCATAACAGCCTCTGATTTTATACACCACCATGTCAATAGATACATGTATCTACTGATTACAGGATTACAAAGGTTTACCTCAGTGACAGCATTTGCTGAGCATAGTGCGACACCAAGCAGAAACACCAAAACGACAGCCAGGATTTGGAGGTAGATTTATTTACGTTGATGGGCACTGCTCAGTATCATTCCCAGAGTATCAGGCCCTGTCTCTGGTGCTCTATGGCTTATACGGGGTAAGCGAGCAGGAAGTACAGAGGCAGAAGAGACTGTCAACTGGGCACTGGTTTGTACAGTGTGCATCTAGTGACCAGCTGTACATCACGGTAACCAGCTGTTTCTAAGAGACAGAAGTAACCAGAGCTGGAACAGGAGCTATTACCTGGGAACTAACAAACCGAAGTATACAGGATGGGAGGGAGGGTGCTGTTACAAACAAGAGACCCTGGGTTCAATTTGCCAATACAGCAAGCAAACAAAAACACACACAAAAATATACACTAACTCTCTTAAACTTCTATTTCTAAGGTCAGACAAGCAGGCACCATGCTTGGTTTACGGTACAACAATACATGCCTCTGGGACAGGTTAAGTAGCAGCTTACCTTTTATAGAAAACACAAAGTACTGCACAGCTTTTGTGGCCTAGAACTGGTTGATATAATATACCCTGGAGTTTTGTTTTGTTTTGTTTGTGTTAGCTAACAGGTAGGTCATCTGATTTTTCTCAGTGATAACACTGTATTCTTTAAATAATAATAGCGAGACATATTTCACTTGTGTTGGTAAAACCAGAAAATAGAAAAAAAAAACTGACTTGTAAAAGTTTTATCAATTAACACTTTCTTCAATTAAAGGTGACAATAACTTCATAGAAACATTCATTATGTTGTAAAAAGAAATTAAATACTTTGTTTTCTAATAACTGGAAATAAACAATTTTATAGAATTTAAGTACAACAGAGGTTAGATTTGTGTATGGAAACACCCATAAATACACTACCACAGTACACTGCTGTTGTAACTGTGCTTTAATTCATTTCTATTATTAAAAAAGGGGTGAACGGCAGGAAAGTAGCTCAGGGACAAAGTACCTGCTTAGCACGCATGAGACCCTGGGCTCAATTCCCAGTATCATCAAAACAAACAAAAACAGTAAACAGATGAATGCTTTTTTTTCTTTAAGAATGACTAAGGTTGTAAGACTAAACTGATAATTTGAATTAAAATAGTAATTCTCTTTTTTCCACTACTAGAGAATGAACCCAGGGCCTCAGAAATGCTGGGTAGATACTGACCTCTGATCTATAAACCCAGTGATTTTTGAAATTTTAATTTGAGACAGGGTCTCACTATGTTACCCAGGCTGGCCTTGAACTTGTGGTCCTCCTGCCTTGGCCTCGCAAGTAGCTGGGATTACAGGCATGCAGCACAATGCCCAGCAAGTCAGTCATTTTAGGGGCCAGCAATAGCTCAGTGGTTTAAGTGCTTGTCTGGTAAGTGCAAGGTAGTGAGTTTGATACCCATTACAAGACATTTTAACCTCCTCAAATTCAACTCCCACATAATCATCTGATGGATCTACTTTAAAGAATTTACATGCCTGTAATCCCAGCACTTGGGAAGCTGAGGCAGGAAGATGCCATGAGTTTGAGCCAGCCTGGGCTGCAGAATGAGTTCCAGGCCAGCCTGAACTACACAGCAAGATCCTGTCTCATGATCCCTCCCCACACACAAAAGGAAAGGCTCTTACCATACCATTCCTTTCAAAACCCTTCAGTGGCTTCCCACTGCTCACAGATTAAAGCTCAAACTCCTTCATGTGACAAAGCAGGCCATCTACGGTCTTCCTCCACGTCTTCTACCTGAGCAATCTCTACTTCAGTCTACCAGCATTCACCCTTTCGTACCTACCATGCTGCTTCTTGCCTCTAAGCTTTTGTTCAAGCTTTTGCTTTCCCCTGAGATGGCTTTTCTTGAATTCTTTAAAAACATTTATGTATGTATGTATGTATGTATGTATTTTTTTAGACAGGGTCTCACTACACAGTTCAGGCTGGCCTTGACCTCGCTTTGTGGCCTAGGATGGTTTTGAACTTGCAACAATCCTCCTCTGCCTCAACCTCCCAAATGCTGGGATTACAGGCAAAAACTTTTATATTTTTAAATCCACTGTGAGATTGTTTTTTCTAGAAAGTTTTCTCAGATACTTAAGTTCCCACCTCTTAAAATGTTTACATATATCTATCCTACAATGAGCATTATTTGCATGTCTTCCTCTACCACTATGAGGTCCTCAAACAGGAGAATTTTATCCAGTTTATCAATGTATCTGTCTCTTCAGCCCTCAAATGTTATAAGTCAACCATTTGTTACCATTTCCTGATATACTCTGACTCAGGCCTCCATCATTTTCTCCTGTATTACTGCAACAGTGTCTACACTGCTCTCCTGGGATCTCTCCTTAGAGTATCATACAACCCAGCACTCATATAACTCCTCTCCTAAAAATTCTTATAAACTGTTCCCCATTTCAAAGAGAGTAAAACCTCAACTATTTCTTCATTTGGCCAATAAGTACGATTGTTGTGACAACTCTTCCCCACCCCAACTCTCCTCGCTGGGTACACTGGCCTCTCTGTTGGCTCACAAACATACCAGGTGTTTTCTGTAAGGCTTTTTCTAGGCTTTTATTTCTCTTTGGGCCATCTGTCTCCCAGATACCTTCATGACTAACTAATATAAACCTCACAAACAGACCATCCACTTCCAAACTAAAAATTCAAACTTCCTCTCAGTCTGCTCTTACTGTTTGACTTTTTATTTTGTTCATGTATTCATCACCTTTGAATAAGATGTGTAATTTGCTCTTTATGTTTTATCATCTATTGTCTTTTCTCTGCCAGATGTAAATTCTATGGAGGGATTCTTGTCTATATTTCAAGCATTTACAATAGTGCCTATCACTCAGTTGTCACCAAATAAGTATTTTCTGAGTTAAAAAAATTCAGTTTATATTCCTTGATGTAGGGGCATAACAAATAAATTGAAATTGATATTGATATTCAATGTCAATTGAATAATATTGAAATTGATATTGAATGAAAAAACATTACAAATGCCTGAAGTATCTGTTGCTAAAGCCAAATTATTCTCTCATCTGGAGCAGCCTTTATGGTTAAGCTTTGCCCTAAGGTTAACTAACACTGACTCTAACATAAATAATATATACAAACACTTCTCATCCTTATCAGGAAGGCTGCACCTTCTCAAACCAGTCTGTATGGGGAGTTCCCAAAATCATGTTCATTCTCTGTCCTAATTAGACTCCTAGGTGGCACTACCTTTCTGTAAATCTGATTTTTAATCAGAACATAACTCACAAATATGGTCTACTTTACATTTACACACAAATATGTTTTCCATCTTTTCTTCAATTTTTTAAACTGCTTTTTGGTATATCTACTTGCAAATCTCCAACATTCTTAGAAGACAAGAATACAGTGATATGTGTTTGCATATCCATTCCTCTCTGGTTTTAAAGTAACATCTTCACAAAACTAGCATGTGCAAGGCCCTGGGGTTGTTTTTGTTTGTGTTTCTTCTCTTTTTTTTGTGGGGACAGGGTCTTGCTCTGTAGCCCAGGGTGGCTTCAAACTCATGATGCTCCTACCTGAGCTTTCTGAGTACTGGGAGATAGGCATGCACCACTAGTCCCAGGAAAAGAGAAAATTAAAAAATAAAAAAACTCTTACTCAATTTGACTTCTTATAAACTGTTTCATAATCAAATTTGTTTTGTACCATATACAGTATATGATACTTTGAACATATACTGAAAAGTTTTATGACTAAAACACATACAAAGTACCTATTAGAACAATTCACTATTTTACTGTAACAACCTTTGCTACAACATTTAATTATGGGTGTGTGTATCATGTATATTGTATGTATATGTATGTGTGTGATGCTAGGGACTGAACCTAGGGCCTCATGTATGCTACATAAGTGCTCTACTACTGAGCTATATCCCCAGCCCTGCTACTTAACTGTGTCTATAGCATTCACCTTTAAGTAAGAAGAAAGCAAGTCACAGAAGCCAGGGAACAAACAGTGCCTTGTCAACCATCTGAAAGAGGTCAAGGTTACTTTATCTACATGCAGCAAGAAACCTACAAACACAATGAGCATTCAAGAATAAATGAAACCAGTCTTGGTAGTACAGGCCTACAAACCCAGCTCTCCGAAGGCTGAGGCAAGAGGTCCTGTAAATTTAAGCCCAGCCTGGAAGACACTCAGGAAGACAGAGTGAGCTCAAGATCAGCCTGGACTGCAAAGAGGGACTCACTCTCAAAAAACCAAAACAAACCAACAAAAAACGAATAAACAAATAAATAAAAACACATATGTAAGTGAGAGTATTTTTCTATCAAAGGGAAGGAAATATTTAAGATAGGTAATGCAATGAATAAAAACCATCGCTTTGGGACTAGGGTACAGTGTTTGCCTACTGTCTATGTTCAAGGCTGTGGCTTCAGTCCCAGTACCAGAAAAATAATTTTAAAAATAATTACTATGGGTTAGGTCCCTTCAATAATTCAACAGTCACAAATATGAAATATATATTATCTATCTGCTCATTAAAATTCTATTTTTAAAAAAGGCTCACACTTATAATTTACCCCAAAGACCTTTCTTACCAGATATATATCATTTCCACCACCCCAAAGTACGGTTTGGTGCAGTTTTGTTCTTCCTTGTGTTATGGGTAGAGCTGCCTTCAGAATATGTTTTTTTTTTTTTTTTTGTCTTTTTTGTTTTTAACGGTACCGGTGATCGAACTCACGACTTCCTGCTTGGAAGGTAGGCACTTATGCCGCTGAACTAAATCCCCAACCCCCAGAATATGTTTTTAAAACCTGTACTATTAAATAAAAGATAAGGAAAAGCTTGTATTCCGACTGATACAAGCTGCAACAATAACAACTAAATTTTGCTACACATCACAGTTAACTGCTGCCAACCTGACAGAGAGGAACTACTTATGAACATACAACCCCCTGTGAAGTAGAACTAACACTAAAAATAAAAATCAACTTCCAATGTAATCAACTTACAAGGAGAACAGAAAAACATGTTAAAAGACAACACAGAAAATGCCACACACCAGTAAGAACATGGAAAGCACTAGGTGACTACGACTGAGGCCAATCTATAAGTAACTGTAAGATAAAAGAAAAGGAGGTAGACCTGTACAGAGAAGAGATATGGACGGTCTTGAGATCTTGTATTTATTTATTTATTTATTTTGAGATCTTATTTCAACAATTACTAACAAATAGCAAGCACTCTGTCGAGCTACACCAATAGCTCTTTATTAAAAAATTAATCTGGGGTCTCATTAAGTAATAAAGACTCACCTTGAACTTGTGACCCTCTTGCCTCGGCCTCCTGAGTGCTAGGATTATAAGTATGTGCCACCATACCTGGCAGCCTCACTATATTTGAAATGATTGCATCATATTGCCCAGGCTGTCCTCAAACTTGAAATGATCCTCCATGCCCAGCCAGTTTTTAAAATTCTGAGATAGAGCCTAGCTAAATCACTAAGATGCTCAGGTTGAACACAGGGATTACAGGTGTGCACCACTATGCCTGGCTTCACTGTTTACTATTATAATAAAACTTTACGGGGTACATGGTGCTCCTATTCCTTTATGCATTATTTGTGATTTATGTGCTATAATGGCAGAGTTGAATTGTTGCTGCAGGAAACATAAATCCCTCAAACCCAAAATACTTAGTACCTGGACCTTTGATTTTACTTATTTTTGAAGTTAATATTATTAATTTATTTATGTATTGTCTTTTCTGAGTCAGGGTTTCTCTATGCAGTTCAGGCTGACCTTAAACTCACTTTGTAGCTCAGGCTGGCCTAGAACTCGTAGTGATCCTCCTGCTTCAGCCTCCTGAGTGCTGGGATTATAGGCACATGCCACTATACCCGGCTAGTTCTCTCACAATCTAATGACTTTTACTACTTTTTGTGGTGGCACATGTTTATAATCCACCTATGAGGGACGCTGAGGCAGGATGATAGCAAGAGCCTATCAACTACAAAGCAAGATCCCCTAAACACAGAAAACCAAGACACAAAAATGAAAAGGCATGCAGCTCAGGGCAAAAGCTCTGAGTTCAATCCTTAGTATAACTTCTCCCGAAAAAAGCAGTGAATTGAGTTTGACCACAGATTGTCACTTACCAGCCTTTGTTAGAGACAAAACAAGAATGGCCATAAACCCATTAATTGACATAGCTGAGTAAGCTGAGCGACACCTAGTAAGGAGTTCATTATATTCTTCTCTTTTGTATATGTTAGAAACTTTTTGTAAGTTAAAGCTTAGGCCACATTTTTTCAATCACTGATCTGTTTCTATCGCAGTGAAAGATTAAGCACACATTTCAAACATATCTCATATACAACTTTATATTAATTGATACCTAGAAGTTGTAAGCGATCCTTGGCCATAACCAAATTAGTCATCATTTTTGCTTGAAGACGTCTAGCTCTTTCACACTGTTCACCTAAAATTAAAAAAGAATTCATTAAAATATCTACTATTCTCTACTAATACTGTTTTAAGATAAAGAATCACCCCCAATACTCCTATGGAGGTCAAAGTCCATATAGAGAAATTTTAAAAGTAGCTTCGAAAAAATTAGTCATAATTTTTCATGATAGTTTCAAATCTACATGGTACTTTATATATATTTCATGAAACCTAAGACATTTTTCACCCACCTTTCAAAATCTTTGAAACCGAGGTGCATTTTGTCATCAGTGAGAAATTACAAATGCTCTCAGCCAGGCCCCAGTCACAGTCTGTCCCCGCCTAAGCATGCGAATGTTTGTCATAAATATTAATGCTACTCTTATACTTAAGTATGACCAAAGCACTGTATTTGATGACTAAAATTCAAATTGGGTGACAAGAAGTCACTTTACTCTAGTTTGGCTTGTAGGTTTTCCTCTTAGTGATAAAACAAAAGACACTGCATGGTCATCAAGGTCTCAAAGGCCCAACCTCTCATATTTATTCGCTTTATTCTGCTTTCTTTTATATAGGAGACCAAAGTAGTTATTACAATACAAAGGAAAGGAAAAAAGAAGGGTCAATATTGCATATACTATAATTATTGTAAGATTAGTTTAAATTTGATAGTAGAATCAGTCAGACATCCTTCAAACAGACACAAAATGGACTGATTTGTAGCCTAAATAATTTTTGCTTCTCAATTTATTTTAGCTATGACAAACTGAAGTACAATCATGTACATAATGACATTTTGGTCAATAATGTACCAAATGTGTAACAGTGGCCTCTAACACACTGGTGAAAACGAACTTATCTGTGTAACTGTAGGTTTAGTCCCCAGCAAAACAAATAAGCAAATGAAGTACTACCTATAAGTGCAAACAGAATCTGTGGATTAACACAAATTTTTCTTCATGGTAATGAAAAAAGGAGCAGGTTTCAAAACAGGGCTAAAGTGCTGGGTATGGTGATATAAGCCTGTAACATCAGCACTTGGGAAGCTGAGGCAAGAAGGTCACCAAAAATTCAAAGCCAGCCTGGGCTACGTAGTGCATTCAAGATCAGTCTGCACTAGAAAGCAAGACAGTGTCTCAAAGAACAAAAGAAAACAAAACATACACCAGGGTTAAAGCAGTTAGCTGACGACTAAGTCACTCTGAGGACATTATAAGTAAGGTACTACTTGTTATAAGTAATCAAGTTTGAATATATCCAGTTACAACTTCATTTTTAGAATAGATAAAACATTAACTGTTCATCTGTAAATGTTAGCAATAACATAAAAAGGTCTATCTTTAAAGACAAAAAGATTTGAAACCACAGTACTTACGTAAACTCAGGAATTTTCCCTGGCCTGCAGTTTTCCTTTGGGAATTTCAGTTACCTGCGGCCACTGCAGCCCAAAAATATTAAATGAGCCAGGCATGGCGGCACACTCTTGCAATCCCAGGACTTGTGAGGCTGAGCCTGAAGGATTGCCCTGAGTTCAAGGCCAGCCCGGACTACCCAGAGAGACCTTGTCTCAACAAAACAAACCAAACCTTAAAATTTAAAAAGGCCAAGAAACACACAAGTCTTAAATGTTAAACCATGCGTTCTTCAAAGAAGTGTAATGAAATCTCAACTGTCCTGCTCTGTCCTACCCATGAAGTGCATCTTTCCTTCTTCCCACATATTCATGCTGTACTGTACACACTAAACTGCAATAAGCAGTCGTTTTGGCTATCAGTCTTACCATATACACTATCAGTCTGGCATCCATCAGGGACCCTGGAACACATCCCCTGCTGAAAAGTGGGGACCACTTCTAATATAAGGTACCTGCAAACAAACACCAACATAACCTTACCTTGTCCTGTCACTATGACAGCTATTCCTTTTTCTAGTTCTTCGATACCTTTCTTATACCATTCCACAGCTTGTTCCTTCTGTCCTGCTTTAAAAGAGATCATTATTTGTATACATCAAAAGTATGAGAAGTATATCCAACATTTCTCAAATCACGCTGGTGATAGAGGATACATAAAAAACAAAACATAATGAAGTAAGCCTAGGAAATGTTGCTATGTGACCTCTTAGTACTTCTGGCAACTGAATAGGCATGTGAATCTCCAACACAGCCAGTACATGTCGGCCAACATTTTAAGGCTGTGGATCGAGTTTTGCTTACTGTCTCATAGCATGGATGCTTGTAACATACAAACTGAAATGCTGTACTGGGAAATTTTAAGAGAAAATTTACATAAGTGGCTTTGAATATATATACCGTTGGAAAAATATAAAAACAATTTCAATGATAATAAGGAAAAAGCACTATTTGATTTAATTATACTGAAGTCTAATGTAACATGTTCATTGCTGGGTAGCTCAAGTTTCTTTTCTTTTTTTGAAACAGTCTCCCTACATCATTCAGGCTGGCCTTGAACTCACTAGATAGCTCAGGCTGGCCTCAAACTTGCGGCGATTCTCCTGCCTCAGCCTCCTGTCACACCATGCCCATCTTCAAGTTTCTATTTAACATGATAGTGTCATGACAACTAGTACATGATTTTACAAGTGTGGCATTTAATTACAAATTATCTATTTTATCTGTATCAAATGACTGACTTAAAACATTCTTGATACTAATTAAGCTTTAAAAAGTTATGCTAAAATTTTCTTAACAAAGATGTTTATTTTAAAAGTACAATAGTTTTAATAAGCAAACAGCTAAAAATATAAAATATACATGTAAGTCTCAACAGTTCACAGTTCATTGTCCTTTTGTTACTGAAAAAAAAGTAGTATTATAAGTGGAAATGAGATTAGCCATTTCCTGCCCTAACTTTAAGTAAGAAGGAAAATTAAAGTTTTAGACACTTGCATTTTTAACATTTCATAGTTACTTGTACAACATCCAAACACAAACTTAAAGTGAACACAGAGACAGCAGTGCCCTAGGACAGTAGTGAAATGCTCAAGTTCTCACAGATGTCCCTTCCGTGCTTTTCTGTCAATGCGTAGCATACCAGTGCATGGAGAGCCTAAGTCCACTGCTGGTCAAGTTCCAAAAGCAGCACCGAATCTCACCACCAACTGCTGAGGAATAGTCACTACTTTTCTAAATTTCATTCAGTTGAAAAGTGATGCTAAAATTTTGGCATAGTCAAAACATATATAAGGTACTTCTGTAAAGTGGTAATTATATGGAAATATTTTGTTTTTTGTTTTGTTTTTGAGACATGGTTTGAAGTTCAGGCTGGCTTTGCACTATGTAGTCTAGGCTGTTTTTAATGTAGTAATCTTCCTGCCTCAGCCTCCTAAGTGCTAGGACTACAAGTATGTACCATTATGCCTAACTAATCTCATCATTTTTGAAAATTAATTTTAGTCCATAGAGTGTAAAGCTTAATGGGCAGCCAATACTAGAACACAGTAAAGTCAAGGTGGCAATCACTTATTAGAACTACCTTTTTCTTCTTTACCCATCCTATAACCTCACTTAGTGAAACAAAAATTTGTTACATTATTTGAAATCACACAATCAATAAAATATTGACTTGATAATATTCTTATTTTTATAAACAGTACAAGCTGGGCATAGTAATTCATGTCTGTAAATCCCAGCACTCAGGAGGCTGAGACAGGAAGATTACTGAGAGTTCAAGGCCATTCTGAATTACATGGTAAAGTCAAACAAAATAAATACAAATAAATAAAAAATAAACACTACAGACAGGAACTAAAAAATATTCCTTATGTGTGTGTACATATTAATCCTTCACTTCTTTATCCAGAAAATAAACTGTTTCGATGGGGCTGGGGATTTAGCTCAACGTCATAAAGGCCTATCTGCCAAGTGTGAGGTTCTGAGTTCGATCCCTGGTACCAAAAAAAAAAAAAAAAAAAAACCTAGTCAAGTATGGTGGTGCAGGCCTGTAATCCTAATTCAGAAGGCTGAGGCTGGAGGATCGCTGAGAATTCCAGACCAGACAGGGCTACAAAGTGAACGCATGGCCAGCCTGAACTGCATAGCGAGACCCTGTCCCCAAAATACAAATGAATAAATAAATAAAAATTGTTAACGAGGTCCAGCCCCACTGTAAAAGGCAAAAAACTGGGGACCATGAATTCAGAATGACTGGTTTTGCATACTTCCCAAAAAGATAAATGGAGGCTTGGGATTATGGTATTACCCTTCTGAGACTTACCATTAACTCTTGGATGGGCCATCCTCTCCCACCAAGACTAAACTAAGACTACTAAATAAAAAATAACACCCCAAAGCAAGATCCTTCTTAGCTCTGGAGATCATCTCTACCCTTTTGAGTCAACCCAGGATTATTCACCGCCTGCAGTGTCATCGACCTCTGAATCTTCTGCTGCTCTCTAAATCTTCTGCTAACCGCTTCTGTAATTGTATACACCTTTGCACCATACACACCCAATAAATAGTGGCTGGTTTAGAATATCTGGTCTTTGCCTTGTCTTGAGGCACTGACCTCCGAGCCCCCCTCATTTTGCATTACTAAATTTGTCCCCATTTCTTATTTTACCCTTCGCCGTACTCCTCATACAGGCAGTTAGGGATCTTGGTCAGGTCCCCCATAGCAATCCCGCATGTATCTCTCTTCTCTCCCTTTTCTCTTTTTCTTTCCTTCCTTCCCTCTCCTATCCTTTTTTCCTTCCTTGTGTATGCTAAGTACATGTGCTCTGCCATTATTATTCTCCAAGCCTCAATTACTTACTCCAATACCATTAGTGCTTTCACCATGCCTGACACAGAGAGTAAGTGCTTGATAAGTACGTGACAGGGCAACCCTTTCAGGACCCCTCCTGTCCTCAGGAGCTATTCCTATTCCCCATAAATACTCCTACTCTAACAAAAAGTCTGTGACAATGACTGAAATTAAGTCTGTTGTAAATCAACTCAAACTGTTTGGATGCTCATCTTCTTGCTTTTAATAAAGAAAATACCTGTTCACATGTATATTGGGGTTTTCAGTTTGGAAAAAAGAAAATAGTATAATAACAGCTGCATCTGAAGTGGTAAGAATATTAGCAGCAAGAGTGTATTTGCTTAAAATGTAAAAGCAAAGAAACAACGGGGGGGGGGGGAGCACCTCCTAACAGATACGAGAGACACTCACGTACAGCACCTCTCCCTATGCCCATACTCCTTTCCAAGAAACCCCTACTGCACATTCAGTGTGTATTTTGCAGTGCACACTTTTCTATTATTCCTGGTTTTGTATTATTTTAAAAATTTATATTTCTCTATGATGTGATCATGATGCATACCTAAAATGTTATCAATAAAATCTGAAGAAAAAAATACATAAAATTTGCATTTCTTTTGGAATCTGGCTATGTTTGCTATGCACAGATGCATAGGTGATACTTTGGCTGCTGAGTCCAAATTTGTATCAAAATAATGAACATATCTTCCCATAAGAAATGATGGAAAATCAAATAATTGGTTCTGAGGCCCCAAAATTACACTTATAAATTCATTTGTACAGGACTTGAACAAATTTCTCAAAGTTTCTCCCTTTATCACGGTTCTTAAAGCGTTTTCCTCTCTTATCTTTACTGTTGGTATCACTTTCTCTGAAGCCATGGTTATATTTTACACAAATAAAGCATACACACAAAAAGCACAATGACAACTGTTTTAATGCACTAACACAAGCACTATTTGTGTCTGGATGTGAGCAGTGCTTAGACTGAAGCGTCACCCTTCTGTCCACCATGAGATGCAACTGTGACTCACTCTTGGCTGCACAGGTATTTGCAAGCTGGATTTTCCATCTGACTATGGAGGAAAATTATGAAAACTGGATTTTTTTTTCAACTTTGCTTTTCAAATAGTGGCAATGTGAAGGCTGGAGCTATCCAATAACCGAGGTATCACTGTAGTTGATTAATTTTTACTTTTGTATGTTTGTTTTGTTTTTGAGACAGGTTCACAGTATGTAGCTGAGGCTGGCTTTGAACTGTAGTCCAGTCTGTCCTTGAACTCACAGGGTTCCTCCTCCCTCAGCCTCCTAGTGTTAGGATTACAAGCATACACCACCATACTCACTTTCTATAGTATTTTATATCATGCTATAATTAACTATTTTTCCAAAGGCATCAAAAATGTTTTCAGTTTTTTAGTATTTCAAAAAAATGCTGCAGCAGATGTTCTCATCCTTGTCCTGTAATACATACTGGCCAGTTTCTGTCTTTCCATGAATCTCAGGGTGGCCTTGAACTCACTATGTATCACAGACTGGCTTCAAGCTTGTGAGCCCCCTTCCTCTGCTACCCAACTGCTGGGATTATAGGCAAGTGCCACCACACCTGATTCAGTTTCTTAAATATATATGCTTTTAAAAAAATTAATGGGTTTATCACACTTTTTTCATTTACCAGAAATGAACAAACTGCTTTTCAAGAAAGCCTGCAACAACTTACACTGTTACCATGTCTGACAGTTCTCACTGGCAACTGCCTCACCTACTACCTAATTTATCTTATTAGAAGTCTGTGTTGACCAAGTTGGTCTTGAATTCTGGAGTTTCAGGGTTTAACTGATCCTCCCACTTTTGAATCTAGAGTAACTAAGACCAGAGACATGAATCATTATGCCTGCCTCCTAACTTTTTAAAATGTACAGATAAACTTTCCAACTGTTTCTTAAGGAAGGAAAGAAGGAAGAAGCTTTCAGCACACATGGAACCAGCTGACAAAAATTAATTTCAATGATGCCCAGAAAAGCTGAATATGGAGGCTCATATCTGTAATCAAAGAACTCGGGGCTGAGACAGGAGAACTGCTGAGAGTTTGAGGCCATCCTGGACTGCAAAGGGAAACCCTGGCTCAAAAAATAAAAAACAAACCCCAGAGATGCCTAGTGAAAGCTGAGGCAGAGGACTGGGGTTGTGGCCCATTCCCAGGCAGCCACAAACAAGA